ATGTTGCAGTTCCAAACAGCGACTTGGAAATTTGTCCAATGAAGTCCAGTAAACCACGTTTGGATCTACCAGAACTATGAGTATTAGGAAAATATGAGTGTGGAATAAGACGATGAATTTCTCTTACCGTAGAATTGACATTAGACATACATTGAGTATGTAGATTGTTCAATGAATCGACAACTTGATTCGCCATTTTACATGTCTGTCGTTTACATGTTGGAATCCCTGGTAGGTACGATGGTGTGGGAAGAGGGATCTTGAATGTGTGGGTCCAATATTCCTGTCCAAGGTGTAACTGAGCAGTTGGTTCAAACAATATTCCATAATTCAATCTTTGGATTGGTGATGAATCTGTGACAACTAAGGGTATACAGAGGAACATCACAGCCAGAATGGTCCACAGTTGGAATACACTATTCACACCTATAGAAGAATGAGAAAAATAGACTTATTTAGTGATCTGTATACCGGTAGGAGTCTCTGGCCAGGAGATTTAAAGCACTAAATTGACAAATATTTGTCAAAATCTTAGTATCATCACACTAATAGGGTAAGAAAGAGAAAGGAAAGGAATTGGTGTGAAGGAATAGTGAAATCTCAATGTAGTTGTATATCTACTGCTGTGAAAAACATGTCAGGTTGGACTGTTTGTTCTTCCGTCTTTTCCCTTGTTGTTTCTTTGTGACATGAAATTCCCTTACTAATGAGGCAGGAAGATTACATTCAGGTTCTCAGGTTCGTTCTGAGTAACCTTTCCACTTAACACGGAATTCCTTTATTCCATTTCGAATTCTATAGCAAAGTAACCTATCAATTGGATACGTTTGCTGAGAATCTTGTGAGTTAGGTTGTACATCAGTTTTGTTATGAGATGAGGGAATACTCATTCCCTGTGATATAGGAATATCAACCTGAGTGTCACGTGAACCTGCTGCTTTAGGTACATGTGCATGTTTTGTAGCAACATCATGGTTGTGCTGATCAGGATGCAAGTTGGCATCATTGTTCTGAGGGATGGCATGATTGTGCCGTTCAGCATGATGCGTGTTGGCATCATTGTTCTGAGGATTTGCAGGATGCATGTTGGCATCATTTCTGACAGGCTGAAGAGGAGGATCAAGGGTAAGTCTACTTGTTGGATTAACATAAATTTTAAGCCTGTTTGCATGAATAAGGGATTTTATCTCCTTATGTGTGCTACATCGTCTAAGTTTGTATGTGTGATTGGGACCAACATCGACGATGTAAAATGGTCCATCCCATGGATTGTGTAGCTTGGGTGAGAGGCCTTGTGGGACTCTAGTAGAGTGTATCAAAACTAGATCTCCATTTCTAAACTGAGGTTCTTTAGCTTTACGATCGTGCTGTTGTTTTTGTTTGGCTTTAGCTGTTGTAATATTTTTCTCTGCCAATTCTTTCACATACTTCAGATGTTTTAATAGTGCTGTTACATGAGACTTGGCATCTTTGTTAAGACCTTCTTTTGGTATAAGGGAAGTGTCGAAAGGAAGATTCATCTCTTTGCCATATAGAAGATGATAAGGTGACATTTCAGAGGACTGAGTCGATGGACTCATTCGGAATGCCATAAGAATACCTGGCAAAAAGTCGGGCCAGTTTTGTTGATTTTCATCAACATAAGCTCTTAGACACTGAGCGAGTGTACTGTTCATCCGTTCACATGTTGAGTTTGTTTGGGGATGGTAAGAGCTAGTGAAATGTCTGGTGACCTGAAAAATTTCACAGACAGCTGTGACTATCTTAGAAAGAAAATTCTGTCCTCTGTCACTAACAATAGAGTGTGGGGCACCATATCTACTGAAAATTTCAGAGTAGAGTATTCGAGCTATTTCTTTGGAATCCTGTGTTCTGAGAGGAAAGGCCTCAGGCCACTTACTAAATGAGTCAACAACTAGTAAGATATATTTGTAACCTTCTGTTGAAGTGGTGATGGGACCTAAGATATCCATCTGGAGTCTTGAAAATGTATCTGTCACAGGCATAGGAGTAAGTGGTGCATTTCTCATGTTTGTCGGTTTCTTGACCCTCTGACATGTATCACATGTGCGAATATAGTCAGCTACATTTTGGTATATTTTAGGCCAATAGTATTTAAGTTGTATGGCATGATATGTTCTATCAAGACCTAAATGTGCTCCACCTGCCTGACTGTCATGATAGGATATTAAGACATCTTCTCGTAAAGATCGAGGTACAGCCAACTGGCGTACAGGAATTTGATCCTTTTGAGCAGATCGAGAGTAATAGAAATGATAGAGGATGTCATCCAGCAAGACATACTGATTAGAAAGAGACAGAACTCTGTCAGCATTGACCTTACCAGTTGGTAATACACCTGTTTGTAGATAGTGATAAAGATCAGAAAAGTCAGAACACTGTGACTGTAACAGTGCAACAGTATCAAGTGCAACAGGATCAGATATCTGAAAAATAGACTCACTTTGAGTCCGACCATTGCGAGAATACTCAAATGTCACTTGTAGGGAAGAATTTGAGCCAAATACTGTGGTGACGTCAGCAGAGGGTACACAGTCCTCAATGGGATAAGACTCTGAGGTACTGTAGGGTTGTCTTGACAGTGCATCAGCAACCTCATTTTTCTTACCTGTCCTGTAGATTATTTCATAGTCATAACTTTGCAAGAGTACAGACCATCGAGCTAACCTACCTGTTGAATTTTGTTTGATGTCTTTCAGCCATTTTAGCGCACTGTGATCTGAATAGATAGTGAAACTCTTACCTGCCAGAGAGACATGGTAGCATTTGATTCCTTCAACTATAGCAAGACCTTCTCGTTCTGAGATATTATACTTACGTTCACATGTGTTTAATGAATGTCCACCATAGGCAATGACTCTCTCGCTTATGGTCATAGAGTTGACCCAACACATAACTGATAGACTCATCGGAAGCATCAGTAGTAAGAATGAAAGGTTTAGAGTGGTCAGGATAAGCAAGAACAGGAGGAGAAGTAAGAGCAGTTTTGAGAGAATCAAAGGCATTCTGACAGTCAGATGTCCATTCAAACTTTCTGTCTGTTTTTGTGAGAGCATGTAAGGGTGCTGCTATCTTACTGTAGCCTTTTACAAATTTTCTGTAATGGTTACAGGGACCAAGAAATGATTTTACCTGTTTTTGGTTTGTTGGAGTTGGAAATGACTTAGCAGCATCTGTTTTTGTTGTGCCTACCTCAATACCATCTTTGGAGATCACATGACCAAGGTAATGTACACGTGGCCGTGCAAAGTAACATTTGCTAGGTTTTAGAGTAAGACCAGCAGTCTTGAGACGATCAAAGACTTGTTGAAGATGTTGAATGTGAGACTCAAATGAATGAGAGAACACTAAGATATCATCTACATACACTAAACAAGTCTTCCAGTTAAGATCTCTCAAAACCTTTGTCATTAGAGACTGGAAACTTGCTGGGCTGTTAACAAGTCCAAATGGCATTCGTTTCCATTGGTACACACCAGTAGGTGTAACAAAAGCAGACTTGTGGGCTGTTTGTGGATCCATTGGGATTTGCCAAAAACCTGAGGCAAGATCAAGACTGGAAAAGAATTGAGCCTTAGTTTCCCCTATGGAGTCAAAAACATCTTCCAGACGAGGAAGAGGAAAGGTAAATTGTTTTGTTACAGCATTTAGCTTTCTGTAGTCTATGGCAAAGCGTAACTGACCATTTTTCTTTTTGACCATTACAACAGGTGACTGCCACATAGATGTTGATTCTGAAATGATGTCATTATCAAGCATCTCTTGAATTTGACGTTCGGTTTCTGCTTTTACCTCAGGAGACTGACGATAAAATCTTTGTCTTATAGGAGTTGCCTTCCCTGTTTCTATTGTATGGTAGTCATACGTAGTTTTGCCAAGTTCTGATAAATTTGTTGCAAATACAGATCTGTTATTGTTCAAGAAAGTGATGAGAATATTTTTCTGTTTCTCTGACAGATCTGAATTATCCAAATCAAATGAAAATTCAGATAATTCAGAGGTAGAAGACGAAGCTACATGTTTTTGTTTACTCTGATCTTGACCATGAGTTGACTGAAGAGAAGTGACTTTGTCATTGTCAATGACAGATACTGACGCTACAGCCTTATTTCTTAAAATAACGACATCTTTATCCGTAGGGTTCATAACCTGAAGTACAGTTTTCTTACCTGCATGGACAACAGCAACACATTTAGCACCTGCAATACCTAACTTTGGAAGATCCGGTAAGGGTTCAAGTAAAACATTTGATCCTATAGGGAGAGTGGATACATCTACCTGTATGTTTGAGATACACATTGAAGGTATAGTGATACGAGTTGAAGTTCTTGCGATTCCTACGTTAGTGTCTACAGAGAAAACAGTGTCAGATACAGGTTCTCGAAGTTGTAGAGTTCTAGAAGATGCATTGAAAACAGCTTTGTTTTCCTCAAGAAAGTCCATACCTAGAATGAGGGGTTGGTGGAATTTTTCAAAAACATGAAATACTTGTGTAATGAACAAAACAAAACGAGATGGGCAAGGATACAGACCCTAAACTGCAGTGATTCTCACCACCTGCTACTAAAACACTTATAGAAGAACACTTCTGTAGCGTTGACATATTAAAGTTAACTTTTTCTAACAAAGGTAGGACTACACAAGATATAGATGCTCCTGTATCTACTAAAGCTTTTACAGGTGTGCCATACAATTCAACACTCACAGTGTTCCTATCAACAGGGGTGACCAAGTTAACATTGGTAACATGCTTGCTGACTGTGTTTTTAGTTAGACTCCTACCACTACTACTGTTAGGGTTAAGTGCAGTCTGGAGAGTATGTGCCCTTTGAGTATTCGTGTTAGTACAGTTTAGGTGCCTATCCTTGCTAGGGATAGGCGCGTATCCCTATTGTGAATTCTGCATGCTGTTGGAGTGCATATTGGTTCTCTGTCCTCTACACACTGATTTGATGTGACCTAACTTGCCACAATTATAACACCTTAACTTAAACGCTGGACATTGGGTGCGATCTGTGCATGACTTACCACAACCTTGACACTGTCTTTGTGATTGATGATGGTGGTCTGTTCTGCTTTGCCGGTAGTGCTGTTGCTGCTGTCGACTTTGCTTCCATGGCTGCTGCTGCTGTCGTCGTTGTTGATTTTGCTGCTGCTGCTGGAGTTGGTTGACCTGTTGAACTATTGTTGATGATAAGTCTTTTGTCATTTGTGTAAACTTGTCAACCAACAAGTCTATGCTTTTTACTTCTGACGAGTCAACAAAACACTCGAGTTCCTCTGTTGCCAGTTGGACTGCTTTGCGGAGATCTAGGAAAGTTGTTGGTTCTTTTCCAATAACCCTTGCTCTGACACTGGGTAATAGTCCTTGAGTTGCAGCTTTAACTTTGTAACACTCTGGTAAGGCAGCTCCCAGTCCAGTTTTTTCTGCTCTTTCTATGAAAGCCAGGGCAGTTTCTGAGTTTTCCTGTTTTAATGACATAAATGTCATGTCATTGTCTTTTGTTCCAAATCTATCAAAAAAAGCTGTTTTGAAATTTTCCAGTGATGCTGTTGAAGCCTGTGGTTGTGTTTGTATCCACAGAGCAGCTGGGCCCTCTAGAATCAATGGTAAGGCACTTAACATTTTTTGCTCAGAGTAGTTTTGAATGGTCATCCAGGCCTCCATGCTTGAGTACCACAGTTGAGGTGACTCGGTTCCATCATATTTTTTTATTTGTATGTGAGCCATTGTACTTGTTTCGTCTGGTTCTTCAACAATGTCCACTTGTACAGAATTATCAATCTGTACTGATTCACTTATATCAACTTCTTCTGAAGAGTCATTGTTAATCTCAGCTTCTGATGTCTCAGCTCTAGTCTTCTGGCTTCTTGTTGATACCCCTTGGTTTCTATAATTAATAGGTTTTTTTCCAGGCATTCGGGGTCTCTAGGATTCTCTACCAAGTTTTCATGTGGTTTTTTTTCTTCTTTTTTTTTTAAGATTTTGTTTCTGTTTATTCTTCGTCCAAGCTCTGAGTGCTCTAGACAATAATAGTGAAATACAAGGTAAATTTTACCTTAATGGAAAATAATCATTCTTGTCTCTATAAATACAAATGTTGGATTAATCACCATACAATTACGTATAAATAGAGGAAGTTGCTATTACAAATATAAAGAGAAACTTTGCCTGTTTTTGAATCAACAATTTCTTTTGTATGGATGACTGAGACATGAATACATACACAACAAACTATATACAACATTTAACAAATCATACACAACTTACACTTAGAGTCAAAGAAACAACTTTTGAAATAAAAAGTATTAAACGATATTTGTGAATAAATTCAAACTTGAATTGACAATGGATACAAGTACATATGAAAAGTAAAATACAAAGTTGCTTACCTGTAATATAAAATGGACAGCTGTTTAAGATTTTGTTGTCGTTTATTCTTCGTCCAAGCTCTGAGTGAAGAGCTGGGCAGTGATACCAAAATCTAAACAGACTGACCGAAGGATCTCTGCATTCTGATTGGTCAGTTTCATGTCCATCTCTGAACTGATTGGTCAGATCGTAATTATTGCTCAAACAATAAAAACTAACTAGTTTACGTTGACATGACGCGCACGCATCTACCCGTACTGTCGCTAATTGGCACTCAATACCTGACACGACTGTCAGACAATTAACTGACCAGGTGAGATTACAGGTAAGTTGTAAATGCCATTAAATGACTTTACAGGAACAAAGGAAGGTAAACCAGGACATACAGGTGTTTTCTTCCAGTGACCATAGAGTAAATAAAATTACATAAACTATGTATATGTTCTTTGTTCGTTAACTAGACAAAGCTAATGTCTTACAGCGTGGGTAAAATCTTATCACACATATCAAAGAAAACTATGTAATGCTTAAGTGCTGACAAGCACATATTGTAAACCTGACACTCTTGATAAACTTGTACTACATACTTTCTGTTTCTGAATATTTCAAATTCTTAAAACTATATATTTCTCTTCTTATTTTCTAATTCTAGTAAAACATGGTTTTCTAAAGAAAAAATCTGTAACGAACTTTTTTATGAAAAACAAAGATTTCCACTATGAAAATACCACGGTCACACTATTTATAGACACTTGATCTGTTTGCTAGACGTGATCATAATATAATAGGTAGATATTTGAGCTTCTGTCACTAAATATTTACAGAAATAATTGAAACGCTCGTACAACTCCTAATTTTTAAAAACTTTCCTTGACTTAAGAATAATTTGGTGTGAGGAAGAGAAATCTATAATACATACTATATATTATATAAATATCAAATAGATATGGTATTGATAGAATATAATTAAATATCGCATACCAAGAACGGCGGCTGCACATCAATATGTACAACACAATTATTTTACAATTCAAATTTAACAAAATTTATTATGTAATTGAGCAAAAACACTCAAAAACAAAAAACGGAGTTTGCTTAAAATAAATCGCGAGACGTTTATGCCAAGTTACACTTCGAGGATCAGAGAAATAAAAAGGACAGTTAATCCTTATAGTTTAATCACATATTCTAATATGTCAATATTTTTGACATCTTTCACGGACTCTTTTCTATGATAATTTTCCTGCGCCGGTAGGCAACTGTGACACAGTATGTCCTATATATTCTATACGTCTACAGCATGGAATGAAATGTTTCTTAATATCTAGGTTAGTCTGCTCTTTTGTTCTACTACTAACATTCCGTTGAAGCTTGCTTTCAGCTACTCAATGATCGGGACAGAAAGACAAAAGTGGCGAGCCTATTTTCTTTTTCTCCATATAATTTACATCCGTGCGATATTGTTGTATAACGTGACTTGTGCATGGCTAAATATTTACAGTATTATTACCTTAATTAGGCGGGTCTTTTTCTCGACAATGTTTCTGCTTTTATTGGTTGTATAGAAAACAAGTAATTTTACTAAGTATAGCTGTATCATTGAAACCTACTTGTCAAAATGGTGGTGGCAACAGCAGGGATGGCGATCGTCTTAGATGCACAGCAGGAGGCTACAAAGACCAGGACAATGGAGGCAGCACCGGTACACAGCGATATTGCGACAATGTACTGGGACGCCGTCAGCCAGTCTGAAACATTGGACACATGCTACACAATATTCTTACTGGCGAACATTCACTGGAACGACGACGGCCAATTTTCTGCAACACAACATACTCATATAGCGACCCTAGGCTGGGAAGCCGTCAGCCAATCCGACACATGGGACACAAGCTTACACAACATATTCATATAGCGACCCTATGATTGGACGCCGTTAGCCAACCTGACACATGGGACACAAGCTTACACTACACATTCATATAGCCACCCTAGGCTGGGACGCCGTCAGCCAACCTGACACATGGAACACAAGCTTACACTACCCATTCCTATAGCGACACTATACTGGGACGTCGTCAGCCAACCTGGCACATGGAACACAAGCTTACACTACCCATTCCTATAGCGACACTATACTGGGACGCCGTCAGCCAACCTGACACATGGAACACAAGCTTACACTACCCATTCCTATAGCGACACTATACTGGGACGTCGTCAGCCAACCTGGCACATGGAACACAAGCTTACACTACCCATTCCTATAGCGACACTATACTGGGACGCCGTCAGCCAACCTGGCACATGGAACACAAGCTTACACTACCCATTCCTATAGCGACACACGCCGTCAGCCAACCTGGCACATGGAACACAAGCTTACACTACCCATTCCTATAGCGACACTATACTGGGACGCCGTCAGCCAACCTGGCACATGGAACACAAGCTTACACTACACATTCCTATAGCGACACTATACTGGGACGCCGTCAGCCAACCTGGCACATGGAACACAAGCCTACACTACCCATTCCTATAGCGACACTATACTGGGACGCCGTCAGCCAACCTGGCACATGGAACACAAGCTTACACTACCCATTCCTATAGCGACACTATACTGGGACGCCGTCAGCCATCTAATACATTGGAAACAATACACGAATCATAGGAATACTTATGCTGCGCATTTCAGAAAGTAATAGAAGCCCATGGTAACTTTTACTGGTTCCTGACATGTTTTTTCCCCCAAATTTCTACTAGGTATTTGAGGTCACTGGTTGTGCGGGATAGTCCAATACGACCCAGGTCCCTGATAGTATACCCATTCGTACCATTTCATTAATAAGATTGCATAGACAATTGCGTCGTATAACAAGTCTATATAATTTCTCGCCATCAAATGACCAAAGTAGACCCAACTATGAAATTAATAGATAATTATTTGCAGACAATTTGGTAAAGAAAATTTAACACAAAACAAGATTAAACGACTGTTGGGGAAAGTAACTCGTGATGAAAACATCTCACACATCCCACACACATTAACATCGGCATACAAGTACATCAAGTATAACTATATTATTTTCAGCTTATATTCACCATTATATATACAGATATTGGCAGACTTAAACCAAATAATCCGTTTGAATTACAGGTTACTAATAGAATAGTTAATTAATTGATACATGCACCAGTGTAAGTATTTAGAATATCAAGATAAAAACTTGCACTAGTCAGCTGCCAAGCTCTACTAGAATCTCTTACGTAACCAAGAATCATCCTGGATTTTTATAAAAGTAAAATACAATTTAAAACGACGGTATTTTCCATTAAAACAATGCTTGAGAATTTGTTGATGTTCCGGCCCATCACAATCAGGAAAATTTTGGAGAAGATGTGATTATAATTGCCATAGCTGTACACAGAGTAGTTGTTTATCATTAAATGTAGGACATTCCAAACATTAATGAGGTACCGGTGCATGTTCTTCAGATAAAAACTAGGCTATTAGTAAGACTGTCGTGGTATAAACCAGGTTTTAAATCACAACAGGATTTTTTAAGTTTACGTAAAGTAACATTAGCTCTTTTGTTATGAAAAAAACCACAGCAGATTCACTACCAGTAACGATCAAATGACTGTTTAATGCTGTAGTAGAGAGATAATTTGGACAATTAGCAGAGTTAATTTAACTTCATTGTGTGACACATTGGAGGGAAACAGCTGTCAGAATAGTTATAAGTTCCTCAAAAGTGAGGGTTAAAAGGTCGTGCCTTTTATTATTGATAAATGGGGTTTATTACATTCTGTGATTATTCAGGTGAATGCCTATGTATAATTTTGTACAATATTATATGTTTGTGTTCAGTTCTTTTTTCCTACTTTGATGTCTCATAACGAAGACCTGTTATAATCCTAGCTGCTTCGAGTTGCATAGATTCAAGATATTTTTTCCTGCTGTGTACAATTATCATATTACAAAGTTGGACTAATAAATACCATTTATATTTTAATTACTTTTCCTTCGACTTAAGTCTCGACATGACGAAGACCATACATTCAGTTATTGTAAGTTTTATGTATATACCCTAAGAAAAGTATATACATACATATTACCGTGTCCTTGACCCGTGTACATGAGTTTCAGTGCCACCAATTGTCTAACAGTGTGCACCATGACACATATTATCAAGCCAATCCCATAGCGACATCCAAACACGATAACTTATCTGTATACATTCTATAGTGTTTAAATACCACACATCCAGTTGCCCATAAAAAGTTTCTCTTTCACGTATATACGTAATATGTATATTAGGTGCTATAACAAAGTCTATCCGTTAAAGTGCAGAAGCTTGGACAGAATTGATCTGTGACCAGTCTCAACAAATCTACAGCTATTCAATTCTTTTTTTTAAATGCACCAAATTTTTTCAGTTCATATTTGAAAATTTGATAAATTCTAATCATGATTTGAGCTACGGGGACAAGGAGTACCGAAGTTTTTTTTAACCCTGTAAACAATCCTCATAGTCGACAGGTGACCTCGTATTATTTTACGTTGGATCAAAGAATCGAACCCCGAGCGGCTAGTAGCTCGCATGGCAAGATGTGCTAGTCAATGTTTGGTACGGTGAAGGATCCAAGGGCCATTATCCGCCCATACACTTTCAGCGTCTGTAGAAAGCTATAAGTAATCGGGTTGTAAAATTTGGTCAGAAGGTACCTAGTATGGAGTGCTACAAAGTTCCATATATCAATGACCTTGGCCTATCTTCAAGATCACATGGTTAAACATGCGAAAAAACCTTTGAGAATCTTTTCAAGGTTTTAGACGACCTGGAGTCAAGATATTCTGCTATCAGGTATTTAGGACGAAGTATATATTAATTAATGATCTTGACTTGAAGGTGACAGAGGTGAAACATAATGAGTTGCAGAAGACCCACGATACTTTTCATTGGCTAATAATTGTAGGATGAACTGCTATAGATATATATTGTATGTTCTTTTGCACAGTCACAGGGGTAAATTATCTAAAAAAAATTTAAATGAACCTTCTGTTAACTTTTTGAAGCGGTAGAGTACTGCCACTAAACCAGAATGGAATGATTTAAAGTGTCTACGTTTAAATTACCTTGATCAAGGTTCCAGTAATGAAATATTTATAATGTATATAATGTAAAAATGTTATAATGTAAAACACTTTATCAATTTTAATATAGATACATAAAAATGTACTCATATCCCCATATAACGACCCCGCATTTGTAACATAACGTTATCATATTATATACATCCCAATCCCCATATAACGACCCCGCATTTACTATATAACGTTATCATATTATATACTTCCCACCCCCCATATAAATACCCCGCTTTTGTTACATAACGGTAACATATAACATTGCTATCTGTATTTATCATTTCTACATTATCACAGATCAAATGACTTTAATGAGTTAAAACTTTCATATAAAAATATATTCAAGTTATTGTTTTGGCACATAAGTTGTTTCTTTCCTTTTTAAAAGTAAATATATGGTGTTGACACGTCGCAGCTGATTCGATATTCGAGGGGGTGTTTCCAGTGTCACGATTTTCAGGCCAAATGTTATCAACTGACAGATAAACTCGCGTCACGTGGTTTTGAGAGATGAAGGTTATGGAGATTACATGGGAAATTTAATGAGACTTGTATCATTTCTTTGGATGATATAAAGTTATATGTGTTCGATACTGGTTGGTATAACTGTTGTACTGTTGTCTATATTGTCCTCCCTCGGGAACGTGGATAAGATTGACCGAGATTTGCATAGCGTTATCGCCAACAGAGCAGAAAACGTTTACCCTTCCGAAACATCCGATCTGATATGATTATATTGCCCCCTATCCGGCCTTTGTAATCTAGATTACTATACATTGTTCATGTTACCTTTCCCCGCATTTTATTCTTTTTTCTTTATATCAGATATATATGTTTGAGGTTATCTATCTACCTGTTCAGCCTCCGTTTTTGACTATGACATTTTTACCGATAATTCCGCATTTCCGTATTCCGTCAGAAGGCATAATCATCTAGAATCCCTCCTCTGTAATATGTGAGATACGTTTTTATTAGGAACGCAGCAGTAATATGATGAATTTACCTTGAATCCATCCGCTAATAATTGTAAGGTTACAAATTCATGTTACGATACATAAAATGGCAAATTTTCCTTGGGCCCAACAAGTCATGACCCTACATTATCATAGATCATAGGACCCTAAATGAATTTTTATTTTATATCAATTTTATGAAAAGATTCTTACAAGTTTTTATTTTAATGAGTCTTGCCGACTCTCCGTTTTACATTGTGAGGGGACAAGTTTACCTGGGAATCACTATTTCAACCCGTGAGGTGACACCTATTTATTACACACTGTGAAAATGTGTTTAAATTTAATGTGTTTAAAGTTTAAATGTAACTTCAACAAATAAAATGGTAAGTTTTCATTTAATTATCCATTTTAACCTTTGTTTTTATAAAATATGAGATTTCTCATTTATCTGAAACTCCTGAAATAAAAACTATAAGATGACTTTACCTGCTGCCCGTCCATTGTGACCAATTTACCAGGGACATCATTTGAGGTGATAAGTATACCTGGACACCCCTTTCCTTCATAAAAACATATGTGGGGTCAAACCAGGGACCCCTTTATTGTATTGAATGACATATTTATTTTCCCCGAGACACTTTCAAAACAACAAATTAGGTGAAAAGTTGGCCTGAAACCAGCCTATTCTAATAACTGAGGTGACCAATTTACCTTGGACTCCATTATTATCCTTAAGGTGACAATTTTACCTGGGACCCATTCATGATTAAAATTTACCTGGGACCCCTCCGTTAGTGCTGTAGTAGTTGCTGACGGTACCACAGCATATGTTGTTGCTGACGATGGTACAATGACTCCACAGCCCCTGATACCCGCTCGTTCCTGACGAGGTATACGTAAAGTCGAACCAGGCAGGGGCGACAGCTCCACACAGATGAAGAGCAAAGGCAGCTATCATCACAAACGAACTGACGATCAGTGGGATACCCACCGCACAGAATTCCACACAACATGTAACTACCGGCATTGTTTTTTTTCTCCCGATACAGCACCACAACTGATGTTTTATCAATAAAAAATACCCAGTTTACACTCGGTTAAAAACGAAACGCTCTCCAGAACCTACGTGTGCAGGGGGTTTTAATCTAAAAATGGTCTCTGACGTTTGAGTCTATTTACTTTGGCCTTGTGAGACACAGTATTGAAGCACTTGCCAGTGTATATTTATAACATAGAAAGATGTAATTTGATCTTTGTTTATACAAAATAGAACGAATTCTCCATGGAATATTTCGACTATGACCTGCCGCTTTGATTGCATGTATAATTGTGTCATAATGTGACATACTAGTTTCTTTTTCTGACACACATTGTACAGATATATAATGTGTGGTTGTATTATTGTCAATAATCGTGATGATTTTGATCTCCTTGTTGTGAAGACACAACCGATAGTGTTTACTTGTCGTATTTGATTCCATATCTAAGGACCTGTTCTCAATATCACGATTTTCGTGACAGATGTCCTCAACTGCCAAACTCATAACATTAGGTTTCAAGAGAAGCAGGTTGGAGATTACGAAGAAGTTGTATTATCATACTAAATGAACGCAATGACACGTATTCTATTTCTTTGTACGATGTGAAGTTAGATGTGTTCGATGCTCAATGGTCTAAATGATAACTGTTGTTTACATTATTCTCATTTGGGAACGTGGATTGGATTAAATCAAATTTGCATACCGATGAAGCAGAAAACTCTTACCCTTCCGGAACACCTATGTTTTTTTTTCTTTTTTCATCGGTCACCATGTGCATCTTTCTTGTTTTTCCTCAAGCACCAATGACCTGGCAGCATCATTCTGATATAGTGAACCATTGGGGGAGGGGTTTCCTTAACTGGTTACCAGTTCCAATAGCCATATTTTCTTATCAAATGCTTTCCCTAACTAGTTACCTATGACTGGCTTCTCGTTGCGTTATTTTCCGTACTCGAAGTCTTTATCCGAAACCTTATTTCCATTACAGACCAGCTTCATTAACTGGTACCTGTAACCTAGTTGAGGGTTTCAGTAGCTGTTTACTAGTCTATTGTGTACCAAGTCTGTTCTCATGCTATATAGGTCAAGACAAATATACCTTTCGCTTTTTGCTAATTATCCAATAAGTGGTGTCGATCCTTTTTTTTAAATTCGTGATTAATATGAACTATCTATATTTCGTCAAATATAACTTACCATGTAGACGACATATTATTATTTGTTTTATAAATTCTATAGACGACATCTCATTATTTTTATTATAAATTCTATAGACATCCCATTATTTTTATTATAAATTCTATAGACGACACCCCATTATTTTTATTATAAATTCTATAGACGACATCCCATTATTTTTATTATAAATTCTATAGACGACATCTCATTATTTTTATTATAAATTCTATAGACGACATCTCATCATTTTTATTATAAATTCTATAGACGACATCCCATGCTCATTAGTATGCCTTGTGGTTTTATTGCCGTTCGCCCTATTATCCTTCTGGAACGTGAAACGTGAAATTATTTTAAGGCATTAGATGGACTTCAAAAATAACCCTAACACAAACCAAATATAGATAGGCCCCCAACTCATCCTTTTAGCTTCTGGAAATGTTTAACGGCCGTGGAGCCGTCTACAAAACTGCTACATACGGTTCCAACCCACTCAATGAAAGGAATGCAGGTCGTCCCCTCACGTCGCCAGAACAACAACGTTCGTCGGTGAGACGATACGCGGATATGGAAGGAGAGTGTCAATCAATATAAATTTAGTGACGGGTGTCAATGAAGCAAAAGACGCTTCAATACTCTTCGGGAACACATGACCTGTTATTTCCCCTTGTACTTTTCACGAAACTTCGTGTAAAACTTTCTTTTGTTCACATTTACTCTAATTTCATCGAATTTGTGCTTGAGTTAAGATTCTGTTGGGCCTAACATGTCGATGTTTCAAGTTGTTGTATATTGAACGCCGTCCCTTTGTCCCTCCTTCACCCAAGAAAGTCAACGGCCAACTTCAAATGTCTTCATCTGAACAAAGGAAGAATTGGCTACCCAGATTTGCTTAGTTGTCATCCAGTAAGCTAGAATGCTCTTTTTGAAATGCACTATATTATCTCAGTGGCTTCAACCGGAGAGAAAAAAGAAACAGACTATAATAGACAAAACCGGAAGTAGAGAAAGTCTCGTTTTGAGTGAGGAAGTGGAAAGTTAAGATGGATGCCGATTGATAATATTGACATCATACCTCAAACATTCAGTGTTGCTGTCGTCTCATCTGGTCACCATGTCGAGAGCATTGATACCCAGTCAACAGAAGCTTGCTGAGAAGCTGACGGTCCTGACTGACAGAGGCCGTGGAATGCTTACTCGTATTTACAACATAAAAAAGGTGTGGCATTGTTTTGGTTGCTGAAAATATTGATGAAATGTCACATCAGTGCTTTAACACCAAGCTGTTCAAACACATCATTTCCCCGCAAATGTAACATACGATAACTGTCACATTGCAATCCGTAGATGTTTCAACATCAATTGGGATACAAATGGTGTAATTAGGTTCAGAAAACAAAACTAAATCTCTATATCTATGACCAATTCCTTAGAATACGACTTTTCGAAAATGTTTGTTTCCTTATTTATCAAAGTGTGCAACATTTTAGTTTTATCACAGTGTGTCGTAGTAATTTATAGACGTTTCGTTCGAATGCTACTCCAATGATATCGGCCAGTCTATCTAAAAAGTGGAAAGAGTTGTCAACATTCTGCAAATATCTTTACAAATACGTAATAAAGTTTCTGATCATATGATATTTTTTGGTGTCGGTAAATTTATTCAGTGTTATGAAAGATAAGATTATTCATTGTTATTAAAGAAATTTTCGGAAAACGGCTTTTGTTGATTGTTGACACTTTTTAGATAGACCAATGAAGGTAGTTGAGCCAATAAGAGGAGAAACAGGTGTTATTTTTCTTTCATCCTTGCTCTTGGATCCTAAAGTATGAGACAAAGGGACCATTGATTGCATAATTAATTACAGCACTGACATATGTCCCATTTATCTGTGTTCAATGATGGTTGATAATATCAGAAATGAAAAATGTTTACATGGTTTTGAGATATCTTGTGTAACACAGTAATACTGTATAACATGTGATTTTATTCATTTGTGGGTAGAATGATCATAATGATCTATAACCTCGGTTTCTACCGCTCCAAATCAACAATAGTAGAATTATACTGACTACAAAATGCTTGAAATCCACAATACACGGTTTGAGATATTATAGTTGCTTTTAGTATTTAGAGCATGATATTTTTCTGTATAGATAGAAATATCAATGCGTACGTAAATTGTGAGTGGTATATGACACATGTTATGTGGTGTGTGTCTGATGTAGTGTACACTACAACGTTTGATGTAAATTCATATGAGTGTGTATGTCTTAATATATCATCAACATATGCAGCAATCCTTCCCACAGCACATGTACATTGCAGCTATGAAACTACATCTCAGTAAACAGCTCTGTGTCGGCCTACATACTTGATGCAGGTCATATTCACTATAATTACTGGTATATCCTGTATTGGTTGATCATAGACTTAGATAAAGAATGTTCAGCAACATCCTGATCAGTGAATAGCACGAATATAAATGCTCCCAGTAAATCAGGAGTATATATGTAACCTGACATGCACTATAAGTGATCTCGGCCTTGTGCACTTCTTAAACAATCATTTTTGGACATTTTTGCATTAGGTTACAATCCTCAGCTAGATATTAGACATAAGGCTGTGTTGTTTATGTTAAGCTGATCAGAGTAATTACAGGACTGAAGTGGACATATGGTTATATGAATGTGTGTTTACTGCAGGGAGTATGTATCATGGTACATATACAATGAATTATAATTCATTATCAAATCAAGTCTTTATTTTAGAATATCAATTCCAATCACTATACTTCTGCCTGTTAGAGCATTTCAATCTCGTCTTTCATTTTTATCACCAAAGCACAAAATCTAGTTGAAAATAAATCGGAAGAAATTAAAACACATACATGGCATCGTCCTAGCTATTACTTTACTTAAAAATGAGTTAGATTTATGTTCTATGTTAAAAACAAGCTGTTCAATGTGCTGCTTCTATTTTGAAACTGACTGTTATCACATGTGTTTTATCTCGGCCTCCAGATGTCTGTAAGTATAGAAGGCGTGTGTAGTGGAATGCATGCCTCCAACCACACCCCCTTGTTATAGTGAACCTGTTTGTTGTCGCGTTTATTACATGAATATTTTACTTTATAATTATTGAGATGTTGTACATTTGTATAGTCAGACTAGAATGACCTGTCATGTTACCTGTAATATTCAAATTTGGTTATTCATTGCTATGTGTATCCACGATCAACTGTTGACTTAAGATGTTTCTGTTTCACCTTTAATTATTGGAAAACCATGCTCTTGGAGCTACTGAATTAGTGAACTGGTCTACCTACATGTATGATCACCATCAATCATAATCAATTCAATCACAAAAGGTGAACACGAGCGGTCATTCTTGGCAGACATGCATGTAATGTTGTTAAGAACTGCATATTTTAAACATCATTTTAAAATAATGAATCAAATGGATGTATTTTGCCTTTTTTTTCTCTCTAAATATATTTCATTTAAGACACAGTCACTTTTACATACCAAAATTATATACACATACTGGTATGAATATTATAGACTAAATCTATCTTTGTCGGATTCAGTGAGTAAAATACCTACATACTCTGGTATCAGTTTGTCTGTTTAAATATGAAATTAATATCTTGGTGTTTTAAGGTCAGACCAATTATAAGTATTACTTTGTACATTGGTTGAATTGAAAGTTTGTCAGTGATACAAGATGACTTTATAGATGACCCCCACAGCACTTGCACGACCCTGTCTGACACATTGTAGGTGTGACAAAATCAATTTTGAATTGACACAAAGGAGAGAAAAATGTCAATTATTGATTGGTTATTTATTTATTGTAAATCCATTCCACGTTAGATACATAGATTTATTCTGACAAGGTACAGAAAATATGTACATGATGAACAGTCCTTTGATAATTGGCTCTTTATACAATTTTTTTTTTTTTTTATGATTTTTTATATTTCCAAGATTTTACATGGTACACACACCTTCACACACACCCTCACATATCAATGCACTGGTGCACATATGTACTTTATACAATTTATACTAAAATAAAGTTTACAGCTTAATTTTTTTTTAAAACAATAGTTCTATGGCTGGATTTTCCAATGTTCATCTAGATATTGATTGAGTTGATATTTTTGGAATGATTTGGTGAAAGCTGAAGAGTGTTCTTGTTTATCTTGTGCATTATGGTAATGTCCTTGTTTTACTAAGAGTACACCCCATCCCAATTTTGAATGTCATTGAGTGTTCTTACTTTAAATATCAAAGAGATAGTAACGTAACTACACTACCATTCTGTAGACCTAGAAGAAAAGTAAATGTTCAACCAGTATTATAATTATAATTGATAATTTGAATTATACTGACTTTCATCAACTCAAGACTAAAATAGAAAAGACAGAATAACGTCAGAATAATTTGGACTATATACCACAGGTAAGTGAATGCAAGACAAGACTATAAGTGGTGCAAAGAAATCTATTAAGATAACATTTACTGTGTACTAGAATATCTTCAGTTTTAGTTTGATAATTTCCCAGCATTAAAAGATGTTAACCAGAAAATCTAATCCAGGTCATGTTAAAAGTAAGAAAAAGTTATATGTATAAAACTTGAAATGGTGAAACAATGTGGGAACAGAAAAAAAAATACCCAGCTGGTTTAGTCATATCCTTTGGGCATTTAGGGGAATTATCTCTGACTCAAAGTAGGGGATGAGGGCGGCGTATTAAAAGACAACATATGAAATAGCATTGATTAGATTTATCCTGGAGGGAAGTTTCCACATCAGATACAATGTAGTGGTGGGCTTATTGAATTACAATGAAATATTATTGTCATTTTACTGAGTTTTCAAAGACAGAGGGAGGTTTATTATGTGACATGGGGTTATCATTCAATAAATATTTAGTGTATCTTATCAATTTCTTTTTATTATTTCTTCGTATACCCAATCTTCTGTTTGAATGATATTTTGATTACCTTATACATCTATCTTATACATGTATATAATATGAATCAGAGATATTTTCGCATGTTTCAGTCAAGAACACCACTATCACCTACAGTTGACATATATTACTGATATATGTATGTTTAAATTATGTGTTGCTCTTGCTAATTACATAACAGTTTAATAGAGTTTACTCAGATCAGTTTGATTAGGAATGATGTTATTAATTGATTGTTTGGCTCAAATGTATCTTATCTAAATTTGCATTTAAAGGTGCAATTCATGTGTGTGTATTTTGTATAATCCTGATATTATACATAATTATGTGTAAACCTTACTGAGTTAGACAGTATCAGGATCTAATCAAGATGTTTACAAACATTTAAAACAGGCAGATATTTCCAGGTCTGAATTTGAACAATTTTACTTAAAAAATGGGTTTGTAAGGTACATGCTGAAATATTGAAGAAGTGTAGTTTCTGAAAATAGTAATAAAAGTAATAATTTGTTTTTTAGGATAAAATGATTTTGTTTTGAAAACTAAGGTAATTTTCTTTTGAAGGGTAAGATAAATGTGTTTTATTTAGGATAAGATAATTGAGTTTAGTCGGGTAAGATAATTGTGTTACATGTTGTGTGCTGCATGAATTTATCTTTCTGATTACATTTCATGTTACCCAGCCAAATCATTGAAATCAATCTGAATCATTTAACTATTATTTTTAGAAAACAGGTTCATGAACTTTTGTTTTAGAAAATGACATTTTACATACATTATAATTGATCTGTTGAAAAACATGATAATATATTACACAAATTAACAAATAAATAATTATGAATTAACAGTGCTAGTCCTGGTCTCAATTTCATCATTTGGCTATTTAACATGTATATAATTATCACTGTTGAGTTTTTTTTTTCGTAATTAAAAGTTAAAAGTCTTGACGGTAACTTAAAATAAAGGTTTAGAAATGTCATAACGTTAGAAATATATCTAAGATATTTATTTAGAAAGGATCTACACTACTATATATTGCTTCAATCAAGAATAACATATTTTATCAGTATCTATGCTTTTACAGCAATAACCAGTGGCTTGATATGGGTAGAAAATGCAACAGTCTTATTACTTTAGGTGTAAAATACTGTTTGTTATATTTGTAATTTGCTATCCTATGTACAGTGTCTATTATTATAAGAAAACAATTTGCATGAAACAGTGAGTGTGGTATAAATCTTACCAATAGCTAAACAAGTTTAGATGGTAATTATAAAATATAAAATCATTGAAAGGTTTTTGTTTAGAATTTGTATATTTTAACAGTTAAATGTTTTTGTGTATAGATGTTGGGAAGTGCTGAAAACAAACCAGCGTTCCTGTCAGACAAAAACCTAGATGCAGCCTTTAAACACTTACTACGGAGATTTCCCAATCCTGATGCCAAAGCCAGCGCGGTAAAGATTGAAATTCAAATTTATAAGATATGAACAATTTAAAGTATATCAACTCATCTTTAACAGTAGGAAAGACATCAGAGTTGTCTGTAGCCTTGTTTCATGTCTGTTCTGTGATTTGTCAAATTATTTTCTCAGATACATGAAATTGGTGTACATAAATTGTGTAAAGAATAATTTTGATAACTGCATTGTGGCGTAAATCTGTCTTTTCAAGTTCAAGTTTACATAAATGGTTTCAGACTTCAGATATGATATCTTAGGTGTTTGTTTTGAAATTTTCAATCTACTGCAGTTGTAGACTGATTATATATTGTCAATGTTTAATGTAATACCTACAGCTTGTTAATCTGTCTAAATTGTGTTGCAGTTACTGCCAATTAATTCGATCAAGAATGATGTTTGTAAGTCTTTACATCTCTACTACTTCACCTTTGTCGACATCATGGACTTCAAGGTGAGTTCCATTGGTCAGAAGTATGACTAGTTTCTTATTTTTTTTACTTCAGTCTCAAATACTTTGAGAATTATTAAATCAACTATTGAGGTTTGGAAAATTTTTAAGGTGTAAATTTTCACATGACTTACAGTAAAACTATATATTTATATATTTAATGGCATGTTTTTTATTGCCAGAAGTCAATTTTTGTTGTCTCATTTTTGTTAGTTTTGATTCAGTTGAAAAGTCATAAGTACACTTTAGTTTATCAGGATTGATTTACACATTTTATTTTTGAAATTGAAATATGCTGGAAAGTATTTTTTTCTTGTGTTTCGTTTTTGAAATATGCTGGAAAGTATTTTTTTCTTGTGTTTCGTTTTCCAGGACCATGTGGTGGACTTGCTGACCACAATGGATGCCTGTCAAGTCTTCTTGGATATTGTAAGTTCTTACTGATGGCCCATTTCAGTCATTTTATGTTCACATTTATACAATATTCAGACAAGCTGTAGGCTTGTAAAAGTTACTTAAGTGATTTTGATTGTAAGTATACTGTGATACTTCTTGATCTTCAGGCACACTAGACATTGGATTACTTTTGAAAATTTCTTTCGCTGTTGTGAGCAAAAAGTTGTTGCTCTGTGTTATGCAGATATTTTTGAATGGTTCTAGATCAAGTGACCTTTGAACTGGAAATTTCATGTTTCAGACCTTGAACTATGACCTCACTAAGATGTACCTTGACCTGATTGTGACCTATGTATCCATAATGATCCTGGTGTCTAAGGTGGAGGATCGTCGTGTAGTTTTATCGCTGTACAACATCGCACACGAGTATCTACATGCCACAGGGTAAGTATATGCCACACAGTAGGTCTGATTTTATCTACATACCAGGTACCTTGATTTTGGTATATTTTGTATATATGTGTAATGATGTTTCAGGGACCCTTGGTTTCCGAGACTTGGTCAGATGATACTGGAATATGACTACCCAATGAAAAAATTAGCTGAGGACTTTGTGCCACATACAAGGGTAAGGAGGTGTATGTTAGACACTAATCTCAAATTTTTCCTGTCATTAATTCTGTTTTTGGTGTCGGTGATAAACAAGATTATAAATATGTGATGTCCTATACATTAAAATAAATTGTCCTTTTTTCTGAACTTGATGACAAATATCACAGTCTAGTTTCTTTAACCATGACTGAATCATTATTTATTTTAATGACTGTTGGTAATCAAACCCAGGACGTCTGGCTTACTAGTCTTGTGTCTAACTGATGAACTAAAGAAAACATCTCTCAAGGTGTGTGGTACTATGTATATTGTGGCTAGTATGTACCAGGATTATATTAGTGGTGATAACTAAGTCCCATCGGCCCCATTTTAGGTATGTGGTTGATAATGTATTGACATTGAATGGCTTTGACCTATAGGTGGTGCGAAATGCGATCCTGTCGCTACAGAAAATTTATCCGAAGCGTAACATCCCTGCAGATCAGATGCGAGCCACACAGCTTCTAACACTCCTGGGAGAGCCTGCTAAGATAATGAACGTCCCCAACACAGACATGGTGAGACATTCTTCTATGTTAACTTGAATTTTATTTCTACACTTAAGATTTTCATCAATAATAAACAAACAGCTGTGTATATGGGTAGTGAAGTTAAACTGTTATTATTATAGAACCATACAGTGAAGTAAGTCAAGGAGGCCAACACACAACATCAGAATCAAAGTTGGGAAGGTGCTTTTTTCTGAACAATGAAATATCATCTATAGACAATAATAGATACATGTGTGCTTATTACAAGAACTAGGCTTATTGTTGAATAGAGAGAGTATTATGATACAGTTTTAATGATCAGTTAGATGTGTGCTGTTGTTATAATGTTTGATTAATGAGGGTTCTCCTTTTTCTACATGTCTTATGTTATGTACATGGTCTTTGTGTTGTAGATTCAGTGTGAATACTTGTCACAAGATTCTATGGAGAAATGGATTATTTGTAAGTTTTAAAATTTGTAATGGCCTCTTACTCACAGGAAAGTAACTACAAGAAATATCTGGTTTCATATAGATATTGCCATGGTATCAACTTCACCCTCAGTTGGGGTTCGTAATTTCCCCAATTGTTGTACAATATAGAGAGTTAGGATAAAATCACTGTAACTAATTATCTTTGAATATTGATGAACTTTTATCAGACTTTCTAATTATCCTCTGCCTATCATATTTTGGAGTGGTTATACAAACAGGATCTATATCTCCATCTGGTAGATAGTTTCCAGACATATCTCTAAAACCATTGAAGATAATTTTACAAAACCTCTTACATCAATCAAGTCATCTAGTAGTACCTTTTCCTATGGAGCAGTTTTTAGTTTCAGTTTCAAAAGGTTTCACAGTTATCATTGAGACAAATAACCAAAATCACAGATTTAATCATTTCTGGGGTATATTTTCAAAACTGTTCACAATAACTCAACAAACTTTCTTCATCCATCAATATCAAAGAGTCTAGTAGTGCCTTCTGCAACAGGGGTGTTTTCAATTTTTATATTTCTTTGGTTACCTTGAGAAAAAGATAGTCAAATTCATTGGTTCCAGCATATCCAGAACATGTCTCCAAAACCATTTAAAATAATTTCATTAATAAGACTTTTATCACCACATCTATTTCATCCTTGGCTATTACCTTTACACATCCTATTACTTATATTATCCATATATCATGGCCATGACTATTCTTGTATTCTCCTCAGTTGCTCATTTGAAAATTCCAAACCATTCATTATCAATATTACAACATCAACTTTTATAAAACTGTGTAGAATATTGCTACAGTTATTAACTGGTGATGTATTAGTAATATTTATGTAACCTTGTGTTTCCAGTTTGTCTGATGATCTGCCACCCATTCCTACAGGAGCCACAAGCCTGGGATCTGTGGAAGACTGCACTGCAGTCTGGCTACATTGTCCAGCTGGTTCGGGATGAAGTTCTTCATATACACAGCTACATCATCTCATTCTTTGAAAGTCTGAAAGGGTAATGGTCATTTCTTTCTTGACGTCTTTTTGGGACTGTGAGAGCAGGGCTTTCATCTGTAATTCATAGTTTGTATCTGACTTCATTAAAGTGTCACTTACCTAACCAAAGAATGCTTTATTTCCCACAAAGTTATGTCCCTTTGTTCAGAGTGTGCTGCTCTGATTTGGCATGTATGTAAACTGTTTCCCTACAACTGCCAATCTTTGAATGGGAATACATCTTTGAATGACAGGGTGTCACATACTGTAATGAGGTCTCCTGGTCCACTAGATTCAGAGCCATAGACCTTTGTTGATCGTCAGATATTGATTGTAATTAAATCATATGTACATATGGGCATTAGATATTTATTTTACCTTGGATCGTCAGATGATTCAAATATTTTTGTACATTCCAGTCAGCACCTGAGCAAGAGAATTAATGAGATTAAGGACCTTCATCATCAAGCATTACAGACATCGTGAGTTACTGTAGAATCTTGTTACGTTGGGGTTGTTCTTATTCCAGCTGTTTTTTTTTTTTTACTGGTAATCAGTTTCATCTGTAGTTTTCACTAATCAAATTTCAGCAGTAAAACTATTATGTAAGTTAAAGTTTTCTGGCATTAATCGTTAATTAAATGTGACTAATTTAGTGATACTATTGCAAACTACTCCTGTGTTATTTCATTGGTAGTCCTGTATAAGGTTTGTATGTAATTTTGTTTTGTTTGTAATTGCCACCTCACTACTGATAGCCTGACTAAACTATGAACAGTTCTGAAATGTTTGAATGCTGAGTTATAGACAGTGTTCTATATAATTGGTATATAGGATGCTGAAGTAAGGTAGTGTTGATGGTTATAGATAAGTTTTAAAGTCACCTATATACTATTATGACTTTGTTTACAATTGCCTTACCTAGACTTAAATCTATCAGAATCACAATGCCTGTGACACAGAACTCCGTCTTCAAAGATATGGTTTGTTGTAGCTCTATGTATGGCATTCATATTAAGATGAAGAGTAGATTAAGCTTCTTACTGGAGCTAAAGGAAAGGCCCTAGTAATAGATTGGAAATCAGTCACAGTCTGTGAGAAATCTCTATACTGACATTCACTGTACTTACAGACCAGGGGTTCACCGTGAGAGGAGAAAGTTTCTCCGTTCAGCCCTGAAAGAACTTGCACTCATCTACACCGACCAACCCGGTCTTTTAGGTCCAAAGGTCAGTTTTTGTGATGTGGTATTAAGATCATTTTATATTGTGTTTGACTGTATTAGTGACATCAAAGGTTTGCTGTATTTCCTCCTTTTACATTGATAGTACAGTCAACCTAATATTTGATTTGCTTATCGTTTCACACTCTATTAGTCATCTGCCTAGTGTTTGTAAACAACTGACCATTATAGAAAAATCACAACTTGTGAAATGTTTACAAAATGATTAAACACACAAATCTGAGTTTTACAGAAGGTCTTGCTGTATCCTGCTCTAAACTCATGAGGTTGACCTGTAACACGGAGTCAGGGTTAGGCTAATTACAAAACAATAAAATAATACTGCAGTATGTGAGATTAATTTGTTTGCGATACTGAAATGAATTACAAATCAGAATTCATATTTATCCATTGGCAGGCCTTGTATGTGTTCCAAGGATTGTCAATAGCACGAGATGAAATCCATTGGCTTCTGCGACATTTTGACAACCCTCCATCAAAGAAACATAATATAAAAATAGCACAGGAAGACTTTGTAGACAGGTATGTGATGTAGTTTAAGTTTAGTAGATAGGTATGTTATCTGGTTCACACCCAACCAATCTAGCTAAAGTTCCTCCAGCAGAGGATACAATGGTATCACAAATGGAGTATGAAGTCTTTCGTGCTAGGTAATCTCTTGCTGTTTTTCACTATCTATTTTGTTATAGAAATTTTTTTCGTTGGAGTATTATTTAATTTACTTCCATATTACACTGTACACACAATAACACTTTCACTATGTAATATTATTGATTGATTGTGTATGCATTGCTACAAATGATTTCTGATTTATTTTCAGGCAAATCCCTGAACTGCTTTTTTACATGGAAGAATTAAAAGGTACTATTTTACTGTTTCTAATTTGTTGATTCAGTGTAAAAGATATTTGAAGGAAATATCTTCTGTAACAGGTCTTCACGTTTCTGTACAAGTAAAATATTAATTGTATGTCAACAAACAGATCAGAATATATCTCCTTATCTTTGGGTTTATAGATTACATGCATGTATATACCATAAAGATGGTGAAACATATTCCTCTTCTCTCTTGCATTACACAGCTCTTGTAAGGAAGTATAACCAGGTGATGCAGAGATATTATGTGCAATATTTATCTGGCTTTGACTCCGTTTTACTGAATAACCTGATACAGGTAAGAAATCTAGTTTTATTATTATCATAATAAGTCTTATAAATAATTTACTGGTATGCATTGAAAAGTAAAATTTGTTAGCATTTTACATACATATTAAGTTTTACTGCAAAATGTTACTTCTGATAGGAGTATCAACTTATCAGACTTAAATCAGTTTATTTTAGAAAGCGTTTTGAAAAACAAAGGCAATAAAAATTTGAATGAGTACAATGTTTTTGATCTTTAGATATCTTCTACTTAAGAACTATAATGATTATGCTCAATAGTTGATGATCTTTGGAAATATGTTTTAATGTGATTTTATCATGACAAATTAAAAGATGTTGGAAGATAAAATTGAACATTCAATGATAAGTAGTTGACATCGACATTACAGAACTTAGCGATGTGCCCAGAAGATGAGTCTGTCATTCTCTCCTCGTTGTATAACTCTGTAGCTGGACTCACTGTACAACAAGGTCAGTTCTTACCTCATATTTACCCAGTAACTACATTAATAAGCAATTTATAGATATCATATCTCAGAAAGCTACTAGATAGTGATGTAGGATAAAGTGTTATTAGTGATACATAGATTTATCTCGGGATCCAGACAGTTCAAGATTAAGACCAAGAAAACTATCAGATCCTGTAGGATCAATTAAATTTTAATACTAATGAAAGGTGTATATCCTGAAGGATCAGGTTAACATACTAGTACTGGATCCAATTAGTCTTTCTCACAGAAAATGACTTAATCTTTTGTTAAAAAACATGAATATTAAGCATCTTGCAATTCTTATGAGAATCCTTTTCAGTGTTCAAAGTATAGTTTTCTTTGTTTTTGATGGTAGTTGAAGCCAATGAAGTGTTTGATTTCCGTGGGATTCGATTGGACTGGTTTCGACTCCAGGTAGGAATCTGTTTAATCATTATTTCTTTAATTCTTTGTTATAGTTACTCACTCAAAGAAAACTGTTTAGAATAAGGACAATGCTTGGATATGTCAGTGTTCGTTATAAGTCATAAATAAATGTAGTGTCATACTCGTCATTGTATTGTATTATAAGGTTAGACTGCTGCTAAAGATATTATTCATATTGAGGACATTTTAGCATAATGCTTTAGAGTTTTTAGATCTCTCTATTTGATAATGTCTTATTAAATTAAAACAATATTTAATATGTAATTTACAGGCATACACAAGTGGTAACAAGGCAGGCCTTACCCTGAAGGATCATCAAGACCTCGGAAAACACCTCAATATGATTGTCTTCCACACAAAAATGGTGGATTTCCTAGACCAGATGTTGACAGAGACATCCGATTTATCTATTTACTGGTAAGCAGATTAAAATCTGCAGATTGTACATCAAACAAGCAAAACAAAATTTGATAGATTTAGCTTTCAGTATTCTTCTGACAAGTTGATAAAATTCTAAACCATCTACTTGTGTAATTGGAGAAAAGAAAAACCTAGGATCTACTCCTAGCAAGTAGATCCTATTTCTGGCTCATAAGTCAAAATCTGTAGAATCTTACTTTTTGCTAGTAGGTAAAAAAAACATAAATTGCTTTTGTAGATAGGTACAGAACTACCTTTGCAAGTAGATCCAAATTTATAGAATCCGCTCCTGGCTTGTAGATAAAAACATGCCTATTCGAGAACCTTCCAGTAAGGGAAATAATACATTTTTTTTCTCAAATCCCTTTACTTCTGCATAAATAATTGGATGTTGTCACAATTTTGTCTGAAGCCTGCTTTGGTGAATGGAAATCAATTGTATGAACTGTGGGTCTCATTCTCCTCAGATGCGAGGGGCAGTGCCCAATAGGAGAAATTGAGAAAATTTTTTATAATCCTCTTCTTCTGTTGGAATGCCTGGATGTTGTCCAATTTGGTCTGAAGCATGCTTGAGTAAAGAGAAATCAATTTATAAATGGTGGATTCTTGGTCCAATGGGGTGGGAGGTGCAGGGTGCAAGAGGGGAAGTAAAATGTCAGGATTCTGTCCCACTTAAGTTCTGAAGCACATTTGACGGAAAGGGAATCAATTTTGTATAAATGGTTGGTCTCGGCCCTCTGGAGCTGGGCCAAATAGCGAAAATTGAGGATATTCTTCTTTTGTGGGAATGCCTTGATTCTGTCCCAATTTGGTATCAAGCATACCTATCATTGAAACGAAAATGATTTTGTATTAACCAGGAGTCTGACATCAGAGATGCAGGGTCTAAACGGGCAAATCAAAGTTCTTAAAGATCCTACTTCCATACAAGCATATCACCCATGTTTGTCCAAAGCAATTTTTATCAATGGTGAATCTTGACTTCTGTTTGATCACAAGGCTGGACATAATCGGGAAATTATTTCAGAAACTATTTGAAATTCTTTACTAAATGACTGAATAGCTGTATTAGCCAGGTGGTTGATGTTTACTATTGTGTTGAGAGAACTTAGTACTGTCTGAAGAAATGTATTATGATATTAACAATATATTGTTGTATTAACGGTACTTACAGCTTCTACACTCAGATCTTCGAGCACCAGTTTAAACAGTGTATAGAATTTCCATCACAGCATCGTTACAGTATCGTCTTCCCCCTCATCTGTGGACACTTCATGGTGGCCACACATGAACTCTGTCCTGAGGAGGTATGTTATTCCTTGTTGACACATAGCTTTGTCTGAATTAATTACTGCTTTAACTTTTAATTAAATTCAACATAATGTAGACAATGTTTAACATATTCATTTCAAGAAGTATGTTCATCAATTAGTTAAAATATGTAAAAGATGAACATAGCAACTCAATTGTATTGTAATTGTCAGAGTCAAGTTTGCTCTAATCTGTGTGCCACATTTTTGTTTAATCAAGTAGAGGCACTGTTCACAATATACCCATGTATGTGACTTTCTTTTGAAATTACCAGGTATATGAAATTTATTGACTGTGGGGACTACCGCACCTCTTTATCTAGATTTTGATATTTCTCTTGGTAGATGTTGATCTCCTTACTCGCCTCCTAGATTTCAAAATTTAGGTCCTTAGAATTATATACTACGTTCAAGAAGGACGAAACTGCTGTGTGATGCACTTTCATTGATTAATTTTTTTACTTTACTTTATCTAATTCTGAATTTATATTTAAAGGATCTGTTAACTTGAATTTTATGCTGTCTATAATCAGCCATTGAACTTAATGGTGATCGTCATTTTTACAGAGACATTCTATAGGGACAACAAGTGTTCAGTACGCTCACTGGTTCCTCAAGGAAATCTCAGATGAGGTGAACCAGGTGATCACTGCAATTTGTGAGGAACAGTGTCTACTTAGTTATAAGGTAAGAGGTGATATGACATACGTTAGGCATGTCTGTTTGATCAAGTGGTCTGAAGTAGCAAGGAGCTCATACTACAATGTTTATATCATTTATCTGCTTATCAAGAAATGCTGAGTGGATTTGGACCAAATGTAGTCTCAAGCATTACTGGATGGAGATAATTTAGTAGTGTATAAGTGGATATTGTGCTGAAAGGGAGGTTAAAAATTTATTTGAAAATAATGGTGCAACATCATTGCAAATAATGGAGTTTAAACAGGCCTTGTCGGGAATATGTTTTGGCTTAAGTATGTTCCAAGGACAACAGAAGTTAACCTCATTTTTAAATGTATCTTAAATGTATCTAGCTTTATACCAAGGTGAGTACTTATTGCACACATGTATTTAAAATTTGGATGTGTTATGGAAACAAAACGTCAAAGTTATTGTCACTATATACAGAACTTTCTAACACAATGACAGTACCTCGGTAATTTGTACCAGGGAACTTAGGACCTGATATTTTCTAGCTATGCTGAGGTAGATTGGTTTCTCTATACAGCTATTACCCAAACATAGTGCTGCTACCATTCTGGCGTCAGCTCAGAAGAATAAACCAACAAAGGACAAGAATAAGAAACCAGTGGAGAAGGAACGACCAGGGGAGGAGTCTTTCAGGAAAAACAGGGAAAATTTTACAAGGTAAGGAACATGTAAGAGAGAGAGGAAGGGAGAGTGGCACGGGGAAGAGTCCCTCAAGGAAAACAGAGAAAATTTGATGAGGTTAGAAATATGAAATGGGAAAGACAGGTCTGGGGAAGAGTCTATTACGAATAAAATGGGAATGATTTACACAATAAGAGACATGAGAAGAGATTGACCCAGGGAAGAGTCCATTAGGAAAAAGGGGAATATTTTACATGATAAGAGACATGAGGAGAGGAAGAGACAGGCCTAGGGGAATGTTGTACACGATAAGAGACGTGAGGAGAGACAGGCCTAGGGGAATGTTGTACACGATAAGAGACACGAGGAGAGACAGGCCTAGGGGAATGTTGTACACGATAAGAGATGTGAGGAGAGAAATTCCCAGGGAAGAATTCATCAGGAAAAACAGAATTCTGCATGATAGTGTTGAAATTTTGACTGATTGTTGATGTGGTATTTTTGTAGGATGGATAAACTCCACATGGCCCTGACCGAGATGTGTTATGCCATTAACTACTGTAACGTAATACAGGTATGGGAACATGGATTTGTTCCGAGGGAGTTCTTCCTGCAACACCTAGAGACACGATTCAACAAGTGAGTCTATTCTTCTCTCAAATTCGCACTGTGTCTGAGCTGTAGAATAATACCATCTTTTAATGTAATTGGATGGAGGATGACTTTAATATTGTTTATTGTTTTACAAGTCTATATGTATTTCTTGGTGATTTTCATTAATGAGCTCGTCTGCTGGAAGACAGAATGGCCTTACTAGCAGATGTTAAGCCTGTTGATTATATCAGTATAATTTAAACAGATATTTCAAGTTTAGCTGTAAGGAAACTTTCTGAATGATATTTAGTTTTAACAATGATACTGGGTGGACATGTGACCATGAACTGACCTTTGTGTAACAGAGCATTGGTTGGTATGATGATGTACAACCCAGAAACAAATGAAATCGCCAAGCCTTCAGAGTTGCTGAGTGGAGTAAAAGCTGTCATGAATGTACTTCAGGGCCTGGAGAATTATGGTAAGTTTGTCCTCTGCTTCATAGAAACATCCACATTGTCCTTGTTAACATTACAAATGTTTACAGTGTTCTAACATTGGATTGGTCTTAAAAGATAACTGGTTAAATGTTAATTGGGTTGCTAGTGTCATGCTCTATATTTGCTCAAAATGTAGTCTGTTCAAAGTTGATGAATAACAGACTTCTTTTGCTGGCAACAACTTTTAAAGAGAACACTCTGAGATATGTTGGTGAAAATAAAGTTGTAATATATTAAGACATCCTGTTTATGTTTTATAGTACACCTGGACATTGCCCGAGTGTTTAACAGTGTTCTACCCCAGCAGACACAAGCCACTGACAGCTTCAACGGAGAGAAAACCATCACTGCAAACTATGCTAGCTGGTCAGTTTTTCAAAATGTTTTTAATTTACATACAAATCATTATTACTTCTCCTTTACTGCATGTATCTGTCTTTATTTCTCGATTCTAATGTAAACATCAACTGTTCTTACTTAAAGTTATCTTCCCTACTATATCAGGTACCTGGATGTTTTGCTAAGGAAAGCCACTGTGAATATTGGCCAGATCGTATACTCACCAAACTATAAGTCTTTTGTCACTGTGGCTGCAGAGTCCAACCAACAGGTGGTGCTTCAGGCAGAGGAGTATGCTGACCTTACAGGTAGGTCAAGGTCATCATATCTTAATGACTGAGACATTACAGGTAGGTCAAGGTCATCACATCATTAAATCTAGGTTATAAAATCAAAGCTTGAAATTTTACTTGAAGGTCAAGGCCATCATATTATTATGTCTGAGACCTTAGAAGAAGGTCAAGTTCCTCGCATCATTATGTCTGTAACCTTGATAGTAAGTTTAAGACAGTACAAGTAGATTAAGATCCTTGTCTTTGTCATTGCCATGTCCTTGATTCAGAGCCAGAGAATGTCCAAAACTTTACCTTGGTAAAGGTCATTTTATCAAATGTCAGACTCTAGAATCTTGTGAGAAAGTATAGAACCAAAGAGGCCTATAATTAATCAAATTGAAGTGTGTAAGTCCATTCTGTATGTTAAGTGATTTTAAGAATATCTGTTGGGATGGAAAAAGAAAGAGGGGAACCAGTAGTGAAGGTAAAGTTTCCAGGGGATACATAGTGACTTGCCTGTGAATGAAACTTAATGAATAACTTATAAATGATTCATTGTAATTCCTATTTGTTGCAGAGTTGCGGGCCTTAGCGGAGCTCATTGGTCCTTATGGCATGCGATATCTGGGTGAGAGGCTCATGGGACATGTTGCCAGTCAGGTGGACGAGTTAAAGGTAAATATGTATATGATTAATGATATTTACTGAATGTCTAATAAATTCAGCTTCATGTCTAAAATTTAACCATAAAATCATTTGCGTGTAAATAAAGAAGGTGACATTAATCTGGTTTTATTCTGCAGAAACTGGTAGTGCAGAATCGTGAGACGCTGATACAGCTAAGGACCAGTTTTGACAAACCAGAAGTGATGAGGGAACTTACCAAAAAACTAAATAGTGAGTTTGATATTCGTAGTTTGAATCTTTTTAACCTTTCATTTAATTGGTTACTTAATCTATCCCCTTTGTAAAATATATCTTTTCACTGGTTATTTTATTGTACCTTGATGAGCCATAATATGAAAAGGTTCCATGAAACACAGGCTTCAATAGCTCATGTAACAGCAAGTTTGATATCAGTAATGACGTAACCCGAGTTCTGATTGGGCCTCTTCGCGCTATTTTGACACATGTTACAATATGTACAATTTGACAATGAATATTTTTTACTTATATTATAATGACATCATGTTTACAGGTCTACCAGTAATTTTGAAATGCTTACCTACATTGAAGATATAAATTTGTTTTCTTAGTCTGGTAGATATGTATTAGGATTTATTAAAAGAAGAGATATCTGTGTTGATGCTAAAACATTTACATAGAAGCATTTGCTTGTACATTCTGATGTCAAAATATTCTACCTTTTCCTAAAATCTCTCTGAACAGTCGGTGGTAAGTCTGAAAAGGAATTTTGATTTACATGAGTGTTGAACTAGATGGTTGTCATGGATACAGATTCCTTCCTGCTCTATATTTGTGTATTCAGTGTAGTCTCAGTGTTTGTGTAGTATGTCACAGATTTTTAGGTAGAGATAACTTACAATCTCGCCTAATACTATCACACTTAACATATATAAAAGATAAAGATAACTTATTTCCTATCTATTTAGCACTCAAAGATTTCTTTTGAGAGACAACATGCATACTGAACTTATAAACCACCACACACTCCCCATATATCATGTAGTACATCACAGGTTTCTGGGTATAGATGGTCAACCTTAAACCACCACACTCCTCATATATCATGTAGTACATCACAGATTTCTGGGTATAGATGGTCAACCTTAAACCACCACACTCCCCACATATCGTGTAGTACATCACAGGTTTCTGGGTATAGATGGTCAACCTTAAACCACCACACTCCCCACATATTGTGTAGTACATCACAGGTTTCTGGGTATAGATGGTCAACCTTAAACCACCACACTCTCCACATATCGTGTAGTACATCACAGGTTTCTGGGTATAGATGGTCAACCTTAAACCACCACACTCCCCATATATCGTGTAGTACATCACAGGTTTCTGGGTATAGATGGTCAACCTTAAACCACCACACTCCCCATATATCATGTAGTACATCACAGGTGTCCGGGAATATATGGTCAACCTAATACCACCATACTCCCCATATATCATGTAGTACATCACAGGTTTCCGGGAATTGATGGTCAACCTTAAACCGCCACACTCCCCATATATCGTGTAGTACATCACAGGTTTCCGGGAATTGATGGTCAACCTTAAACCACCACACTCCCCATATATCGTGTAGTACATCACAGATTTCTGGGTATAGATGGTCAACCTTAAACCACCACACTCCCCATATATCATGTAGTACATCACAGGTTTCCGGGAATATATGGTCAACCTAATACCACCATACTCCCCATATATCGTGTAGTACATCACAGGTTTCCGGGAATTGATGGTCAACCTTAAACCGCCACACTCCCATATATCGTGTAATACATCACAGGTGTCTAGGTAGAGATGGTCAACCTTAAACCACCACACTCCCCATATATCGTGTAGTACATCACAGGTTTCCGGGAATTGATGGTCAACCTTAAACCGCCACACTCACCATATATCGTGTAGTACATCACAGGTGTCTGGGTAGAGATGGTCAACCTTAAACCGCCACACTCCCCATATATCGTGTAGTACATCACAGGTGTCTGGGTAGAGATGGTAACACTTATCACCTGTCATGTGTTCATGCAGATTTTTTTTGGTAAAAAATTACAATCATTATTCATCTTCTCACATTTCACACTTCAATTCATTTTTTCACAGAAAAAAATTAGATTAAGAAACAGTTAACACTGTCCTAAGAAATGTGAGGAATGATTTATTGTGTGTGATAATGATATTTACTCTGATTGTTGAATGGATGTTGTATAATGGTGATACAGTTTATTTGACAGTTTTATTGTTTGTCTATTTTACAATTATTTCTGTGCTCCAAACCAGTTTTAATTTTTTTATCTTAAAAAACTTGGAAACTTAATGTGTGATGTTTTGAATGTATGTTAATTATTGATATTTTTTCTATGTACACTTTTAATTCTATATATATTCATTTGTTTTTTACAAAATTTTCAAACTAATTTCATTTGTCAACAATATTCTATTCTATTGTATTAATATCCAAAGAAGTGAGCATTAGATAAACTCATTCAATACATTATCCCATGGATATTGCATTATCAAAATTGAACAAAAATTTGGTTAAATCTGAATCTGTTTAAAAAATCTATGGTATTTATTTTTCACTTCATTTTTTTGACAAACATGTATAAGTAGTATAGACAAGTCAATTTCTGCAATTACAACAGTAGATAAAAAAACAACCATAATAATTGAAATAAAGATAGCTCATCTGTAGTATTCAGATAAGTTCTTCGCAGTGTGATTTATCTAAGACTTTGTGATTGATTAGCTAAACCAAATTACCCAAAGAAGGATCCATTTAGCCCGGGGCTGTGGCTCAGTAAAAAGTTAAAGATGTATCGTAAGTGTGATAAGTTAGACTAAAATAGGGACTTTTAGTATACAGCTTGGGTCTGTCCAGTTTCCCATCCTCCCCATGCAGCTTTAGTCTAAGGTAGAGGGTACCACTTTATCCATTCCAGTCACATGCAGGAATATTTCTCCAAATTGTAACAGTTAGAGTTACTTCCCTTGGGAAACCTGGACGATAACTTTGATAAAGGATTCACAAAGAATATTGGTACATAGAGTTTTCGGTTTTTTCATTCATCTTTTGTTCTCATTCATTTCTTCTTACAAATACATGTATTGAAATTTTGATCATCCCTGAGCTGCTATTTGATAAACTGATTACAATATATGTGTGAATATAAATGCATCTCTCCTGATTAGAAATTGATTATACTTTTTCCTATATGTCCATGGTATTAGATGTTAAAAGGACAGACTTGGGACACATATAGTCACTCAGATAGTGTATGATCATGTTATACTCCTCACAGGGGGTTTATAGTAATTACTCTGTCTCTGTATATCACTACATGCATGTAGGCATCAGTACCAAAAAGCTTTTATACAAGATATCTAATACCCCTAGAAGGCTGGTTCATATTCATGCATATCATTATAATATGTACACTTGATCACATGTATCTGAATCTTTTACAAAAGATTTGACTGGTTAGAGGGTATTTATCTTGTCTTTTCTACTGAGAATTATTGGCTAAGTATTTGTAAGGTATTTCAGTGTTGCGGATGTGTATTCTGATTTACTACTGCTATTCCGTACTAACGGTAGTTTCATTCCACTTACGTAGAGCCCAAGACAGCTGCAAGTAAGCTTTTTAGTTGATTATTAATCAGCATATTACCTAGAGATTTGGGTTTCCATCTGAATGTTTCCATGATTTCCTTTTTGCATTAGATACATAGCTTTGTTGTTACTATGACAACCAAGGGTGATGCAGATTATATATATCATATTGCAGTGCCTGAATAATTTGATAAGGAAAACAAGAATCAAGGTTTACAGTACAAATCAACAGACCTGTATGATATACAGGTTTGTATAACTGGTGTTCACTACAGACTGTTGTACACTCTAACAGATATTACAAGATCTGATTACTTATCTATGTGAACAGTGTATTACATGACTATATTTAGAAAGAAAAAAGGATGTCTGCCACATCAATAATTCTTGGAATCAAGCAGGAAACACATCTCAACATAAGTCATTTTAACCCAGATAATTGGAATTATGTAACGAGAGAAAATATGAATTAAGAAAAGATTTACCTTGTGAATTCTTGATTCTTGTTACTAGGGAATTTTTTCATTCTTCATTTTTTTTTATTGATTATTTCCTATTTTTGCATGGTATTTTACTCTATATTGTCAAACGGATAGCTTGCAAGGAAGCTGTTAAAGTCTCCTCTTCGGAATTATCACTTAATCATTTGTCATTACTGCTTACACAATATAACTTATACCAAAACCTGGAAAGATAACCGAATAAGATGTAAGGGAGACTGTTGTAAACCCCTACAAATATTGGTTCTTAATGTGTCCTGATAGAAATACTTTGTGAGATATAAGTTTTCTGACAGAATTCATTTATGAGAAAAAATTGTTTCCCACGATGGAAAAGATTAATGAAATAATGAGATTTATGGAAAAAAGAAATGATAGAACAAACTTTTAACAGCTGTAAGTAATGAATTAACCATCTCCTATTTTGTTTGGCCTGACATTACAAATAGTTTGCCAAACATTTAATTAACTTGCATAGTTCTAAAATTTCTTAAATCATCTAAAAAAATATTGTTTAAACTGATGACATGTAGAATGGTTATTTAATATGAAGGAGATGTTAATTATGATACCATGTGAGGATTTAAAGATTTTGGTTTTCGGAATGCTGATGCATGTTTACTTACACTGGATGGAACTGATGTTGATCTTTCTCTGCTTTAACAGTCCGTCATCAGATCTGATACGATGACATTTTATCAGAATTGGAATGCTGGGATGACGTTATTTAAAATCTGTCACAGAAAATGATTTTTCTTTATTTGCATTTTAGAGTTTTATTTTGCAGCCCAATATTACAGTTTGTAGTAATTCTGAGTGAAGTGTATTTATGAAAATCTTTTAAAATGCTACCAGTCTAAACTGAACATAAAACAGTCTGAACCCTGGGTATGACCTATTCAAATCTGTTACCTGTAACTGAGCTAAATCGGTTTTCTCAGTCTCGGACTAAGATTCTTTAACATCCTAACCTCAGGTAATGCCTCAGTTAGAATTATGTTACAGGATCTTAGCCCTCAACTGAGATACCCCGATCTTGCTCAGTTACTGTAATAGATTTTTTTTCTCGCACCTACTACTCTGAAAATTATTCAATATTTCATCAGAGTTCGACGTATCCTGTTGGAGCTTAAAACTACCCACACAGCCTCGTCATTTTTAAACAACATATGGATAGTGCTGTGTAAACAACGTAGGTTGCACTTACAAAAATACAACACATTTTACAGTGAATATCTTATTTAATCTATATCAGGAATCTTAACAAAATAAAAAAATACATAAAACAGATCATATAAAGCAGATAGTAAATTTTTGGTGCCAGCTATGCCTACACAGATGAATTCACGGATCCGTAAAAAAAATCCATGAAAAACACACATGTGTACTAGACAGATCAGGCAAGATAGAAAAATTTAGGATGGGGTATTACATAGGATATACCTGTCTTAGGTGCGAGAAAAACCTTTATATAATGTCCTTGGTTCTTTGGCTACCAACTTACCATCAACCTATTTAAAAGTCCTTTTTACCTGTTTTGTACTAGTATTTGATATATAACCAATTCTTTTCTTACAACCATACTTTTATTATAAAGATATTTTAAAGCAGTCACAGCTGTTCTGTCAGTTGATTAGGTTTACTAAACATACTTGTTATAAACAGCTTATTCTATGTCAATTCAGTTTGGACAGGTAGTGTAACACTAATGAATATAATGTATTACCATTATTAAGGTCAACGTCAATAGATGGTTACATTGTAACCTATCAACTCAACTCTGATGTGTATTCCTGTTGTTTTACAATGATATTGTCATAAATTAAACATTTAAAGCATCATGTGAAATTTTACATATATTTCGTGGATGACTTCTGTGATAAATTAAGACCCTTTAATTATACCTGCATGCATTAAGATAACTTTTACTGTAAATGAAACAGAAGCCATTTTACTACTCTGGAATTTCAAACAGTTCTCATCTATCATACCAATTTCTTTTAGATTCAAAACAAACTGCTACAGGTAAGTTTATGAAAATAAACAAAATCTGCATCTTTGGAATGCTTGTCACGGATATGCTGCCCTAGTTATGTAGATTCTGCTGTTGGTTGAATGTTGTATAAACCTGGTATTCTATCTGGTAGCCATGGAAACTGGCTTTATACAAGTAGCTTCCTGTGTCTGGTTTTAACCTGATGGCCATGGATGCTATGTGTGTATGATATATATTCACATGTGTAGCTTTCAACACCTAGTAACTGTATCAAAGCTGGTTACCTTAGATACTTGTGTGGAACCAGACCTATTGGTGATGGAAGTGGGATTTACTTATGTATGTGAGAAATAGCAGCTTACACTTGGTGCCACACATGTAGCTGGTTACCATGGAAACTGACATAATATAATTATGAATATATCATTATATTTATAAATATACCAGGTAAACATCTTACTCTTGATACTAGTCAGCTCTGGTCACAATAGAAACTCACAGTATATAGGTACAACTTCTTACTCATGGTATTACAACAGGTTACTATGGAAACTTATTGAAAAGTTCAACTTTTCACTCATAGTATTACAGCTTGTTACTATGAAAACACACAATAGAAAGTACAGCTTCATACCCATAGTATTACAGCTGGTTACTATGGTAACTCTCAATCTAAAGCACAGTTTCATATTCATAGTATTACAGCTGGTTACTATGGTAACTCACAGTATAAAGTACAGCTTTCTACTTATAGTATTACAGCTGGTTACCATGGAAACTCACAGTATAAAGTACAGCTTTCTACTTATAGTATTACAGCTGGTTACCATGGAAACTCACAGTATGAAGTACAGCTTTGTACTCATAGTATTACTGTTGGTTACTATGGAAACTCTTTGTGTATCATTTAATTACATCCTCTGATGTGTGGTACATTTTATAACTGGATAACATTGTAATTTTCTGTCTTTTTTTAAATACAGGATGTGTTGCCATGGTATCACCCTGTTGGCATGGTACCATGTCTATACTATAACATGTGATTTAGGAAAAGAGGTTGGGTTAGGGCTTTGTGGTACTGTAGCCAGGCATTTAGTGGCCATTTATCTGTGGATTGGTGTGGGATTGTCATATGACCTAGGCATGGCATGGATGTAGAACCCCAAAACATCTGTCCGTTTGGTTTGTACATGGTTGACAAGAACATGCATTTGTTTTGTTTCTTTTTTCTTTGTGATATTTTACAACACCTTTTATAAATGCATCCTAGAATTCATAGGCGACTGTAAGGATGTGTGGTTTCTGACCATTTCTACACTCAAACCCATTTATTTTTAACTCCAATATATCTAAATATTGCATTTTTTTTTTTTTTTTAAATATACATCTCTGTATATATACACTTGAAAAAATCAAATCAACACAGAAATACGCTAATGTTTTCAGGTCTAGATATGTATTGATTTATTTAAATACCACTTTAACTAAAGGTAAATTCTGACCACAAGTAATGATAAGCCATCAGATCACTTACTTAGAAAGCTGCCATGGTCAACCTTCCAAGCATTTGTCATGTGGATTGTATCCACAAATTGTGAGATTAATATATGACCAGTATTTACAACAAAAAGCACAGATGTAATGAAGTGGTGGTCCAAAAATATGGATAATACAGGTAAAACATCAGACAAAAGTTTATGGATAATACAGGTAAAACATCAGACAAAAGTTTATGGATAATACAGGTAAAACATCAGACAAAATTTTATGGATAATACAGGTAAAACACCAGACAAAAGTTTATGGATAATACAGGTAAAACACCAGACAAAAGTTTATGGATAATACAGGTAAAACATCAGACAAAAGTTTATGGATAATACAGGTAAAACATCAGACAAAAGTTTATATGGATAATACAGGTAAAACATCAGACAAAATTTTATGGATAATACAGGTAAAACATCAGACAAAAGTTTATGGATAATACAGGTAAAACATCAGACAAAAGTTTATATGGATAATACAGGTAAAACATCAGACAAAAGTTTATGGATAATACAGGTAAAACATCAGACAAAAGTTTATGGATAATACAGGTAAAACATCAGACAAAAGTTTATGGATAATACAGGTAAAACATCAGACAAAAGTTTATGGATAATACAGGTAAAACATCAGACAAAAGTTTATATGGACAAGAACACCATTACACTGGTTTTATTGTCTAGTTTACTGTATGTTTTATAGTAAAATTGTTTGAAAAAAAAACACGACAAGATTACATTGATCATCAGGTATTTTAAATTACAGATACAATCGATAAGGGTATGTGATATTACAATGTTTTACAAGTTCTTGTGACTGTAATGGTTACATTCCTTATTGAAAATGAAATGCGTGTGATTTTTCTCTACCATGACTAAAACTGTTTATCTGATGAAAGTACATCATGATTATATATTACTACATCAGATTTATTTCTTTAAAGTCGTTCACTTGTAGGTTGACATGTAGTAGTATGGATATGCCTAAGCACATCATCTATTGAAATTTATCATTGTTACACTCCAGTGATTCGTGAACCAGATCATTAAATTAAAGTATTTTGATATTCTTTGAGGATTTCGATATAATGGAATTGAGACTGTATATTGATTAAAAATTGTCCGTTCTTAGAATATCAGTATGTTCTTGAAACACAATTCATATGAGTATTATGCATGTGTGACCAGAATCCTGCACATTGAAATTTTGGCTTGACATTCTCTGCTTGTAGAGATTCTGGTTTACAAATACAGTTCTTCTACTTATTATCTAAAGCCTCAACTTAAGAGTTAACAGCTGTTGTAATTCAGTCTGTAAAGCTAGTGCAGGGGTTCTCCGTCTGCAATGCTAAGGCTGTGTTATGGTCACTTTGTCTGCACATCTTGCACGGAGACCTTAGGTCACTCCCTGTGCAAGCTTGGTGAGTCCACTTTAAACAGCTTGCTAATCTGTTACTGAGAGTTTGGCTCTAGTGCTAGCCTGAGTTTGCCAACATTTTGATGATGATATTCAGTTCAGTTCATCAAACACTGCAGTGTGTATTGTACTGCTTCATTCAACTACTTTGTGACATATTTGAGATTAAGTTTCAAACTATTCTAATCTATATCGCCTTACATCTATTTATTAACATCTGCACTCTTAAGTGTATCTTAATTAGCATGTTCATCTAAAATAGATAAAACTTTGAATCATTTTTGATTATCTATAAGTCAGACTCTGGGACCCAGCAATTGTGGAGATTCATGACTAGGTTTCACCCCACCAACTTAAAACCCTTTACTGTACACATGTATTCCTGTCAAAAGTTTTCAAGTCAGTTGAAGGTCAAGGTCATTGTAACACGGTCTTGTGCTCTGACATTAGATGGTGACAGAATGGCCTTGTTTTGTCATTCCTGTCTACAGTGTCTTATATAATTTCATGAAACTTTAAACATTTATTTCTGATATGTATCTCACCATGACAGGCACTGCCTGTGTTCAGTGTCAAACAAGTCCGTATCAGGTATTAGACGAAGAGTTAAGTCAGAAAGCAATGTGTCATACATGGGTTTTAGAATATTTGTTATAATCATTGACTTATAACTATTATTATTACATTCTTAACGGCCCGTCAACACATAAAAGGTCATTAGGGCCCCTTATAACTATAATATATACCTTGCTTGTATTAGACTTTATCATCGCCATTAGACAGCCAACTGCGTCACTGAGATAGTCTGACTTGACTGGTGTCTGTTTGCAAGTGCATGTATTGTGATGTCACTTCCTGTTCTACTTGTAACCAATGAAACCTCAGCAAAATCATAGATTTGTCATTTCAGCTTTGTGTAGTTACGAAGAGAATTCAGTCTGAAAAAGGATTGATATCCACAGTAAAATTATGGTTTTATCTATTGAAACATGCTTTGTGTATTAAGGTAAAAGATAAACTTGTTTTCTGAGTGTCCACAATTTCTTTTTTTCTTTCTTGGTGGGAGGGGTTGGGTTGGGTTGAAAGAATATTTTATTTCATAGGAATGAAGAATTTATAGATAATGTAATTTATCAATGAAAACAAGCATGCTATGATTCATCAACAGTATTTTTTTTGTTTTTCCGTGGCATGTCTTAAGTGACTTGGTTTATGTCAATATTTCCCCCAAGAGTTACACCAGTATAAATAAAATATTTGTGTTTCAGCATGATAACCACTAAATGTGATGTATACAAGGACATATGTATTTAACATTTTACAATGGATGATACATAGAAGTATAGATGATTAAAGCTTAACCTGTACTTATCAGGAATGTGTCTTATTTATTTTATTCGAGAGAATCATAAGACATTTGTAGATAATTTCCTGATAAATTAACTTTGAATCAGTCAAAAAAGTAGTTTTTGAATCATTAAGGTCTATCTCTGTATGCTGAAATGTTTTTACCAAACTGAATATCAATATTTGATATTTGAAACTCTTTTCTGGATGGTTTGTATGTCAACACTTATTTTTTATACTTTTTTTTTATCTATTTTCTTAATTATTTCACAGTATACAATATTTATTTTAACAAGCATTATTTGTGTATACAAGAGTTATGTGCCTTGGTTACAGATGCTGACAGTGTACTGATGAGAATGACTATGATAGGAGTGCTCCTGTCATTCCGCTCTCTTGCCCAGGAGGCTCTGCAAGATGTACGTAAATTGTCACAAGTTCACAAGGAAGGCATGAAGTCTTAATTATTTTTGATTGGCCTGCCATCATCAGGTGGTGTTCTCTTTAAATTACCTTTTCTCCTTCCTAAGCTATTATTTTTATTATCAATATTTTTTTTTTTTTCTAACTTTTCTTTTTCATAAGAAAATTATTTGATATGATTAGGTTTCTCCTTTTAACAAAATGATGCACACAGGTTTTGATTTGATTGGGTACTCAGTTTAAAGACATTAGTTCCTTGGTGTATGATATGACTAACATTCTCTGTATGTACTATGTCCTTGTGCAGGTGTTGGATGACCGTATTCCTTTCCTTATGGCTTCTGTCAAGGACCTACAACATTTTGTCCCTAACACTAAAGACTCTAAGGTAAGCAATCATTATATGTTACCTTGATTACATGTTATTAAAATACACAAATAAAAATGATCTAAGAATATTACTGAACAGTGGCATTCATCTTAATGACGTTTTTACTGAGATCAAATAGGTGTGACTTTCATAAAACAGTTTAAGAGTATGTATTACATTATGTATGGGGGGTGTGACCAGCCAGAGGAGAACATGTAACAGATTAGAACTCTGTAAAAACATGTGTTAACAATGTAGACACAAAACACTGCTATTAAGTCTAATGATATATATAAATATAGCAAGTTTAATCCTAGTACAGTAGTTAATTGGGTTTAGTTTTAAGATTGTAACAAAATCAGTGCAACAGTAATTGGTTTTAACCTGTTGATCATTATAACTCTTGTTTGCATAGAGATACTGGTACATATGTGCTACATGTTTATAGATTTGCCAGTTGACAAGGATCATTAGAACTCTTGTTAGTATAGAGAAACTACATGTGTATAGGTTTGCCTGTTGACCAGGATCATTAGAACTCTTGTTTAGTATAGAGAAACTACATGTGTATAGGTTTGCCTGTTGATCAGGATCTTTAGAACTCTTGTTTGGTATAAAGATACTGGTATTACATGTTTATAGATTTGCCTGTTGACAAGGATCATTAGAACTCTTGTGCGGTATAGAGATACTGGTATTACATGTTTATAGATTTGCCTGTTGACAAGGATCGTTTGAACTCTTGTTTGGTATAGAGATACATGTGTATAGATTTGCCTGTTGACAAGGATCATTAGAACTCTTGTTTGGTATAGAGATACTGGTATTACATGTTTATAGATTTGCCAATTGACAAGGATCATTTGAGATAATACATGTTTATAGATTTACCAGTTGGGATTATATTGGACTGATTTATGGAGGGGGATGAAGTTAAATAAGAAAAAATTATTGTGTGTTTTTCAAAATGTCAATCTTAGAAGTAAACCTTCTGTAAGAGTTTCTGAAAGATTTGATACATACTGAACTAGTCTACACTGCAAAGAGGTAATAACATTGTTTTAGATTTTGGTATTGTTGTCCACACAGATTAGTGCATTACATAACTATGTAAGTGACTACAGTATACTTCTATATCTACGTGTGTATACTAGTATATCAATGATTGTATATAATTCACTTCCGTTAAAATACAGACCATGTAAAAGTTGGAATATGATCTGATATATTAACCCAGCACACGAAAAAAAGCATGCTGTGTGATTTAGTAGGTACTTTTTGAATTTTTCAAGAAATGTTTATTTTAGTAAATATTTTTCTTGTCTCTGCTGAGAGAGGTCATACATTCAGACAGACATATATGTAGAATTATTGTTAGAACTTATACCAAGATCTGTGAGGGATATAAATGTGTCAAAATATCCAACTTAAGATTGTTTTGCAGGCACCCATTATAATTCTGTGTCATATTGTGACCTTTTGACCTTGTTAATTAGCATGTCCATGTACTGATTTTCTAGGTCAAATGTCAGATAGTTAGGATTAAAATAAGGTTTGACATTTCTTATATTGGTAGTGTTGTATATCATGACTATGTAGGAAGTGTTGTACATCATGGCTATGAAGGAAGTGTTGTACATCATGGCTATGTAGGGTGTGTTGTACATCATGGCTATGTAGGAAGTGTTGTACATCATGGCTATGTCGGATGTGTTGTACATCATGGCTATGGAGGAAGTGTTGTACATCATGGCTATGTAGGGTGTGTTGTACATCATGGCTATGTAAGTAGTGTTGTACATCATGGCTATGTAGGGTGTGTTGTACATCATGGCTATGTAGGAAGTGTTGTACGTCATGGCTATGTAGGAAGTGTTGTACATCATGGCTATGTAGGGTGTGTTGTACGTCATGGCCATGTAGGAAATGTTGTACATCATGGCTATGTAGGGTGTGTTGTACATCATGGCTATGTAGGAAGTGCTGTACATCATGGCTATGTAGGGTGTGTTGTACATCATGGCTATGTAGGAAGTGTTGTACATCATGGCTATGTAGGAAGTGTTGTACATCATGGCTATGTAGGGTGTGTTGTACATCATGGCAATGTAGGAAGTGTTGTACATCATGGCTATGTAGGAAGTGTTGTACATCATGGCTATGTAGGGTGTGTTGTACGTCATGGCCATGTAGGAAGTGTTGTACGTCATGGCTATGTAGGAAGTGTTGTACATCATGGCTATGTAGGGTGTGTTGTACATCATGGCTATGTAGAGTGTGTTGTACATCCTGGCTATGTAGGAAGTGTTGTACATCATGGCTATGTAGGAAGTGTTGTACATCATGGCTATGTAGGATGTGTTGTACATCATAGCTATGTAGGGTGTGTTGTACATCATGGCTATGTAGGAAGTGTTGTACATCATGGCTATGTAGGAAATGTTGTACATCATGGCTATGTAGGTTGTGTTGTACATCATGGCTATATAGGAAGTGTTGTACATCATGGCTATATAGGAAGTGTTGTACATCATGGCTATGTAGGAAGTGTTGTACATCATGGCTACTTTATCATTGTATAATGGACAACGTCGAAAGTCACTATGATCTGTGTAATTCACTGGTATCTCACAGCTTATTTTATGTTCACTATGATGTTAATTTCACATACTTTGAGAAATCAAGAATGACATCCCTCAGCTGTTGTATTTGTTTCTAGGTATATATGATTTGATTTGAAAGTTTTGTGTTATCAGCACATAGGGTACACCATAAAATATTAGTTGTCTTAAAGACTTAAATAGAGCGATAATGTCAGAAGTCATTTGTATGGAAGTGTTATCCAGGATTTGAGCTATTTTCAATTTCTAGTTTGATCTGTTGAACTAGGGTTGTTTATGAGATAAAGACATAGTACTTTCATTTTGTTACAAGTTTCGACACAGACTTCAAATTTTACAGAACCAGCCTGTCTTATGCTTTTATTTGTTCATCATTAGATATAAACACAGAAGACAAATTAATCTGCATTTGTCACTTGTAATCTGAAACGGATTGAAACTCATGTTGAAGTTTATGGTAATTTTATTAATGTTAATTTGTATCTAGCCAAAACATTTAAAATTTCCCATTCAACCTTTATTTAAGTAGTGGGCAAGTTTCACTAAAATGTCAGTGTATTATTTAATCTAAAAAAATAAGACTTTCCAGAACAAACCTGTTTCAATACTTTTTTACATCAATGATGTTGTTCAGATTACAACTGATACGGAACAAAGGTCATAGTAGACAATAAGGTTAAGGTCAGTTATAGAAACAGAAGGTTTATAGATAATGACTGCATGATACCTCTCGTTCACAACAATGGTTAGATATAGATACATGTTTTGTGACAAGGTGTGGACTACCGAAATAGACATGCTGCTCTACAATACCATAATTACTCTGTAGATAATTGAGATAATAGACACTGGCATGTGTATATCTACTATTTCTACAACACTGCTACATTTATATCTATTTTTCCTCCATGTGACAGTATTCTTCCATGAAACAGCAGGTTTGTCCTCCATATTGTCGCCACTTTCTGGTGTCACATCTCCCACATATTCTATCCCCTCATTTCTGTCCATTTGGTTAGCAGAATCAAATGATTTGAAATAAAAATATATCAAATGGTTGTTTCAGAATTCAATTTGTTTTATTAAAAACAAAGATATGAAGTGCATTTTCCTTTTGACCCAAATTCAGTTTTTCCTGTGCATTTACTTTTTAAAACAATTATAAAATCAAACAAGGTGAAAAAAAAACCCACCAATGGATGGATGAAAAATATTGTTAACAAAAGACAAATTAGAAACATGTTTAAAAATAAAATAACTTCAATAAAACTATGATGTTGTGGGAGGTGGAAACACCAGGAAGTGAGGTCATGTTGTGTGAATACTGTTGCCTTAATGTTGTTAGTGACTGAGTTATCTGCCTTCCTAGAGCTCTTCAGTTTACAGCCATTGACTCTGACAGTGGACCTTTCATAGCTGCTGCCCTCAATGTTTGTTTCAGAAATAAATTTTGCTGCTTTATTGAGTATTTTTGACAGCTGGCTCCTCCGAATGTTTCATTAGACTGTCCTGATCTGTAATTTAAAACGGTGAATACAAGATCAGTTATATTGAACAAACAAGTGAAGAACACTGTTGTGAATAAAGAATCTCAGTTGTCTTTTCATACGTCATGGCTTTCAAGCAAAACAAGTTTTAGAAAAACAGGCAATCTTCTATCAATAAGACTGTATCCATTAATAACTTATTGCTAATAATTAATGTTTTCTTCATGAATAGGTATTTCTTTGGCAAAGTTCTGTAAATCATCTTTTTTCTTAAACAAATGTGAATTTATTGAAAAGATTTAATACAAAATTTGATTTCGTTTTTGTTGTGAATTTTCCACTTTGGAATTTACAGTTATTTCAAATATGAAATAAATTTCTTTACTTAAATAATTCATTGTAAACTAAATGCTACTGGGGACAATCATCAGAATGTTGTATAGGAAGTACTAGAAAGGCAGCAGAACATCCCTAATTGTGTAACTGAACTTGGTGTTGTTCACTTCTGGATGTCATTTATATGTCTGTTAGAATTAACTAATTAGTGGATTATAATACTAGATCTTAGATCAACTTATACGCATGTTGTTTACCTATATACTATTCAACTTTAGAGTTTCTTTGATTAAAGCATGCCGAGTTGTTCATATGTGTACACATTTTATATTTATTTGTGTTGTTTATATTACAAAAGGTGATTTTCTAAAACCATTTTTCTTTTTATTTCTCCCACTAATTTGCAATTATATATATGCAGTGAGATTGAAATTTTGACACCCGAATTCTTCCAATAACATTTCTACCTCTGTATTTTGTAATGTTATGTAGTGGAGAAGAGTTGCTTAGTACCGGATAATTTATTTCGAAGAGGGGAATCTGGTTGACAACCTGATATTTTATAGAGAAGGGAGAGAGGAGGGGGAGTCTGGTTGACTACCTGATATTTTATAGAGAAGGGGGAAGTCTGGTTGACAACCTGATAATTTATAGAGAAGGGGGGAGTCTGGTTGACTCCCTGATATTTTATAGAGAAGGGAGAGAGGAGGGGGAGTCTGGTTGACAACCTGATATTTTATAAATAAGGGGGGAGTCTGGTTGACTACCTGATATTTTATAGGGAATGGGGGAATCTGGTTGACAACCTGATATCTTATGGAGAAGGGGGGAGTCTGGTTGACAACCTGATAATTTATAGAGATGTGGGGAGTCTGGTTGACTTGACTACCTAATATTTTATAGTGAAGGAGGGAATCTGGTTGACTACCTGATATTTTATAGAGAAGGGGGGAGTCTGGTTGACAACCTGATAATTTATAGAGAAGGGGGAAGTCTGGTTGACAACCTGATATTTTATAGAGAAGGGAGAGAGGAGGGGAAGTCTGGTTGACAACCTGATATTTTATAGAGAAGGGAGAGAGGAGGGGGAGTCTGGTTGACTACCTGATATTTTATAGGGAATGGGGGAATCTGGTTGACAACCTGATATTTTATGGAGAAGGGGGGAGTCTGGTTGACAACCTGATATTTATAGAGAAGGGGGAAGTCTGGTTGACAACCTGATATTTTATAGAGAAGGGAGAGAGGAGGGGAAGTCTGGTTGACTACCTGATATTTTATAGGGAAGGGGAATCTGGTTGACAACCTGATATTTTATGGAGAAGGGGGGAGTCTGGGAGAGAGAGAAGGGGGGAGTCTGGTTGACAACCTGATATTTATAGAGAAGGGGGAAGTCTGGTTGACAACCTGATATTTTATAGAGAAGGGAGAGAGGAGGGGGAGTCTGGTTGACAACCTGATATTTTATAGAGAAGGGAGAGAGGAGGGGAAGTCTGGTTGACAACCTGATATTTTATAAAGAAGGGGGGAGTCTGGTTGACAACCTGATAATTTATAGAGAAGGGGGAAGTCTGGTTGACTACCTGATATTTTATAGAGAATGTGAATATTTTGGGGGAGGGGATATAGGAATAAGTGTTATCATGTGTTATAGACATTTTTTAGTTTTTATCACCGGTCAATACTGATGTTGTATCATGTAGCACATCATTATGGTAACTTTTTTTTGATAACAAATTATAAGATAATTGTTGTATCTGATTTGATGCTATATAGTGTGTACTGTGTTTACCCTGCACTTAGCCAAGAAAGTCAACACATTTTTCCTAAATGGATATCAGGGGGTGGGCTTATTACAGGACAATGAAACAACATTTGTTGGTAATAATTAAGTGAACACAATAGATATGGTTGGGCTTATTACCAGGTGTGGGCTTGTTGTAGATAGATATGGTAAATTCTGTATAGATGTGTTGACCTGGAGGCAATCTCTCTGTAGTTTCTTATTTACCTTCAGCAGCAAAAACAATCATTCTGCTTATGCTGTTCAAGAAAATCCAATTAACAGAAAGAAAGTATCTTCAAATCAATGACGCGACACAAAAAAGAGTGTTGTATAAATGTTGGAAACTCCAGCATATTTTATCAAAGTTGCTTACTGCTGATTCTGTTGGCAACAGATATTGCGTTTTCTTCCTTTTGCTGTGGTGGTTTCAGGATTTGGAAAGTTTGAATAAACACCAACATTTAATACTTTAAGATGTAATAATTTGATATTGATGAAAATTTTGATTTAAATATGGCAACTTGACACTTTTTGATTGGCAGAAAGTGTATTCATCATGGAGATTTACAAAGGTATGAAACTCACCAAAAGTTAAAACGTATCTCCTGTCGAATATTTTTATTATATTGTATAAAGAATAGATTTTCCTTGATTATTAGTTTGTATCCTTTTGTCATGTCTAGATATTCTGACTCGCTAGCTTGTGAAATTTTATTTAAAGTTTACCTGCACTGTTGGTATTACAGGTAGTAAATGAGATGGCGTCTGCTGGGGGTCTACCCTGTAACGTGGATCCTACTCTTATCAATGCCCTCCGACAGATGAAGTGTGGTATGTATTAACTTCTGTACACAGATGGATTTGGACGTTGATCAAACTTGGTACACCATTGGGACAGTCATCAGTAGAGGAATTCATACTGATTTATAGAGTTCATTAACCTTGGGTTTTTTTTTTTCATCAATAATCATCATCATAAGAGCGTTTGATCTTTAAGATATACATTGCAGTACTGGGTGACATTCTAATGACCCAGATCAGTCTATACAAATCTGAATTATTGAAATATCAAGAGAACATCGTATAAAGTATGTTCTTTCTCTGCTAGAGCAACACAATTTGTCGGATTCCACAGATGACATCTCTGAAGGTAAATCTCTCAGTACATACTGTACTGACAAGCCTGTCAGGCATGGCTGCAGTATGCAGTGCCTTATAAATAGCATGTTTGTACTGATACTATAGAAAGAAAGGCATGGATTCCTCATGTAATCAAACCATGACAAATCTAAAGAGAAAGAACAATGTAACCATACTGTATAGGTAACACATATGAACTCTCTCTAGTAATCTTACCATCACAAGAAACAAGACACCAATTCTCCTTTCATGTTCTCGTATCTGTATTATGTAGTCATACAGACAGGCATGAACTCTTAATTAACTATAATTCCCCGGTATATTCTTTACCAGTAGGTATAAATCATGATTGGCATGAATTTTTATACTGTAATTGTACACAACTTACTGTAAGGAGGCATGAAAACCTTTTATACTATAAAATATTGATGAAAAAGATCTGTATCGAATGTGTGATTGCTTGTAGATGTAAGTGTAGCATGAGGCCATCCCAATGATCCTCAGGTTTGGACATCTCAGTCCATTTTCTTCATTAGGTCAACTTCCTGTTATATTACCTTCAGTGTTACAAATAGGCGAAATCCTGAACAAAAAAGTCTGGAATGAGTTGTCAATGTTGTAAATGGTTACAGAAATTTGTCATGCAATGAAATCTTCTTTGCTTGCAGGCATTTTCTGGTTTTATACAAGTTGATAAATTAGTATTTTGTATCATATGATTAAAGGATGCTAAAATAAACTAGTAAAGTGTAAAAAATATCCTGGATGTTACTTAATGTTTAATGTTGTACAGGTTCACACCAAACCAAATGTGCCATGATATTTAACATCAAAGTTATCACTATTATATACATCTGATGATGGTAGACTGTTCAAATCGCCCTTCGTCCATGGTCTGTCTGCCTGTCCTTACACACGCTTGTTATCACAGTTTCTTATAAGACATACAGGATGGACCTTTCAAATTTCATACTCCTCTTGGTCCAATGTTTGTTCAGTTTCAGAGAAATGAAATGGACAGATATACATGTATTGGATTTTGAAAATTGAAGCTTGTTATCCCTATTTCTTGGGAAATACTGGATACATATTTCTCATAATTCTCAGGTTTCACATGTAAGCTCCCCTTTGTCCCTAGCTGTGTAAGTTTTATTTTTGGACAGACCATAGAATTGAAATGGCTGACATATTACATTTCTAAAGCTGAGGCTTCTCCAATCTCAAGTTTCACAAATAGACTCATCCTGGTTCAAAGCTGATTTAAAAAAAACAATATGGCTTAAAAGCAGTCATCTTGGATTTTTGCACTCAGAATTTGTTATCACATATTATTAGATGTACCAGTGCACTTCTTCTCAGGTTATGTATGATGTATTGTAGAACTGATTAGAAAAAATAAATGGCGGAGAAAAAGCTAATGGCAAATTAAATCAAAATATGATAAAAGAAGGGAAAAGACCCAACTTGTATAGAACCAATGAAGGCCATGACATGGTGGGCGCCAAGAACTCTTTGGGATATATGTATAAATTGTTTTATATTGGGTAAATAAAAGCATAATTTCTTATAATAACGATGATAAATTACTCATTCCTTGTACATGTATTACTTTGGGGATGTGTTGTTAGATTATCTGTTAACCTCTTTTTTCAACATTCTGTAGACCTTTAGAAGTATATGATGTTGTATGTATTCTTTAGATCACAAAGAGAGTATGACATGAAACAAACTGTACATCACATGACAAGCTGTATTCTTTAGAACACAAAGAGAAGGAGTATGACAATTGACAAACTGTACATCACATGACAAACTGTATATATGACGTCATGTGACAAACTGGTGATATGGCGTCATGTGACAAACTGGTTATATGGTGTCATGTGACAAACTGTATATATGGCGTCATGTGACAAACTGTATATATGACGTCATGTGACAAACTGTATATATGGCATCATGTGACAAACTTTATTCTTTAGAATACATGGAGAGTGAGCTTGACATCCTGTGATAAACTATATAAGATATTGTGTGACAAACTTTATATATGGCATCATGATACAAACTTTATTCTTTAGAACACAAGGAGAGTGAATATGAGATTGTGTGCCTGTTGATGGTCTTTATTGCTGTGTCCATTCCCAAGCTGGCTCGTCTGGAGACATCTGTGTTCAAGGCCTCCCTGGAAGGTTGGTTAAGTTACAATCTTATCTTAACTGACTGTAGTATACACTGTGGACTACTGGTAGTGAAGCTCTGGGGAGGGCATAAAATATACCACAGCTTTCGAATTATTTTAGATAAGTGTTTAATTTTCATAGTAACTTTGTAATCTTTTTAAGTTATTTTTTTAAATAAACATATGGAATATTAATGAATTATCTGTACATATAAAGTTGCCTTAAATGGGTGAAGAAAAACAAGGAAACTTTGATGATATGTATATGTGTGTTATACAGGGCATGTTAACAACACCCACTGTCTCGCTAAGACCATCAACCAGCTGGCTGGGGCTCTCTTCTCTATCCATGGACAAGGGGATGTGGCTGATCGACTTCAGGAGTTCTTGGCTGTAAGTATGCTACAATAACACTGTATATACATGAACTGCTCTGTCAATAATAATAATAAAAAAAACTGTGTTTTATGGTTGAACCTATATTTCAATTGGTTGTTTGGGTTTCTGTCAACTTATCAGTTATAAACTTCCCTGCCAAGTTTTCCATCTAAAAGAATTATAATCTTCCCTGCCCAAACTGGCCTCTTTATGTAGCGGAATCACAGGTCAGGGTTGACAAGTGTTACACCAACACAGAAAGTAAGAGATGGTAGCTAGTGGTGATTAACACCTTAAGATCCTTCTCCATGTCGGGGATAAAAGTGAATCCATCAGTGATGCTCCATTGATATAGGTTCCTGGTCTAAACCTCGCTAGAGAAATCAAATTCCTTGCTGTAAATCAGTTTGACAATGTGCATATTAGATATTCTCACTTCATACATGCATTCATAAATCAAGAGGTTTAATTTGTTTTTTTTTTCAGAACTACATCCAATTCTAAAGGTGTAGTTGACAATGTTTGATAGATTTTGTAAAACACCTTCACATGTTACCTGGCAGTTTATCACCTGTATTTTAGTTTAAATTATGACTTATGTTTTCCTACAGCTGGCGTCTTCAAGTTTACTGAGACTTGGACAGGAGAGCGAGAAGGAATTGATTCGTAACAGAGAGTCTGTGTATCTGCTACTGGACGAGGTAGGGCTACAAACAATAAGGGTTTATTTCAGTATGTTTCACAATACCATGCCACACCTGTAACAGGTATACATGATGACTGACATGTTTTGACAGGAGTGGTCAGTACTTGTAATGGCTGTAATACATGTATTATAATATATAAAGATAACTGATAAATCTGTTTGTATAGACATTAATATTTTTAATGGTGTACGGACAAATCTCACATTCTGTGTTACTGTAACCAAAATTACCTGTGATTCTGATATATCAAGAGACACTGGCTATAATTTGTTTTTACTGTTTTAGATTGTACAGGAGTCCCCCTACCTGACTATGGATCTACTGGAGTCCTGCTTCCCCTATGCCTTGCTGAGGAATGCCTACCACTCTACTTACAAAGCCTCGGCTCATGAGACATAGAACAAAAAACAGAACAACACCAGGCATTAATTCCACCAAGAATAGCTTAACATCCAGTGTCAGGAGAAAGCTGTCTCCATTCCTTTTGGTGTCCAAAGCTGTTGGACTTGTTACAGTGCCCAAAACATTGTGTGGATGAGGCTGTTGGAACTCCCAGCTAATAATATGTAGTATTATAGAAGCTTCCCTGCCATTGTGTGGATGAGACTGTGGGGGACCTCCCAACTAATGATACGTAACATTATAGAAGCTTCCCTGCCTTTGTGTGGGCAAAACTGTTTACTTAGCTGTTACAATGCATAAATCATTGTTTGGATTAACCTATGGGACCTCCAAGCTGAACAGTATTACAGAAGCTTCTCTGCCATTGTGTGGACAAGTCTGTGAGACCTGGGGTTTGTTAAAAAACAGCATCTCACCATTTTGTGTTCAAGGCTGTAGAACCTAGTTGTCTCACAAGTAAGCCTGCCACTGTGTGTACGAGGCTGTTTAAGATGATGTATCAGCCTCCATTCAGTAATATAGGTGACACTAAAGGCCACATAAACAGAATAAAAAAAATTACCAAGCATTTGGCTGCTGTTAAATAATACGACCAAATCATTTGGATGAAGGACAGAAGGATTTCCTTGTGGATGAAAAGTAGCTGTTCTAGACTTAAGATTGTACAGAGCGAGAGCAAATTTATCATCATTTATATCAGTGTTAGAAGGATGGATATTCTTTATTTTAAGTGAAGAATTCAAAGTATATTATATTTACCATACCCATACATGCTGGTGGTACGTACTGTGATGATATAAATCCAGAAAGGAATGTTGCCTAGATGTTATATTCAGGAGTTAATGTAGTACAATATTCAATACAATGGTGCCCGTGAAACAGTTACATTTATTTAGAAAACTTCAGTATAATGATATTACCATGTGTAAGAGTGGGTTGTTATTTTGGTATGTAGATAGAACATATATAAATTATCGCAATTCACAGTAGAGTGCTGTCTGTTTTTGATTTGTCAGCACCTTACTTGTACCATTTCAGGCATTAATCAGGAGGGATATCCAAATATTAATACAGGCCTTGAAAGGCTTAGTTAAATCACACCTGAAAGCCAATAACATCAGTAGGTCCTTTGTTATTTGATAAACGAACAACCCTGGTCCAACTGGCTAATCAAATAGATGGCCCTAGATTACCAACAAAATCTTAATCCAAAATTGTCTCTCCTTCCCGGGAATCCATTAAAGTAGTAAAAAATCCTTTTTAATTTTGCAGTACTTCAACCCAAGTTAATATCCATCAAAGATATTCCTCGACATCAAGAAATGTAAATTATTCGTAGATAGCTTCAGGATTGTGTTCCTATATGACACTTTCATTGGGACTTGTCTCCTTCACCTAAGTATACCAACAGATCTACATATGTTATAATGAAGTCATTATGTATCAGGCATATTATATACCTATCAGAAGTCTATACTGTATGCTAAATTTTTAAAACACCAGGTAGTCAATACTTATGATAAATAACGTGTGCGTAATTGAATGGTTTGTGAGTTTGATTTATTCTTCTTCAGTAACTTAGTGTGTGTTAGCAATAGGCTAGAATGTCTTTATTGTGTAACACATTGTTTTATAAGTATGTTAATTAAATCATAAGTAATATGATTAAACATTATAAAATGTCATTTTCAGTAAATATTCCTTACTTGGGAGATTGATGTACGAATCTCAAATGGATCTTGTAATTTTATACTTACTTACATGTATGTGAATTTTGATAATATATTTAATTTAATTAAAGCGTTAGAAAAAATTCCATAACTTTTGATCAAACTAATGCCAAAATATTGAGGACAATATCCATGTAATTTTGTTTATGAAAGTGTGTCATGATAATTAGATATTTGAGATAAGTATTCACCTTCAAGGAAATATGAAACTGATTATTTAATTTATCACTAAAATATTTTTTATCACGATAAGAAAATAAAAGTCAAAGCTAAGTGACATTGTGTATCAGGTATTAGGTGAACCTGAATCTTCATGTGTGATTCTTATCATTTTTACTTAATACAGTCTACAGGTAAATAGCACCATTGTAAGGTTGTTATGTTTGTACACTGAACTACAAGTGTCAGTGTTTATGTGTGTAGATATTGAGATCTGTTATAAAAAGCCCAAAGATAAATTTGATATTAATATTACAGAGACGATTTTCTGATTACACAGGTGGCCTGTACAGTATCTTACCTCACTGTACAATGTTAGTCCTCTCTCCTCATACTACCCCTGGTAAAATCAAAATAGTCATTTTGTCGCAGATTTCAGCAGATTTTTTAATTCTTCATCGTTTGGATTTTCAGATGTGTTTATACTGCAATTGCTGCTTCTCATTAATGATACATCAGAGTCATGCAGGTTAACCAGGGCTCAAATATGTACAGGTGTACACCTGTCTCCTCACTATTCAACCAAAGCACTGGTACTTTGTATACATTTCAGAAATGTTGCAGTGGATTTCTTGAAATGAAATATATATATATGTATTTTGATTTAAGCTTGCATGTTTTTATACGAATTATCTTTATGGATACTAAAATTTACTGTATACATGGTGTGTACACCATATATGTAATAAAATATGGAAATTTCTTTGACTAGTTTTACTCTCTTTATAGACAGTTTTATGTGTTGATAAACCTTGACATCAGAAGACTTCCTAGTTCTCTCCCCCATGACAATATATAGGCATTGATCATACAATTTACAGTTTACCAAACTTTGTTCTCCGCCTATCAGTGTGTACAGGCAGAAGGAATATCAATTTAAGATCTGCCATGGACAACATTTAAACAATAATTTGGCAAGGTACCTTGTCAATTAATGACAGATACTGGTGCTGTTTCAGCAAGTAAAGTTTGCCAAACATATGTTAAGGAGGCTTTTAATTCTTCAAGTACTGTCAACAATACAAGCTACTATTTACCATCCCTCCTGGTTTCTTATTCAAACGTAGATACTCAGATTTTGTACTGTTAACAGAAACATATCCAAAGTCTGCAAGCAGTGAATATGATGACCCGTATAACATAGCAGGCTGTGATTTGCACAGAACCGTTAAATGGAATATGCAGGGTCCTCATTTTGAAAAACTTACATCAGGCACAGAAACTATATCAGTAGATTTTGAAGAACTGGTGTAACATATTAACAACAATGACAAACTATACAACTTGTTTTTGCAGAACTAGAAAACTAACCATATATTGATTACTGGAGACTTCAATTATAAAGAAATAAATTGGACTGATATGTCAATGTCACTATTTGAAAAATCACCCTTACAGGCAATTCCTTGAAAAAACCTGCATTTCTGTACCAACATGCCTACGCTCCAAGATGCAGAGGGCCAGACTGCTAATTGCTTGGATTTAGTTTTTACTAAGGAGGGGATGGTCTATATTGACGTATATAACCCGGTCTCGGTCTAAGTGACCATTTGGTGTTAACATATAGACTAAACTAGTTTACCAATTTGGATCCTCACAAGATAGAGAAAAAGGACTTCCCATTTACTATTGAAACGGACAGTGAGCTACCATGTAATGGAGAGTGAGACATTAATGCATCTTTAGAAAACAACATCCTTCCCAAGTTGAATATTGAAACATGTAACCGAAATTCTAGAACCTCTGGAAATCATATTTAACATTCACTCAATTACCCTCAGACTGGATGAAAGCATTGGTTACTCCTTTTTATGAAAGTGGATCAGGAAAGAAACAGGAAAATTATCAACCAATCAGTTTGACATCTGATCCAGAAAAAATCCTCCAGCGATTTATTAAAGATGAATAACAGAACACATGTGCAAAATAGTCTTTTACTAGCTGTCAACATGGCTTCATGAAAGGAAAATCATGTGATTACATCACAAAGGAAATGGACGAGAGGAAACGTCAACGTCATCTATCTCGACTTATTTGATGGTACCAAGGTAACGGTTATTGCACAAACTAGAAAAATAAGGAATCAAAGGTAAAGGCAGATGATGCCAACCTGTTGAAAGGAATAGGAAGCTACAACAATAGTGAAGAGCTCCAAAACGATGCTGACAACTTATGTAAATGGGACATGTGGAAAATTCAGTCAGCATATGTGCAGTCATGTCTTAAAAGCTAATAGATTTGTCAGTCTTATACTTAAAACACTTTAATTGACAAAGATATGTTCATAAGTCTGTACAAAGCCCTAATTAGACCTCAGTTGAGATAAGCATTATGTGTTTGGAGTCCAATACTTAACAAAAATCAAGTTATAATTGAAAACGTCCAGAGAGGACCACCAAGAGAGTATAGGGCTTGGCCGACTTAGTACCATAAAAAGCACATGTAATAACAGAGTTGTAGATAGTTGGAACAGTCTACTGGAAGATGTGATATCTGCAAATAGCCTACACTCCTTCAAATAGTGGCTAAACACAGTTTTCACCTACATGTTGTATTGTTTCCCGATCCAAAAACTTATCATACAAGGATACGCTTCCAGAAGCCAAAAGGGCTATATTGATGTTTAAATGACATATCTGACAAAAAAGTGCTCATCTTTCCTCACAAATCACTTGTTTATAAATTAATATAACAGATTTGAAATGTACACAATTTAAGAAGTGGCCATGAGGTCTGGCCCCACTCCTAGGGACTCAGTTTCATAGTTATATCTTTGGAACAGTTGTGATCCCTACCTCAGAACCATATAAGGCAATGCTTGTCATCAAGAGATAAACACATTCACAATGTAAGAACTGGCCCTTTGGTGTGGCCCCAACCCTCTTGACTCAATTTCAGGGTGATATCTTTGAAACAGTTGAAATCCTCACCCATAAACATATATTTGTAGAACTGCTTGGCATGAAGAGATAAACACATTTGTTATCGACACTTAGGTGTGGCACATCTCAAGGGACATTAATTCTCCATTATCATATGAACTCTTACTGCGAATCAAAAAAGAAAGAAAGTGATGATATAAGAATTTACCCATTGTTCTTGCCCCATCAAAAAGGTTAATTGAATGAGGTTTCATCAATATTTGAAATACTCAACCTATAGGCATGTATAACATTGCTAGGCTTTAAGATGCAGGTGAGCGATACAGGCCCTATGGGCTTGTTATTTATTCTTTATAAGTAGGATGATTTCCCTTCACTTCGTTTATTTGACCTTACATAAAGTTTGAAAATTACTCTAGGAATATGGATAGGAGTCTTTCACTATCAAATCCAAGATGGATGCCAGTTGGCCTTCTTGTTTTTCAGATCGCTAGAAATGGTAGTTGCTACTTTCAGCTCAATGCTGAACAATGTGCATACAATATCAGTTTTGTATAATGGATGTGCTCTTCTGCTAAGTGCCTTTAGTAGTATACTTCAGTGTGGGAGCACCAGCATCAGTATCACAAGAACTCTTTCAAAAACATATGTATCACAAAGACTCTTTCACAAACACATATATTTTCAGATCGCTAGAAATGGTAGTTGCTACTTTCAGCTCAATGCTGAACAATGTGCATACAATATCAGTTTTGTATAATGGATGTGCTCTTCTGCTAAGTGCCTTTAGTAGTATACTTCAGTGTGGGAGCACCAGCATCAGTATCACAAGAACTCTTTCAAAAACATATGTATCACAAAGACTCTTTCACAAACACATATATCACAAAGACTCTTTCACAAACATATGTATTACAAGAACTCTCTCACAAACATCTGTATCACAAGAACTCTTTCAAAAACATATGTATCACAAAGACTCTTTCACAAACACATATATCACAAAGACTCTTTCACAAACATATGTATTACAAGAACTCTCTCACAAACATCTGTATCACAAGAACTCTTTCACAAACATCTGTATCACAAAGACTCTTTCACAAACACATATATCACAAAGACTCTTTCACAAACATATGTATTACAAGAACTCTCTCACAAACATCTGTATCACAAGAACTCTTTCACAAACATCTGTATCACAAGAACCCTTTCACAAACACATATATCATAAGAACTCTCTCACAAACATATGTCCATAAACACAATAAACACATGCTCTCTCCACATGGTTACACCATTCTTAGGACGTTGAGCAATAAGAAACCAAACAAACAAAAATTATAAATTCTGTTAAAATTTATTCTCATTTCTGATATCTGTAGTATAAAAAAGATTGAGTTTTAAAACATATTTCAAATAGTCTTTAATGTCTTATTGTAAACAAGCTATATTATAATGTATTGATAAAAATAAATGGACAAAATCTTGAATATTCTGTTACTACTCTTATTTGAAAGCCATACAAAAGATACTGGCATCATACACAGAAGCATGTATAACCCACTGTAGGGATTTTATCAATAAAGAATCAGTGATTTCTGAAACAAGTCTTTTTTCCAGGCTCACAAATATAAACGGCCACACATACATTTTTGCAGAAAGGTTTCAAAAAACATTATATCCACCCTAAAAACAGTACTAGCTTTCAAATGTCATAAAAATTTTAAGAAGATTTGAAAAACTTTATCCTCATAACATCAAAGCTGCACAAGGCAACAACTTTGACAACCAGTATTCTGGCCTTAGCAAAAAATATGAACCTTTGCAGAGATTTCGGTGGCCTGCATGCTCACAAGTACCAACTTAACCTGTGCATCTTAATTTTGCTTTATGAAATATCATTTTCTCAGTAATCAGCATAAAAATATTCATTTATGAGAGTGCTTGTTATTTACTATCATTATGTACAAAAAAATTCAATTAAAAAATTAAACATGCAGTACCTAATATAACCAGATTTACCAGTGATTAAAACACACAAAAATAAAATATATATGAAATATACTTTACAAATAAATCATGTTGTGGTACTACATACTGAATGATAAGAATGAAACGAGTATGTACACAAGGATATAAAACTATGGCAGGAATGTGCACTTTATGGAATGTTAAATCACATCTTCAATTATGAATTATGGAATCATAATTTGGAATAATGATTTGGTGAAAAAAGAGTTGACAGTACAAGTTTTCATGTTTGATGATTGATAAAGTCATTGATAGGTAAATTTTCACCACTGCCCTCCAAACCAACTGCATCCCTAACTCTGTGAGATATTCTTTGAGACTAATAATAATTTTCATCTAGTCCTTTATACAGCAATAACTGCCAAATATATTATGTTTTAGCATCCATTTGCCATTTATTTCTCCTGAAATTACATGACAAAGGAAACTGAGATTCTTATTTACATACTTACGATCAGACTTTCGTACAAAAAAATTTTGCAATTATTTAGTCATGGTTCTAACTAGAAAGGTGAAATAACAGTGAGGGCTTGTCATTATTTATCTATTAATGTTTCCGTTTTTTCACATTTTGTTTAACCCAGATTTTTTCTGCTTACACCAATACATGTTCTATAATACTTCCAATGTAGTGTCATAATGTTATACACAGTCTTCGTCTGGATTGATAAGTCCTTTCTGGTAAAATTCTCTGATTAATGGAACAACTTTCCATGTTAATTTAATGGCAAATTAATTTAATATTAATTTCATAGCAATTTTTTGAAAATCTGACTGATTTGACACAGTTTACTTAAAAATGAAATAAACTTCTCAAAAAATTCCTAAATTGTTTTTATGCTTAAGTAATGGCTTAATATCTAATATTCATAAAAACACAGTGACAATAACACAGCTTCTGGAGCAATAATCATAAACATTAATTTGTAACTTGGTATTGATGGACAGATCAGGGATTATTACCCAATTATTACAGACAAATCATTGTCTTAATTAAATGAGATTGTTGTAGGAATGATGATCTATATACATATATACAAGGTTGGTTCAGGAAATCAAGGAGTGTGACCTCCTTTTGTTCCAAGAGGACTCAAAGAAAATCCTATTGCTATATATACAATGATTGAGATGCCTATCGTCATCATGGACAGCATAAATGCATAATTTGCCCACTTCAAGGCTGTCTTGACGTCACCGTCGTCATAGGACCGACTAGACATCACTGAAAAAGAAAAGATATGATTAGAGAGTGAAGCTTTCATTGATGAGTTCAAAAAAGAAAAGATTACACACAATTATCCTTAACTAAACCTTAAGACATCATTAGGCAAAGAGACTAAAGTTAATAATATGCAAAAAAATAGAACAACATGTATACTGCTGTTCATCATCATGGGGAAGGAGAAAGGGTTTGATGTACTTTTGTATAACATTATGGGGAAGGAGAGATGGTTTAATATACTTCTGTATAACATTATGGGAAGAAGAGAGGGTTTAATATACTTCTGTATAACACTATGGGGAAGGAGAGAGGCTTTAATATACTTCTGTATAACATTATGGGGAAGGAGAGAGGGTTTGATATACTTCTGTATAACATTATGGGGAAGGAGAGGGGTTTAATATACTGCTGTATAACATTATGGGGAAAGAGAGAAGGTTTAATATACTTCTGTATAACATTATGGGAAGAAGAGAAGGTTTAATATACTTTTGTATAACATTATGGGGAAGGAGAGAGGGTTTTATATACTTCTGTATAACATTATGGGGAAGGAGAGAGGGTTTACATACTTCTGTATAACATTATGGGAAGGAGAGAAGGTTTAATATACTTCTGTATAACATTATGGGGAAGGAGAGAGGGTTTTATATACTTCTGTATAACATTATGGGGAAGGAGAGAGGGTTTACATACTTCTGTATAACATTATGGGGAAGGAGAGAAGGTTTAATATACTTCTGTATAACATTATGGGGAAGAGGAGAGGGTTTTACATACTTCTGTATAACATTATGGGGGAAGGAGAGAGGGTTAACATACTTCTGTATAACATTATGGGGAAGGAGAGAGGGTTAACATACTTCTGTATAACATTATGGGGAAGGAGAGAGGGTTTTACATACTTCTGTATAACATTATGGGGAAGGAGAGAGGGTTAACATACTTCTGTATAACATTATGGGGAAGGAGAGAGGGTTGACATACTTCTGTATAACATTATGGGGAAGGAGAGAGGGTTGACATACTTCTGTATAACATTATGGGGGAAGGAGAGAGGGTTAACGTACTTCTGTATAACATTATGGGGAAGGAGAGAGGGTTAAATATACTTTGGTATAACATTATGGGGAAGGAGAGAGGGTTTTATATACCTCTGTAAAACATTATGGGAAGGAGAGAGGGTTAACATACTTCTGTATAACATCATGGGGAAGGAGAGAGGGTTGACATACTTCTGTATAACATTATGGGGGAAGGAGAGAGGGTTAACATACTTCTGTATAACATTATGGGGAAGGAGAGAGGGTTAAATATACTTTGGTATAACATTATGGGGAAGGAGAGAGGGTTTTATATACCTCTGTAAAACATTATGGGAAGGAGAGAGGGTTAACATACTTCTGTATAACATCATGGGGAAGGAGAGAGGGTTGACATACTTCTGTATAACATTATGGGGAAGGAGAGAGGGTTTCAAATACTTCTGTATACCTTTATGGGAAAGGAGAGTGTGTTTGATATACTTCTGTATAACATTATGGGGAAGGAGAGAGGGTTAAATATACTTTTGTATAACACTATGAGGAAGAAAAGAAAGTTGTATCAATAAACTGTTCAGGAGTGTTGAACAATATTATTGGGAAGAAGAGGGCCTAATATACTGCTGAACAACATGGGGAAGAGAAGAGGGATGTATGAGTATGCTATTTAGTTTTGTTTTGTACAATATTGTTAAGGAGGAAAAAGGGGTTTAAATACTGCTTTACAAAATTATGGGGAAAATGAGAAGAATACTGTTTAGTACTGTGCAATAATATTAAGGGGAACATAAGATAGTTTTATATACTGACCTACACCATTGTGACAAAAGATAGTTTTATATACTGACCTACACTATTGTGACAAAATATAGTTTTATATACTGACCTACAACATTGTGACAAAAGAAAGTTATGCATACTGACCTAAAGAGCATTATAGCAAATATACACTCTTATACTAGCATGCAATGAATAGCTAAATAACATTTATATCAACAAGGACCTAACAAACGAATGGCAAAGGGGACTGAAGAGGGCAGGGTATACTGACCAGCAAACATTATGGCGAAGGGTCCAAGAAGAGGATTCAGAACTGTGACAGCTATTGCGAGGTAGATGTAGGTGTGTGGTTGCCGACCTATGTACTCGCCATTCACTACAGCTTTATTTACGAACACTGGGTCACGCGTGACCAGGAAGTCCTTGGTCCATGTGGAGTTGTCACTGTAGTAATATTGACTGTCATTGGGAGACGACCCCGCATATGCTTGGGGAGGTGGCACTGCTGTCATGGTTACTTGGTTATCAGTCCTGTAATATACATAAAAAAGTAAAAATGAATAGGAGAGGCTGTGTGATGCTGGATAAGACTGTCACAGTTTATATTGTATATTGTGAATTGATGTACACTACTTCAGTGAGTTTACCTATAATCAGGTGTGGTGAGTTGGTGTAGTGAGTTTACCTATAATCAAGTGTGGTGAGTTGGTGTAGTGAGTTTACCTATAATCAGGTGTGGTGAGTTTTCCTATAATCAGGTGTGGTGAGTTGGTGTAGTGAGTTTAACTATAATCAGGTGTGGTGAGTTTTCCTATAATCAGGTGTGGTGAGTTGGTGTAGTGAGCTTAACTATAATCAGGTGTGGTGAGTTTTCCTATAATCAGGTGTGGTGAGTTGGTGAAGTGAGTTTACCTATAATCAGGTGTGATGAGTTGGTGTAGTGAGTTTACCTATAATCAGGTGTGGTGAGTTGGTGTAGTGAGTTTACCTATAATCAGGTGTGGTGAGTTTTCCTATAATCAGGTGTGGTGAGTTGGTGTAGTGAGTTTAACTATAATCAGGTGTGGTGAGTTTTCCTATAATCAGGTGTGGTGAGTTGGTGTAGTGAGCTTAACTATAATCAGGTGTGGTGAGTTTTCCTATAATCAGGTGTGGTGAGTTGGTGGTGAGTTGTTAGTGTAGTGAGTTTAACTATAATCAGGTGTGGTGAGTTGGTGTAGTGAGTTTACCTATAATCAGGTGTGGTGAGTTGGTGAAGTGAGTTTACCTATAATCAGGTGTGGTGAGTTGGTGTGGTGAGTTTACTTATAATCAGGTGTAGTGAGTTTACCTATAATCAGGTGTGGTGAGTTGGTGAAGTGAGTTTACCTATAATCAGGTGTGGTGAGTTGGTGAAGTGAGTTTACCTATAATCAGGTGTGGTGAGTTGGTGAAGTGAGTTTACCTATAATCAGGTGTGGTGAGTTGGTGTACTGAGTTTACTTATAATCAGGTGTAGTGAGTTTACCTATAATCAGGTGTGGTGAGTTGGTGAAGTGAGTTTACCTATAATCAGGTGTGGTGAGTTGGTGAAGTGAGTTTACCTATAATCAGGTGTGGTGAGTTGGTGTACTGAGTTTACTTATAATCAGGTGTAGTGAGTTTACCTATAATCAGGTGTGGTGAGTTGGTATAGTGAGTTTACCTATAATCAGGTGTGGTGAGTTGGTGAAGTGAGTTTACCTATAATCAGGTGTGGTGAGTTGGTGTGGTGAGTTTTCCTATAATCAGGTGTGGTGAGTTGGTGTAGTGAGTTTAACTATAATCAGGTGTGGTGAGTTTTCCTATAATCAGGTGTGGTGAGTTAGTGTAGTGAGTTTAACTATAATCAGGTGTGGTGAGTTGGTGTAGTGAGTTTACCTATAATCAAGTGTGGTGAGTTGGTGTAGTGAGTTTAACTATAATCAGGTGTGGTGAGTTTTCCTATAATCAGGTGTGGTGAGTTAGTGTAGTGAGTTTAACTATAATCAGGTGTGGTGAGTTGGTGTAGTGAGTTTACCTATAATCAAGTGTGGTGAGTTGGTGAAGTGAGTTTACCTATAATCAGGTGTGGTGAGTTGGTGTAGTGAGTTTACCTATAATCAGGTGTGGTTGGTTGGTGTAGTGAGTTTACCTATAATCAGGTGTGGTGAGTTGGTGAAGTGAGTTTATCTATAATCAGGTGTGGTGAGTTGGTGTAGTGAGTTTACCTATAATCAGGTGTGGTGAGTTTTCCTATAATCAGGTGTGGTGAGTTGGTGTAGTGGGTTTAACTATAATCAGGTGTGGTGAGTTTTCCTATGATCAGGTGTGGTGAGTTGGTGTAGTGAGTTTACCTATAATCAGGTGTGGTGAGTTGGTAAAGTGAGTTGACCTATAATCAGGTGTGGTATATTGCATGTTTTTCTATCAAGTCTGAGGGTAACTGTTTGTATAGAGAATTTAAAACTAAACTTTATTGCATTTACAACGATTATGAAACAGTTTTCCGTAAAACAACTAAGATGAAGTTGTTAGCATTATTTCAAGATAAAACTTTAGGAAATATCAGTATGATAATCAACAGTATCACACCTTTATGAAATCCCACTTTTATATAAAGATATCATCAAACACAATCAAAATTTTCCATGTGGGCATGTTAACGTTTCTTTGGTTTAACAAGACCTGTGTGATAAATATAGCATTGTAATTGATTGTAATCAGAAAAGTAAACTGGACATGCAGATTTCCATGATACTACAATATGACTTATAAGGAGATCAAAGAAATGACTCTGCAGTAATAAGTAGAGAATCGTCAGCATTTTGGCTGTGAGATATTTTTGTCACAAGATGTAATAGACTGAATGATGAAGAGTTGATATACCCTTATAGGCAGCAGAACCTGCGGTTTACGAAGGTATGTGTAATGGAGATGTTGAGGGGAGATGTGCTAACAAGCGAGATTGATTGGGGTGAACGGGACGGGGTGGATAGGTAGATGATTGTCAAAATTGCACCAAAGATGTTCAGCACTAGAATGAGATAGGGAAAGCCAAGTTTAAGTATGTACAGACGCTATAATTGATCAATTTTTCTTGATCTTCCAAACAAATATGATACTGGCAAATGTCACTTCCGGTATTTTAACACCTGCCAATTCTGGAATATCTCCCATGGTATAATATACCTTCATTAGCACAGAAGAATGTTTTGATTCTGTACGTAAGATTTGAAAGTATTAATCAAAATAGTTCTTACATCATAATAAACATAAAAATACGTACCACTTTACATATCACACGAATTCAAAACAGTCACAACACTACTCGAGACTTCCGCTACGGCTTGATTACCTTCCAGGTAAATCCTAACTACGCATGCGCCAAGGTAAGCGCCCGAGTGACATCACACATCTTGCATTCCTAACAGGTTAACTCACGGTCTTACCCACATTTCAAGTGAAACACTCCGTTTTTTATTGCGTTTGTTTTAATGTGTACAAACGTCTTTAATTAGATATATAACCAAATGAATTTGGTACTCTATATGTGTTATATATGTCTCTGTCTACAATGAAAACAAAGTCTTACTAGTAAGATGTACAAACACGGACCGTGGAATTAGAAATATTGCACATATATAGTGAGATACCTAAACCCCGATCGGTTGAGCGTCAGACTAGTAAGTCAGGGGTCTGGGGTTCGATTTTCAAGCGGAGGCATTGAAATAAATAATGACCCCTGTTACATGGCGTCCAAGGGACTTGAGAATGATAATTAGCATTGTCCGAAACACATCGCTGTAACTCCTGGAAGGTCGAGGACGAGTTCTTTCCCCGAGGGGCAGTATGTAACCCAGGTGAAATACTTGCCACAATATACCGTTCGGCTAAAGGGAACTTCTTTTTATCGCTATTTATCGTTAAACCAATCGATCTAGCGAGAACTTCTCGATTAAGATACTGATTTCGGTCTGCTTCATTGGCGGCCATCTAGAGACCAGGGAATAATACTTAGCGTTACTTTCACAAGCATCGCCGTAACTCAGGGGAACTCGAAGACGAAAAAATTCCTCGGGGAAAATGTGTAACATTGGTGAAATACTATTGGTATATATCACTCGGTTAGAAAGAACTGCTCTTTAGCTCGATTTGTTGTGCACCAGACTAGTAAACCAGAGGTCCTGAGTTTAAATCCCGCTAAAAGCATCCGAATGCATTACACAAATAGTTAACGATCTTGTTAATCGGATGACCTTTATATATATATATAAACATATTTATACAAGGACAATGTAGTTATGTATAATTCACTGACTTATATAAAACGTGCTGTATCTTATAAACAAGAGAGATATCTAAGATATGGTCTTCGATAACAATTGATATGTTGTAAACTGAACGAACAACTCTAATGACCCCACTGTCGACTTGTCATCCCGGCATGAAGTCACCAAAAGCGTTTAAAAGTAGGTCAAGGACAAGACAAGCTCTTCTACCGTGTTCTTCTACCCTGAAGACTTCTACATCAGTTGCTTATCTCAATATTTGCCTACAATGGAACTAACATGGACAGATTTCCACTAAACTGTATGATAAACGTGATGATTTCAATTTCCCTATTGCAAATTTCAATTCCTGGACAGCAACATCCCTACATACCAAATCTATGATATTTGCTTGTTGCAGTTGATACGATATTCAAGGGCATGTTCCCAACATCAAAATTTCGTGCAAGAAGTCGTCAACTGAAGGACAAACTCGTAACACGTGGTTTCAAAAGATGCAGGTCGATGAAAATTATAGGGAAGTTTAACGGTCGTCATAGTGATTTCACGTGAAAAGTGGAGCTGGTCGTGTTTTACCTCTTGGTTCCGTTGTTGTACACCGTGGTCTCATTTGAGAACGAAACATTACTTACTTAGATCGAAGATATCTATATGGCGGGTGTCATCAATGAAGCAGAAGACGCTTACTCTTCCGGAACACGTGCACTTTAGGAGTCTCCGTGTACATCTTTCCTTTGTTCATATTATTCCATACTTTTATCAGGAATTCAAGCTTCATACTCAGATTCAGGGCATGCGGTAATCGATAATCAAACCAGCACAAACTTTATATGTGGCCGTTTTCTAATATAGTTTTAGAGCATTTTATTCCATTGTAAATCTTTAACTTAGAGCCCCCGGTGTCCACATGAAATGTCGAACATGACAAACATATACCTTGACGGGTAAAAAGATTATTGTTTGATGAAATCACGGACGAAGAATAGTCTATTCTAAATCCGTAATGAAATGAAAACCTCTCGTAGACTGAACAGGAGATCCCAGAGAGATCTTGGCACCCACCATTGTTTGATCTTTATTTGTTCTTTAAACGTTTGATCTTTTCTTTTTTCCCTTTCCTTTTTCTCTTTTTGCTCTTAATGAAAAGAAATTTGAACATTAATCCTTTGCAGAAATAGCGATAATAATCTTTAACCGCCAAACCCAAGATGGTCAACTGGAAGATCTATGAAGTAGTTCTCAAGAAAAAGCGATAACAAACTTTCAAAGTCAAAATCCAAGATGTCCGCCTCTCAGTCATGTTGCTTTTCTGATCAGTCTCAAAATCACACACACAAACTTCCAAAGTGAAAATCCAAGATGGCCGCCTGTTGGCCATTCAGTTTTTACGGGTCAGTCCGAAATAAAACAGGCACAACTAGAGATCAAGGGAACCTACAAATAAAATACGAAAAAATATATTTAGTAGTTCTCAAAAAGAAGCGATAACAAACTTTCAAAGTGAAAATCCAAGATGACCGCCTCTCAGCCATACTACTTTTCTGATCAATTCCAAAATCAAACTGGCACAAGTAGGGACCAAGGGGAATCTACATATGAGATTTGAGAAAGGTCCATCCAGTTCTTCTTAAGAAATAACGATGACAAATGGACAAGTGGAAGGACGACAACAGACGTAGGGCAATTTGAATAGCCCACCATCTGATGACGTTTTGCAGTCTGCAGTCAGTCGACAGGAAAAAAACATAATCGTTCTATTTAAATATATCGATAGATAATCAGAGAGGGTAACATGCGATATCTTGATTCAATATTACTCTCGTATCCGGAATTAAAATCATTCTTGGCTCTAAATATTATATCTTCCTTGACCGGAAGCACATGTAAAAGGGTGACTACTTCCCGTTTCATTGCAAAGGTTACTTCTTGTTTCGAATTGTCAAAATAAAATTAAAAAAAAATTAAAATTGTCATTCCAACGCAATGTAAGAGTATGGCAATATATTGTATGAATTTTTAATATTTCATAACTCATCAAAAAATAAGCTCTTTGCATGCCTGCATTTTCGTTGTAAATTGTACAAGAAATACGAAACTGTTTTTTGCTATATATGGAGGAATCAAGATGGCAGCCCTCAGGGAAGCAATAGCTCTTTTATCAAATCCAGCTCCTGTTTTCCAAGATCCAGAAGATAATGAAGATGGTATGAATGTGATGATCCGGCGAACTTGTTACTTGTTTACCGTTAGTCTTCGAATTTATAGATCAGATCAGAGACAGGTCAAAAGATTACCTAAAATAGATCTATGAATTGTCCACGTGCACACGTGTTTTCAAAAGGGAGAGGTGGGAGGGGGGGGGGGGGGGTTACTTTTACACTACATCTATTAAACCTGTTATTCTTAACCTCTTTATTTATTGTCCCCGTCTCTCCTTCATCCAAAATCGCAACAGATTGCATTTAACATATTGTACTAACTGTGAATTTGAGAAATAGTTCTGCACCCCATTTGAGTGTATGAAATCGAAACGCATTAACTTATATATTGATTTGGTACAGAAAACTAATTCACTACCCAAATGCAGAACGATTGCCCATATGTTGGATTGTTTGCAACACATGGTCAATTACTCGGCAATATGCTCAACACATGCTAGAATACATCTCTGCATGTCACTATTTGATCATGTTATAAATGCCAAGACATTACTAAGACATAATTGATCAAGTTGACCTATATTGAAGACACATCTTAGGCTCCAATATTTAATTTTTTTCATGAGACACAGATATAAAAAAGAAGTTGTTATTTAAAAAAATCATGTTTAATAGTTTCTAATGCTTTTGTTTGAAAGACACTGATGCCAAAGTTGTGAGTAAATCTATTGAGGATGAAGAAGATAATGCTGAAGCAAGTCATGTATCAAGCCTCCGTAAAAAGACTGCATTATCAACGGCAGATTTGGGTGAAAAATATGCTGGAAAGAAAACATCTCAAAATCACACACACAAACTTCCAAAGTGAAAATCCAAGATGGCCGCCTGTTGGCCATTCAGTTTTTACGGGTCAGTCCGAAATAAAACAGGCACAACTAGAGATCAAGGGAACCTACAAATAAAATACGAAAAAATATATTTAGTAGTTCTCAAAAAGAAGCGATAACAAACTTTCAAAGTGAAAATCCAAGATGACCGCCTCTCAGCCATACTACTTTTCTGATCAATTCCAAAATCAAACTGGCACAAGTAGGGACCAAGGGGAATCTACATATGAGATTTGAGAAAGGTCCATCCAGTTCTTCTTAAGAAATAACGATGACAAATGGACAAGTGGAAGGACGACAACAGACGTAGGGCAATTTGAATAGCCCACCATCTGATGACGTTTTGCAGTCTGCAGTCAGTCGACAGGAAAAAAACATAATCGTTCTATTTAAATATATCGATAGATAATCAGAGAGGGTAACATGCGATATCTTGATTCAATATTACTCTCGTATCCGGAATTAAAATCATTCTTGGCTCTAAATATTATATCTTCCTTGACCGGAAGCACATGTAAAAGGGTGACTACTTCCCGTTTCATTGCAAAGGTTACTTCTTGTTTCGAATTGTCAAAATAAAATTAAAAAAAATTAAAATTGTCATTTCAACGCAATGTAAGAGTATGGCAACATATTGTATGAATTTTTAATATTTCATAACTCATCAAAAAATAAGCTCTTTGCATGCCTGCATTTTCATTGTAAATCGTACAAGAAATACGAAACTTTTTTTTGCTATATATGGAGGAATCAAGATGGCAGCCCTCAGGGAAGCAATAGCTCTTTTATCAAATCCAGCTCCTGTTTTCCAAGATCCAGAAGATAATGAAGATGGTATGAATGTGATGATCCGGCGAACTTGTTACTTGTTTACCGTTAGTCTTCGAATTTATAGATCAGATCAGAGACAGGTCAAAAGATTACCTAAAATAGATCTATGAATTGTCCACGTGCACACGTGTTTTCAAAAGGGAGAGGTGGGAGGGGGGGTGGGTTACTTTTACACTACATCTATTAAACCTGTTATTCTTAACCTCTTTATTTATTGTCCCCGTCTCTCCTTCATCCAAAATCGCAACAGATTGCATTTAACATATTGTACTAACTGTGAATTTGAGAAATAGTTCTGCACCCCATTTGAGTGTATGAAATCGAAACGCATTAACTTATATATTGATTTGGTACAGAAAACTAATTCACTACCCAAATGCAGAACGATTGCCCATATGTTGGATTGTTTGCAACACATGGTCAATTACTCGGCAATATGCTCAACACATGCTAGAATACATCTCTGCATGTCACTATTTGATCATGTTATAAATGCCAAGACATTACTAAGACATAATTGATCAAGTTGACCTATATTGAAGACACATCTTAGGCTCCAATATTTAATTTTTTTCATGAGACACAGATATAAAAAAGAAGTTGTTATTTAAAAAAATCATGTTTAATAGTTTCTAATGCTTTTGTTTGAAAGACACTGATGCCAAAGTTGTGAGTAAATCTATTGAGGATGAAGAAGATAATGCTGAAGCAAGTCATGTATCAAGCCTCCGTAAAAAGACTGCATTATCAACGGCAGATTTGGGTGAAAAATATGCTGGAAAGAAAACATCTCGAAAGAAACTATCACAATTTGGTAAGAACTCCATGCATGAGTGATTTATTAAAATGAATGGGAGAAAACTAAACATTTTGCTTTCCTTTGATTCTTTTATGGACCAATGAAATTAAACTGCCATGTCAAGCTGGAGAAAATAAACAGTATTTAAAGAAACAAATAATGTATGTGTCTTCTTTAGGTGAAAGTGATAATGAAGAGGAATCTGATGATGAAGATGACGAAGAGTTTGAAGATTTGGAGGACCATTCAGATTCTGAATCTGAATCAGAAAACAATGATGAAGACGATGAAGATGAAGAGGATATAAAATCATTCCAGAATAAAATCAGTCAAGTTTCACAGCCTTCCAAGTCTTCATTCAGGTATAATCAGATGACTTAATTTAAAAAGTATTTGTTCTAGTATCAGATGACATAATGTTTATAATATGTGTAATGAAATACGTAGGCTGAAGGGATGTTCAGATACTTTTTTCTAAACTATTTTAATTGCTGCATGATTATTTCCCCTTGTTTTATAGTCATTTTAGCTGTCACACATAAATAATGAAAAGCCAAGTGTCAAATAAATGCTTGGAATGCTGATTAGGGGATGCCTATTAAAGATGTCTTGAATAATGAGACTTCTATGGTAACCAAGCATGGACGTGTCACATGTCAAGATTTTATTATGGTGGGCCTAGATGGCCCCACTGATTCATGTTTTCTATTTAATTGATGTCAATTAATTTGATTTTGGGCCATATGATAAAAAGTCTAGATGGCTTTATGATACTAGCTTCATTCTCTGGTATCGTGGAACTTAAATTCAGTGTTAAAGGTCAGTCAACACATCATATGCATTTATTTTTTTTTTCATTTGTGAGTAATCAGATGTATAAGGAAGAATAACGTGTAATTTTCATGACTCTAGCTTTGCTGATGATGGAGACTATAGCAAATATGCTGACATGGATCAGGATGAAGATGAAAGTGAGGGAAGTGATGATGAGAGCAATGAAAATGATGAGGATGATAGCGAAGATATTGGAGATAGTGAAGATGCTGGAGATGAAGATGAAGATGACATGGAGGAAAGTATGAATGGTAATAATTTTTTTTTGTTGCATTTTGGTAATGATCTTACACAGTCCAAAATTTTATCAACTTCTGTGTCACAACTTTCTTAAAGTTTGGAAATAGACTTACTACAGGGCATTTATTGGCAGTCTACTAGAACTGTAAGACATATAAATGTAGTTGAACTTTTAATCAGGCATGGGCTTATCACAAGACAAAGTCGATATAATTTACAGACATTTGTTTTCAATTGAAATCAAGATTAATGAAGTGATTACTTTTTTATAACAATCATAATGATTTTGTGTATTAAGTTTTGTGAAATATTTATGCAATAATTGTTTTGTCTTTTATCTTGCATTATCAGGGTAATAATTAAAAAAATAAATTTGGATATTTGTGTTTTAGGCAATGAAGAGATGACTAAGTTTTCTAAAGCGGATGTCAACCTTGAAATAGAGAAGGGCAAAGCTGCCAAAGCACAATTAGGTATGTACTACTGTCATTGTGTTTATTTGTCTTTGACTCAGATTGGTTGTTTTACCTCTAGCTTTGATCAATCATGATGGTCTTTGGGGTGTGACAATAGAATAAAGATTAAGCAGTTTTCAAATAAATTTTGATATAAACTGTTTAGAAGTAAAAAACTTAACATTTAAAAGAGATGTCTGCAGTATTCATTCATTTTGATGAATGGTCTAGTTGATATATCCTTTCAGATGGATAGATGATTGATTGATGATGGATGAGAAAGTGAAATAATCCACCATCATTTTTACCAACATTAGTATATACATACTCTGTCTTGTATTTATAAATTTTGATTTAATCTTTATTTTTTTAAATAAAAAATCCTAAATTTCTTTATTCTATCTTTTTATAAAATATCTAGCATTTTTTCAAAAGACTGATTGCAATCATGTAACTATCAAAGACAGCCTGATGGTAATTGGCTAAGCATCTCTTAATAAACAGTTAATCAAAGCTGATTTTTGAAATCAATACCACATTGTTAAATAAGGTTATGTAGGTATTTGATTCTATGTGTCAAGTTATGGTAATGAGAGGGAAAGCATATGTTTTAAAACTTTAAATATATTTTCTTAATTCTCAAAGATATGTGTCAAAAGGAGTGCAAAGTAAATTTAATAAATGAATTCAATATTTTACATGTAATTACTAAATTTTGAATTTGAACTTTATTTCAAAATAATATTTCTTTAAAATAACTATTACTTTTCAGGTATTTGGGATTCTTTACTGGAAAATCGAATTAAACTACAGAAAGTTGTTGGATTGGTGAATCAACTTCCTCAACCTGATACCTGGGGCACATTTGAGGACAACTCGGAAAAGGGGGACAACTTTACACAGACATCTTTAACAGGTAAAGTTTTAGCTAAGATTGTAAAGCCATTATAACCAGTCATTGTGTGGTCATCAAATAGACTCGTCTTTAAATGTTTCAGTAATGTAAACTTAATTTCATGTAGCTTTCTTTTTCAAGAGGTATACCTGATTTTGATTTGCTGGCCTTTCAAATAGGCACTTTGTCTGAGCCATTGTGTTTTTCCTTTATCGCAATGTGATATTTTTGCACACACTCAAGAAGCACAACTCTCAAGTCATGATAATACCTTCCCATCAGCAAGCGAAAAAACTGTTGGTCAGAATTAAGATCACCCAAAGATTCTTTTGTAATATTTAGGGTCACTTGTGACTACTCATTGGTCTACCTTTTTTCAGTTATATAAAGATATTTAGACCAAATGTCTGGCTGTAGTCAGAGGTTCTTTTCATCACACTACATGAAAATCACCTGAACAGTTTTAATATTTTCCTTTAAAGTGTAACAAGCATTTTTTATGTCTTATGAACTTTTTGGAAACATGATTGCTATTGTTGCAACTACAGCCCAAGCCAGTCTTCAGAATCTCCTGGACAAACTACTACAGCTCCAGACAGTCCTTCTGCTTCAGAACACAGAGACACGACACATCGCTATGGGAACAAATTCTTCGGCAAAGTAAGTCAGAACTTGTCTCGGCCTTGCAAGATTCAACGAGTAGATTTTGTATTAGCTAGTGGCTATCTCGTTAAACAACACACTATTGGACTGTCAAATGCTATCAGGACAATTAGGGTAAAGTGTCACACACAAGTTTATATAGGTGAACGCTGTAACTGACTGAGCTAACTTGACCACTACAAGACTAAGATAAGGCAATCATCAATATTGGAGAAGAAACAAGACGATATACAAACAAAAATTCAACATTTATGTTTTTGTTAAAATTAGGCTGATGAGATTAGTCAAAATGATATAATGAGAAATATTGCTTATCAGAGAATGTGAAGTTGAAATTTGACTGTATCTCTTTATTTCTTCATATAAAGGTCTGTCAAGGAAGCGAGGTCTGAGGAAGATGATGAGGAGATCACTAGTGAGTCTGAAACTGAGGAAGCCGAAGACAACATCAAGTCACTCATACAGAAAACTGGGGTCAAACGCAAGTTAACACTGGATGAGTACTCGGAGACTCTGACGAAAAAACATAAGGACTTCCTTGGATTTAGGTAAATGAGTCTGATAATGTAACAAAAATTTACAAACAGTGCGATTTAATATTTTCCAGAATCTTGATAACATTTGCTGTTGTTGAAATTATCCATTATGCCTCTGAAAGGTCCAACCTCAATCTAGCATAATTTTTAATTTCAATGTATGATTCGATAATGATAAAGAAAAAGAAAACAGGATAGTAGAATTGGTATTCCAACTGATTTTGTAAATACATGTTGATTTTATTAACGATGTGTAGAAATACAAGTAAATCACAGAATTTTAAACATGAATGAACAAAAATTCTTCAAACAATTTGAACCAACCAGATGAAAAATCTTTCTGGTCTCCAGCTGCTTTTTATGACCTTTGGAAAGTCTTTTCAAACTTTTCTTTACAGATTTAATTTGAAATTTGCCGGAATATTTTTCAAGGTGATTAAGTCATATTTCATATAACAAAATTTCAATTCCTTAGAACTATTCCAGAAACATATTTAGGGGTTATGAAGAAGTAATGATAACAAAATATGAGTAGTATGGGTGTACAATTATAGCTAACATAGGTGGAGTAAGGACCAGGAGGATAATTCAGCTAGGTGTTAATGTTTTTAACACCATGAATGCATGTAATTAATGAATTGTGTAATTTGCATTTCCTTTTTTATTCTAACAGAAATACAGCAATACAGAAATGGTATGATCGTACTCGACTGGTCAGTGGTAAGGTCAACAGCAAATCTTTCAGTAGCTTTGACCAGTCTGCTCTGAAACAGATAGAACAAGTAAGTGGTCAGAATCTCTTATCGCTTGTGCTCAGTTGTCTCCCCTATATTGTGTCAGATGGTACAGTACCGTAAAAAATCTGAATTTGTGTCAAGACCGTCTAAAGAACTTTTTGTCTTGGTAAAACACCACTTAACTAATCCTAGCCAATCTGTGCTAGGACATTTCTCTTAAGCTCTGTCAGTAGCACAATAGACTATTAGGCCTTCTGTTATATTAGTAGAATTCTGTCAGATGTAACCTCACTTTTATAAATTACAGTGATTTCTTAAAGCAGAAGGGATCTTTTAATTTCTGAAAAGGAAAGATTTCACCTTTTTTTATATTAGCAACTTTATAATCCGCGCCCATCTATGAAAGTGATTATTTATTATCACAAAAATCTAATTTGGTAGTTCAATATTTTTTATAAATGTTCAAACAATATCACTATTACATACAGATTCTTGGTGACAAAGAACGTCTTATAAAGAGGACACAACTGAAGAGGTCTGTGTTCAGAGTTCTAGGGACAGTGGAGAATGCTGATCAAGAGGAGATAACTCCTGATAAAGTATGTTCATCCTGGTACTGGTTAAATTGAGGATAACAAATTTTGGTTTATTATTATTTATGTTCAAAGGGAATTTTCAGGAAAAATCCTGTATCATAACAGCTATGGATTCTTTTTGCATATTTTTGTAAGATTTTCCATAAACAGTCATGTCCAGGCATTTTAACAAGTTTGAGATTTTCTTGAGGATTTACCATAATATTTTATATTTTATCTGTCGATGGAAAGTTTTACCAATCATTTGTGTTGAGAAATCTTTTTTAAGGCAGAGTCATAGAACATTTTTTTGGGGGATTTCCTCTGTGTGTGTTCGAAATCCACAGATACACAACTGTCTTCAAATTTATTCCCACCAATATTAAAACTCTGCAATTTATCTTTTATAAAAGACATTTCATGTTATTACCTTTTGCATAATACATAAACAGTATCTTTTAAGATATGAATTTCTGACATTGATTACTAGGTACTGTTAAAGTTCAGTGATTAAGCAGTTTTGCTGAAATGTTCCTATCCCTGTTCTTATTTTCAGCAAATTTCGACGGATTTAGACAACCTGAAGAATTATGATCCAGAAATATTTGATGATAGTGACTTTTACCATCAACAATTACGAGAATTGATAGAGCGAAAAGCTGCAGACACTGACAACCCAGTAGCCCTTAGCAGGTAATGTAATACATAGAGATCTAGATAATGTAGGACAAGTTTCTATGTTGTTATTGAAAATTAAAAATCTGAAATATGTTGCATTGCTCATTGATTTTGTATACAGTCATTATTTCTTCATCATGAACTGAGACTGGTCTTTGTTTGATCTTCTAGACATTGGTTAGAGATTCAAAAACTCAGAAAAAAGGTCAAGAAAAATGTTGACACAAAGGCGAGTAAAGGTCGTAAAACAAGGTAAGACTTCAGCTTATTTATACACAATTAATTTATTTTCATATTTCTTGACAATATATAATTAAAAGATAGAATTCATATCACAGTACACTTCTATCATAATTCCACATCGCAAATGGGATTTTCGTCTTTACCGTCTCAGCCAAAAACATTTCATAGATATCTGCTTGCTGACCCAGTATCTTCACTAAGGTGTCCAGTTTTACACAGAATGCATGGTAAAGCATTATGAGTAAACAAACTTTGACATTTGTAAACTTTAAATAATTTTTCAAATTATTATTATGTCCTTGTTCAGACATCACAAGAATACCAAGCTAATGAAGAAATGTATATTTTCCGAATGTTTAACAATGAAACTAAATGTAGTATCCTGTAGTAACATGGGCCAAATACCAGAGAAAGAAGTTCTCAGATAGACTGGTGTTTTAAGTATGTTGTGTGATGTTTACTCGTCAGATATGAAGTCCACAAGAAGCTGATCAACTTTATGGCACCAGAGGACCGGTGTTCATGGACAGATGAATCAAGGTACAGGATTTCTTTTAACCCTTTTGGCGCCAAATATCTCTCACAATGTACAGCTCAGCGCCAAATATTATAAAAAATATATATAATAAAGATATAAAAATTGTCGACAAAAGTCGCCTACGGCGGCCTGTCTGCATGTCGACTTTAGTCACCTATGGCGGCCTGTCTGTTGACTTTAGTTGCCTTAAGGGTTAAGTCTAAAACAGTAACATCAAAGCAAAAAGAAACAGATTTGTCAAGATAATTATAAATAAAATAATTATAGAATACCTTTGTTATTTCTAAATCTTTTGTTTTTGAATAATTTGAAAAATGGCATGGGTACTTTATGGATTTATTGGGACTAATAACTTGTTTTTCTACTTTAAAACCGAACAGGGATGACCTTTACAAGTCGTTGTTTGGAAAAAGATTCCAGCAGTCTTCATCAGCTCCTGATGCTGAGAGCAGCTCCACTGTGAAGTGAAAAAGTCTACAATTCCATTTTCCTCACATTATTATAGTCAATAAAAAATAAATATTGTATGTTATCTACTGTACATTTGTTCCTCCATATGTGTGCCTATATTGTACACATGAAGAACAATGTTTATCTTTGGAGCAAAACATGAAGTCTTTTTTTTTAACTCAACACTGTCCATCAAAACTGGTACTGTCACATTTTGACATTGCAATTTTTCCACGTTTTGACATTTCATAAATTTAATTTTATTGAAATTACCTGGTTTTTTACTTTTATATACCAATTATGATTTGAAGTTATGGATTTTGGTCTCATTGATGTCAAATCAATATCAAGTAGCATGGTGGTAAATTCTCTACAGAAACCTTAAAGCAAAGAGGAATTGGCAAGGAAACAAGAATACTGACAACTTCAATCAAGGAGCTAGTTAGGTTAGAAAAAGATTTATATTAACTGCCAGTAAAATAATTTGACAGCAGATCAGACATTGTCTAGGAATGTGACTTTTTGGTAGAAAATGAGACAAAATAGCAATTTTTGTGTCACTAAGGCAGTAGAGGTAACAAAACAGCAATGGTAGAAATACCAAGGCAGGACCAGAGACAAATTTTAACTGTTCACACACAGTCAGTAGGGGAGACAAGTAAGACCAACTGGACGTTACTTATAACCCCTGAGACAAAAGGGGGAGCAGAATGGTCGTACCTATCAGCAGCCACTTTGTATGGGACGAATCCTCTGATACTTAGGGGAGATATCAAACAGAAGTGTGACAAGGAATCCAACAATAAGAAATGCTTGCGTCATCACTACTGAGAAACGAAATGTTGACATTACAAAGAGCCCGAAATATAACATTAACCACAGAGAGACAAAATATTGTAAAACATTGTATGTCAACATAAAAAACAGATGTGAGAACTGAGTGGTGATTACACAACGAGATCTACTTAGCCACTGAGTAGACCAGCTAATAAGAAACCAACATATACTTAACAATGATCAAGCAAGGCTGTTTTAGAACTGACAAAAATTGTCTAGTCTGTGTTACAATATTTATTGTATTCTAGATGTTGGATGAAAAAGAAAACAAACAAACAAACGTACTCAACAAATTAAACAACTATTTTGTATCTGTATCAACGGTTGACGACTCCAACATTCATGTACTGACTACTGACAGTACAACGGATTCCTCTACACAATGTATCAGACAAAATGTTGAGACTGACGACATCGTGGACATAATTTAATCTTTAAATATTAAAAAAAAACCAGAGGGATCCGACATTATCAGTAATAATATGCTATAAAAACACCGCCCATTCAATTGATATGCAATTATTTTATATCTTTCAAGCGTCTTTAGTTAATGGTTTTTTCCAAGGGCTTTGAAATGTGCCCTGGTTATGCCATATATGGTAAAAAGGTGACATAAATGACCCCTACCAATTATCGCATTATATCATTGCTTAAATAGTACACATGGAAAGCTTTTTCCAAAAACAAATCACCAATTTTTTTTTACATAATTATTTAATTGAAAACTGATTTATTTATAAATATCAGTCAAGATTTCACTGGCAGGATATTCATCTGTAAATCAACTAAAAACATATTGCATCAAATTTGTGACAGTTAAGAAATTAATCATCCTACTTGTTTGATATATTGTGGCATTTCGAAAGACTTTGACCACCTATGGGATAAGTATTGACGCGGAGAACTTGAATAATAATAATAAAATCTGCAAGAAAAGTTACCGGACTCCCATAATATACTGGTAGGCATTCTCTATATCTTTAAACAAACTGGGATCCACTATCTGACCGTATATTTACACACAAATTAAATTTGTTCTTCAAAATACATAATGGACTAACTTCATCGTATCTTCTTACCTTCCTTCCTTCTCTGAACTCAGAAAACTCTAGATTCACGAGAGAAACTCGAAACATTACTCTACCTAACAATATACAGGACACATCGGAACATTACTTGACACATCGGAACATTACTCTCTACCTAACAATATACTGGAAACATCGGAACATTACTATCTACCTTACAATATACTGGAAACATCGGAACACTACACTCTACCTTACAATATACTGGAAACATCGGAACACTACACTCTACCTTACAATATACTGGAAACATCGGAACATTACACTCTACCTTACAATATACTGGAAACATCGGAACATTACTCTCTACCTTACAATATACTGGAAACATCGGAACATTACTCTCTACCTAACAATATACTGGAAACATCGGAACATCACTCTCTACCTAACAATATACTGGAAACATCGGAACATCACTCTCTACCTAACAATATACTGGAAACATCGGAACATCACTCTCTACCTAACAATATACTGGAAACATCGGAACATTACTCTCTACCTAACAATATACTGGAAACATCGGAACATTACTGGAAACATCGGAACATTACTCTCTACCTAACAATATACTGGAAACATCGGAACATTACACTCCACCTAACAATATACTGGAAACATTGGAACATTATTCTCTACCTAACAATATACTGGAAACATCGGAACATTACACTCCACCTAACAATATACAGGAAACATCGGAACATCACTCTCTACCTAACAATATACTGGAAACATCGGAACATAACTGGAAACATTGGACCATTACACTCCACCTAACAATATACTGGAAACATCGGAACATTACTCTCTACCTAACAATATACTGGAAACATCGGAACATTACTCTCTACCTAACAATATACTGGAAACATCGGAACATTACACTCCACCTAACAATATACTGGAAACATTGGAACATTATTCTCTACCTAACAATATACTGGAAACATCGGAACATTACACTCCACCTAACAATATACTGGAAACATCGGAACAGTACACTCTACCTAACAATATACTGGAAACATCAGAACATTACTCTCTACCTAACAATATACTGGAAACATCGGAACATTACACTCCACCTAACAATATACAGGAAACATTGGACCATTACTGGAAACATTGGACCATTACACTCTACCTAACAATATACTGGAAACATCGGAACATTACACTCTACCTAACAATATACTGGAAACATCGGAACATTACTGGAAACATCGGAACATTACACTCTACCTAACAATATACTGGAAACATCGGAACATTACTCTCCACCTAACAATATACTGGAAACATTGGAACATTATTCTCTACCTAACAATATACTGGAAACATCGGAACATTACTGGAAACATTGGACCATTACACTCTACCTAACAATATACTGGAAACATCGGAACATTACTGGAAACATCGGAACATTACACTCTACCTAACAATATACTGGAAACATCGGAACATTACTCTCCACCTAACAATATACTGGAAACATTGGAACATTATTCTCTACCTAACAATATACTGGAAACATCGGAACATTACTGGAAACATCGGAACATTACACTCTACCTAACAATATACTGGAAACATTGGACCATTACTGGAAACATTGGACCATTACACTCTACCTAACAATATACTGGAAACATTGGAACATTACTCTCTACCTAACAATATACTGGAAACATACTGGAAACATTACATTACACTCTACCTAACAATATACTGGAAACATTGGAACATTACTGGAAACATTGGACACTCTACCTAACAATATACTGGAAACATTGGAACATTACACTCTACCTAACAATATACATTGGAAACATACTGGAAACATTGGACCATTACACTCTACCTAACAATATACTGGAAACATAACAATATGGAACACATTACATTACACTCTCTACCTAACGGAAACATTGGACCATTACTGGAAACATTGGACCATTACTGGAAACATTGGAACATTACACTCTACCTAACAATATACTGGAAACATTGGACCATTACTGGAAACATTGGACCATTACACTCTACCTAACAATATACTGGAAACATTGGACCATTACACTCTACCTAACAATATACTGGAAACATTGGAACATTACTGGAAACATTGGACCATTACACTCTACCTAACAATATACTGGAAACATTGGACCATTACACTCTACCTAACAATATACTGGAAACATTGGACCATTACTGGAAACATTGGACCATTACACTCTACCTAACAATATACTGGAAACATCGGAACATTACACTCTACCTAACAATATACTGGAAACATTGGACCATTACTGGAAACATTGGACCATTACACTCTACCTAACAATATACTGGAAACATTGGACCATTACTGGAAACATTGGACCATTACACTCTACCTAACAATATACTGGAAACATTGGACCATTACACTCTACCTAACAATATACTGGAAACATTGGACCATTACACTCTACCTAACAATATACTGGAAACTGGAACATATACAATATACTGGAAACATTGGAAACAACATTACTCTCTACCTAACAATATACTGGAAACATTGGAACACATTCTCTACTAACAATATCTGGAAACCTAACAATATACTGGACCATTACAAACATACTGGAAACATTACATTACACTCTACCTAACAATATACTGGAAACATTGGAACATTACTGGAAACATGGACCATTACTCTACCTAACAATATACTGGAAACATGGAACATTACTCTCTCTACCTAACATATACTGGAAACATTGGACCATTACACTCTACCTAACAATATACATGGACCATTACACTCTACCTAACAATATACTGGAAACATTGGACCATTACTGGAAACATTGGACCATTACACTCTACCTAACAATATACTGGAAACATCGGAACATTACTCTCTACCTAACAATATACTGGAAACATTGGACCATTACACTCTACCTAACAATATACTGGAAACATCGGAACATTACTCTCTACCTAACAATATACTGGAAACATTGGAACATTACTGGAAACTGGACCTACCTAACAATATACAGGAAACATTGGAACATTACTCTCTACCTAACAATATACTGGAAACATCGGAACATTACTGGAAACATTGGACCATTACACTCTACCTAACAATATACTGGAAACATCGGAACATTACTCTCTACCTAACAATATACTGGAAACATCGGAACATTACACTCTACCTAACAATATACAGGAAACATCGGAACATTACTCTCTACCTAACAATATACTGGAAACATCGGAACATTACTCTCTACCTAACAATATACTGGAAACATCGGAACATTACTCTCTACCTAACAATATACTGGAAACATCGGAACATTACTCTCTACCTAACAATATACTGGAAACATCGGAACATTACTGGAAACATTGGACCATTACACTCTACCTAACAATATACTGGAAACATCGGAACATTACTCTCCACCTAACAATATACTGGAAACATTGGAACATTACTGGAAACATCGGAACATTACACTCTACCTAACAATATACTGGAAACATCGGAACATTACTCTCTACCTAACAATATACTGGAAACATCGGAACATTACTCTCTACCTAACAATATACTGGAAACATCGGAACATTACTGGAAACATTGGAACATTACACTCTACCTAACAATATACTGGAAACATCGGAACATTACTCTCTACCTAACAATATACTGGAAACATCGGAACATTACTCTCTACCTAACAATATACTGGAAACATCAGAACATTACTCTCTACCTAACAATATACTGGAAACATCGGAACATTACTGGAAACATACTGGAAACACATTACACTCTACCTAACAATATACATCGGAACATGGAAACATCGGAACATTACTCTCTACCTAACAATATACTGGAAACATCGGAACATTACTCTCTACCTAACAATATACTGGAAACATCGGAACATTACTCTCTACCTAACAATATACTGGAAACATTGGAACATTACTGGAAACATTGGAACATTACTGGAAACATTGGACCATTACACTCTACCTAACAATATACTGGAAACATTGGACCATTACACTCTACCTAACAATATACTGGAAACATCGGAACATTACTGGAAACATTGGAACATTACTCTCTACCTAACAATATACTGGAAACATCGGAACATTACTGGAAACATCGGAACATTACACTCTACCTAACAATATACTGGAAACATTGGAACATTACTGGAAACATTGGAACATTACACTCTACCTAACAATATACTGGAAACATCGGAACATTACTGGAAACATTGGAACATTACACTCTACCTAACAATATACTGGAAACAACTGACATTTCTTTCGTCCCATCTACTATAAGACTTTGGAAGTGGTTAGATATTACATCAGACAGATAACCACACGTCTGGAAAAACCCCAACAACATCATGTATTGCAGAATAATGAATAAATCTAGTTCTCTTAAACATAACCCTATTGACGACCAACGATGTGTGTGTGGCTACAATTTTTTATTTCTTGTAACGTGTATGCAGAATAGCGCCGCTTAAAACTATAAAAAATGATATTAAAATAAGTGATTTGTTGACATGAAGATAGCCTCTTATTGCGTAAACATTCATATTTCGTGTTGTAAATTAGAACATTCTGATGTAAAACTTGAAATTACAAAGGCTGATAATTTTAGAACACCGTCAAGTACATCGTGCGTATATTCTGAACCGTGCAACAGTTTCCCAGCGGCGTCTACCACCTGCAACCTCGAAAATGAATCAGAATAGCGGCATAGTTCAGAATATACATATTACTTTACATTGTTCTTAAATTATCTGATGTATGAAAATTAATAAATTAATTGAAAAGGTGCATCTCGTCATCTAGATATTGACTTTTCGACCCATTTAAATTTTCTTCTGTGGCCTCCTTGGGTTCAAAATTTAGGTTCTTAGTATCACTGACGAGTCCTAGAAGAACGAAATAGCTGTATGATGCAAATTAATTAATATATCTAACTCTAAATTTGTGTCATAAAGGTGTTATTCATTTGTGTGTGTTTTGTACAATTGGACAAAAGTATGTAAAACTATATCATCAAATAAGATAATATAATGAAGTAGTCTCTAAACGAAACCTAATGCACTTACTGAAATTGTCACTGTCTGTCACAATCACGATCTAGTGCAAGTCTACGTTGCTAAAATAACCTTGACCTCAAAGTGATGTTATGGGCTATTTTTAGACCTTAGTCAAAACGTCACTAGTCGAGATGCAAACGAGTTGGGTCACGACCCCTGCGCAAGGCAAGTGGGCCGAAGCGTTGGATCACATTTCTCGCACTGGAAGTTCCGTTTGTATATCTGATACAGAAAAGGACTGCGTTTCAAGTCGTTGGAATTAAATACAGTGGAAGGAAAATTGGTACAGATATGACAGATGACATATTTAAAGGTTTGTTTTCTTAATTTACGTACTTTTGAGTCATAAAAATTGTTTATATTTCTCTGTGCAGCAATAATAGGAAGCCGGGGTTCGTGTCAACTCCATATTCGATCTGGGGCAGAAGAGACTATCGTTACAGAAAATTACTGTTTGTTCTGAAAATATTTTTTTACTCTTGTTATTTCTTGTTCACCACTGAAGTTTTAAGACTTCTGAACCGTGATGGACAGCATTGATTGTCAGAAAATGTCCGTAGTCGAAACAAACTGTCGAGTGACTTGGTCGACAAATCTGTTGTGCTAAATTTCATTGTGTATGTTCACAGTGGGCCTTCAGTTGACTTTGAATTTTGACTGTTTTAAATTATATTTTGACTCAAGTATCTTTTCAATTTATGTTTTCAGCTCCTCGGAATAGGAGACCGATAAATAGGCACGATTTCGAGGTAAGTTGAACTGCTTTTACACTATTTTTCTATCATGATTCGTTTACAGTTCATCTAATGACAATATGGCGGCGGTGCGGTGTGTCAGCCATTTTCAAACGTTCTTGTTCGATTCAACATTGAAACGTATCGTCGATTCTTGTCCATGTTTATCGACAACGAAATGTGTAACCTTTCGATCATTGATATATCGTTCGACCTGAAATATCCACTGTCATCGTGGTATTGATAAGTATTAGTACACAAGTCAGTTTAGTAATGTGTAGTTTGAAAGCCCAACGTTCACGATATTTGGCCAACCCAAGTTAGTGTAATGGGTTGTAAATGATCAGCTTTCTCTGCGTTGGGTCATCTAGGACGAGGCGGCTACTGCGTAATGTAAAATATTCAAAACATTGGGATTATTTGAAGAGGGATTCAGAAAGTCTACCACATATGTTTTTAACAGAGTCAGAAACTTGGTCTAAAGTCTATTGATGTGTCCCATATACAATTACTAGGCCTACTGTACTGATATCATTGCCAGATTTCAGTTAGAAGTGTGTGGATAAGCATTTAGTGTATTAACATCAAAACAAGGATTCAAATTCCATACATGATTGAACCTTTGTACTTGTTTATATGAAAAAATGCACAATGTTTAGACATCTTTTGTGTATAATTATTTCACCTTTATAAATTCAGATTTAATGCTACAGTAGTAATTTCATTTTTCTGAAAGGTTTTATAAGATAAGTTAAATTTTCAAGCTACTTCAGATGTATTGTGGCTGCCTTGATAATTTCATACTGTTATCTTCAAACATATTCGTTTCATGTCAATTAAACTCATTGAGATATAAGACGATATAAATCTAAAAACCACTAATTTGTATGTAATAGCTTATAAACATTGCTTTCAAATTCATACATACATGTATAGAGAAGAGTAAACCGAGGAAGGAACATAGGTTAGAAAGCCAGCATAAGTTAGACACAAATTAATTCCTGGCTAGTGCCTCATAACCAGCTAACTTCCGATACTATGCTGAACCCACTCCAGCTGATAAATATTCATGTGTGACGTAGTTGTGAGTGCTTTGAGTAAACAAACAAGCGTGACCCAGTTACAATAAAATAGAACTCAATGAGCCATTGGAGTTTAACACTAAGCGAACACTTGTGATTGAATGGCGTCCTTTACCGTCCTCCATTTTAGACAGTAATTTATATTTGTGGACATTTGTAAGTGAAATAGATTTTAAAGGTTAAATTGGGAAGTAAATCCTCTGAATGGGTCACAGTTTTATTTTATTGTAAGTAGAGATTGCTGCTAACCAGTGTATTGTTTACATTTGTAATATTTAACCCTTTTAATACTATTTTGAAACATTCAGTTACCATTTTCATGATAAAAAAAAATCTTTATATCTGTGTATTGCAGATGGATTATTTTTTTCATGAAATATATTAAGTTAAAGAAGAATAAACATTTTTACAACATCCTGATAGTTACCGTTTAAGAGCACTAAAATATTGGGGAAAAAAAACCTCACATGTTGTTAGTTCCTTGTTATTAAACACTATTTATTTAAATGGATGTTGTAGTCTATGAACTTACCATATTTAATGAGAAAAAATCACCTTTGTCTACAAGTACCTGTCTTTTATACTAGAATTGTGAACTCAGATCAGTAAATCTTTGCTTGGGATTACTGGTGGTACTTAAATTTTCATTCTATAAAGTAGAAAATAATTTGGTTGACCCTGCAAACAGTAACTTTTTTAAATGGGTGGATATCAAAGAGAAGGTGGTAGGATGTTAACAACTTTCATACTGTGTTTTTTAAATGTGAAAACATATTTATTACACACTCAGATATACTGTTTTAAAGTGTTATTTAAATGAAAGGAAGCTACACATGCATATCGTGTCAAAGTAATAGCAATACACCTTAAATACATGTAATTTCCCCCGGGTTTGACATGTACGAAACCTTCACATATGACATAATGAATATGACCTTTGTTTCATTTAAAATGTTAACATTGCTTTTATACATGTGTCATCTTCTTTCTTATATAAGTTTTTTCACAATTTGTCACTGAATGGTAAAAAACCATAATGAAAGTGAAAAGTAGGGGAGGGGGGACATTTGGTTGTGCTGTTTTCATTGATTTGAATATATAAACAGTGAAGATGTAGCTGGGGTTATATCTTAAATCTGAGACCTTGATATTTATGTTGATGTGTTCTATTTGTGTTTGATTTATTCAACGGGTTTTACATCCACAATTATGGCCTTTCAACCTTTCAGCAGACGAGTACTTAGTGTGTGACTAAAATTTTGATAATTTGAATCAAAATGATGTTTGAAATAGAATGTCAAATATATTAAAACTTGAAAGTTGGACTGCATAAAATTAATAACAAGATTAATTGGGCAGTATATGTCAGTAGATTTTTAAACTTGCCAAGAAATTGAAGTATTCTGGGCATTAATCAAACTTTAGAGACTGATTCATTAATGTTTCCAGTTTTAGACTTTGTTCATTGTTTTCGTTGCAGCACTCGGTTGGTGTGCCTCCAAGTAAACGGAAGAAAACAAAGGAAGACTTTTATACATTTTGTACTATGATATTGGAATACACACAATATGAATCACATAGACAGGAGGTGAGTACAACATTTTTGTAACTGTGAGAAAATATCCAGTCTTTTCATATACATATATTGGGACCCAGTCTTTCCATATACATAAATAGGGACCCAGTCTTTTCATATACATATATAGGGACCCAGTCTTTTCATATACATATATAGGGACCCAGTCTTTCCATATACATGAATAGGGACCCAGTCTTTTCATATACATATATAGGGACCCAGTCTTTTCATATACATATATAGGGACCCTGTCTTTCCATATACATATATAGGGACCCAGCCGTTCCATATACTTATATAGGGACCCAGTCTTTCCATATACATATATAGGGACCCAGTCTTTCCATATACATATATAGGGACCCAGTCTTTCCATATATAGGGACCTAGTCTTTCCATATATAGGGACCTAGTCTTTCCATATACATATATAGGGACCCAGTCTTTCCATATACTTATATAGGGACCCAGTCTTTCCATATACATATATAGGGACCCAGTCTTTCCATATACATATATAGGGACCCAGCCTTTCCATATACATATATAGGGACCCAGTCTTTTCATATACATATATAGGGACCCAGTCTTTTCATATACATATATAGGGACCCAGTCTTTCCATATACATATATAGGGACCCAGTCTTTCCATATACATATATAGGGACCCAGCCTTTCCATATACTTATATAGGGACCCAGCCTTTCCATATACATATATAGGGACCCAGTCTTTCCATATACATATATAGGGACCCAGTCTTTCCATATACATATATAGGGACCCAGTCTTTCCATATATAGGGACCTAGTCTTTCCATATACATATATAGGGACCCAGTCTTTCCATATACATATATAGGGACCCAGTCTTTCCATATACATATATAGGGACCCAGTCTTTCCATATATAGGGACCTAGTCTTTCCATATACATATATAGGGACCCAGTCTTTCCATATACATATATAGGGACATGTGACCTCAAAGTTTTTTTAATCTTCTACCCTATCAAGATCCCTTAGATATTATGTCTAATCTGGCCCCTAAATATTATGACATGTTTCACACAATCCCTGAATATTCTGACAGGCATTCTGTCTAACTTGACCCCTGAATATTCTGACCATACCATTTAACCTGACTTCCTGGGTAATCTAACACCCCTACTAACGATGACAAAAAATCTGACAATCCTGTCAAAAAGTTATATTTTGTCTAATCTGGCCTCGGAATATTCTAAATATTGCCTAATTTGGCTTCTGAATATTCTGACATCCTGTCTTATCTGACCTGAATATTGTGACATCCATCTAATTTGAGCACTTTATAATCTGACATCCTGTTTTATCTGACCTATGAATATTGTGATATCTGTATAATCTGACCACTGAGTATTCCAACACCATTTGATCAGAACTATGCCTTTAATGGTGTGATCCCATCTTAGTGAAAGACTACACCATACTTATCTATACCAGACATGTTGAAATTGGTAATTGTTTGTCAGTTATACTCTGTAAACTTATTTTAGATGTGACAGTTCTTAATGTCAATTAAAACCATTTACCTACCTATGTGTGAAAAAATAATGCAGTGTGATATATTCCTTAGCTGTCTTCGTTTTTTCTTTAAATCAATATAAAATATTACTGGAACTTCTATATTTTGATCAAATGATCAGGATATGGCTAATTCAAAAATATTTTTTGGGGAAACATAAAATATTTGATAACCCCTGGTAATAAGGCATCACAGACAAATTTCATCATACCCCAGAATGTACCAAATGATCCGACTGATGGACAATGTAATCTTGTTGAATAACTCTAAAATTATTCAATTATTGCCACCTATTTCTGTTTTAAATGATCTGGTCATAATAATTGACATTTCAAGGAAAACATTTCATGAGGAAATCACATATATACTCCAAATAACAAATGGATGATATTTTATTCAATCAAATTTTATATAACTTTTCAAGTGATTGGACAATTCTGTACCAAACCAGGTGGAAATAGTTATCAGATATATTTTAGATGCTGCATTTCTGTTGCCTGCAACTGTCTAGTTGCCAACCCAAATGCACTCAGCCAAGTAATTTTGAAATCATCTTGGCTTGTTTCACAATAAATGTAGAAAAAATACATATGTCTAAGTATGTACCAGTATCAATTTGTCTTTGAGTGTATATTTACCATTGTATGGCATTTCAAACTCACAAGCTGTCGTTGGCATTAACATATTGGAAATATGTAAAAAGATTGAGATTTTCTTCCCTTATTACCAGAGGAAAATTCTAACCATTAATATAGAAATGCTTTCAGTTAGCATTCATTGGCATATTCAACATGAAGCATGCCAAGGCTTCTTTAGATAAGCCCTTATCCTTTAAGCTTTCATTTGACCACAAATGCTTACAGAAAGCAGTTCTGTGCTTAAATATATTAATAAAATAGAAGTGTACAACATTTTATGAGTTACTATTGCTTTAGGATACAACAGTGTACATTGTTTTCAGTAAAAATATAACAACACATTTGTTACTTGGCCTGTAATAAGCTGACAACCTTAATTTGAGACAGAGTGTGTATTGCTTTGTATTGGCCACTTGTACTTGGGGTCAATTCTGGATAAAAGAACTATTTTTACTAATTTTGTGATGTAAATAAATTAGTGATGAAAGCAATCATTCTGAGTGATTACCTTAGTCAATGACACTCTCAACATCAGCATATATAACCTAGTACATTATGTAGTTCATGATTTTTTTCCCAAAAGAACATGTAGCCAAAATTGTTAATTAGTAAAAAATGAATGAAAGAACTTTTTGAAATTTATAATCTTTAGTAGAAAGTAAAAAGGATAGTATTGAACAACAGATTGTTTAAATCTGTGCATTTTTGTTTTATTAAAATGTTTTCAAAACTACTGCTGCAGGAAGATTGCCTTCTAGTAATACTGAGTTGTCTACTCTTGTGAGCAGGTATTGATTGTTACGTCATTAGTTTATTAGTTTGCGTGAGAAAATCATGCTGTTTTTATGTGATGTTTCTCTGCTTACAAATGATGTAACAATCAATACCTGCTCACAAGAGTAGATAACTCTGCATTACGAAATAAGGGAATATTATGATGTCGTCAGATGTTACCGGTACACTTTACAGCAAATTAAAACATTTGTGATTGTGAGGTCACATGACACTTTCATTACAAAGCAAGAAAGCTGTTTAAAAAGTGAATGAAATGCGAGTTCTTTGTTTGGTTATGAAGGTAGATATTATACAACATGTCTGTCTTATATATGTAAGTCATGTTATTTTAAAACAAATTGAGCTAAATAATTTAAAATGATAAAGTTGTTCTGGTATGAAACTTCTTGTTATCATTATAATTGCTGTTTTATAAATTAAGGTGTTGACACATAGTGCTCAAATTAATAAAATGTTTTGTGACATATATTTACTTTTTGTATGCTATGTCTATAGTCAATATATGTTAATACTTTGTGGCTAGTCTGGAAAAAGAAATTAGCACTACATACAGTAAACCACATATTATATAGGTGAGCCTGAAGGCAGTCTGGGTAGGAAATGTGTGACCTGACATATAGAATCCATATACAATGTATATATACCCTGTAGGTATATAGATATCTCCAAATCTGTGACTATCAATGTCGGTGATAGTTTTGTAACTTTCAAGATTTAGCTAGTACTGTGGATTCATTTTATTTCGTGGGGGTCCAATTTTCGTTGTTTTCGTGGATGAGCAAATCCACGAATTTAAAAACACAACGAAATATGAACTACTTACTAAAGTAATTTTTAAATTTGACCAAGTAATCTTTGCCGACACAGGAAACGTCCAGTAATGACAGAAGCCCCGTAATTAGTCGGGAGTCGGGTAGTCTGAGGCTCGACATGGATACGCTAAATTGGTGTCAACGATATATAATTATATATTATTAAACATAGGGTAAGTACCCATTGTGATGCTAAGTATGATGGGATCGCAGTCGTTAGCGACACTGTGGACACTGTGTCGGACCATCCTGTCGATTGAAGATTGGATCCGTGTTTCTATCCGACTACAGGTTCACAATAATTATTAATAATGCAGATCTTGTTTACACACCTGTTTACATACATGGTCCCATCGATACGCGTGGTGTTTTCATATGACTGCGGTACACCGACTGATCAGCACACAATGTTTATCCACTGAAAACAATTGTTTCTGATAATTACCGATTGATTACACGCCAGGATATATACTGATTTGTGGTTTGATATTAATGCGAGACTGTTGTAAACAGCGTTATAAAAACACAGGACGCCATCTTGAAAAAAAAACGTTCTTTTATTCTTGTCATTAGTGTTAAAAACATAGCCTTAATACAAACAGAAAAAAAACTGGAAGCAAAAAGAGAAAATTCTAACGTTTTTATTTTTTTCCCACAGAATCAAAAATCCACGAATTTATGAGTCCACGAAACTGTCTAATTTGTAGAAACAACGAAAATTGAACCCAACGAAAATAAATGAATCCACAGTAGCTGTTTATATTTAAACTGTATACAAACTAAGATCCTAAGTTATGTCTGTATTAATTGACATTTGTGTTCAGTATGTGTACAGCTGTTTTCGTAGGATCTAATACCTTACTAGCTTAAAGCAATATTTTAAGTATAATTTACACTGTCATCCGTTTTCTCGAAATGAAAAATAATTGTGGCAGATGTTACCAAAATTATCATATTGATAAAAATTTTAAAATGATAGAATTCCATTCAGCAGCCTTTTAAATTCTTTGATCACTGGAACTTGAATTGATAGCTGATGTTTCAGTTTCCTTGTTCATGGAGAAAATAGTTTGCATGACTTGCGTATGTACAGACAATGATCGACTGTATAATATTGTTTAAGTTTATTTTGTGAATTAAATTTGCCTGTTAAGATCTAGATAAGGCTCAATATTTATGAAAGGTTGTTTATCTATATGTCTGTATAACAGTAACATGTGGGAATTTTTTATTACTCATTGAATATATTTCAACAAACTCTTGAATGAATTTTCTAGCATTTAAATTTAAACATAGCCAGATATGATATACTGTTTCACGTCAGGCCAAAGAATAAGTAAATTGTTTATTCATGTACTGTCATATTTCCTGTATATTTCACAATACCACCTCGTAGACTAATTCTGCAGTATGTATATACATGTCTGTGGTTTGAATGTACTGACCGCTTAATTAGTGTACTAGTGAATATAGTATGGATGTATGAAGACTTAAAAATCTTTTATGATGGTCTTTGAGTTAATAAAAAGTATGTATATTTTGTCTAGACTGCCTTTATTTCAATTAAGCTTTCCTAAAAGTAAAGAGAATTTGGAACTTGAAAGGAATATCAGTTTTAATTATGCGAGTGAAATGGGGTGTACAATTAAATAATAAGTACATATGTTATATCTACACTTATGTACATGGTATATATGTACACATACAGTGTAGGTTCTAGTTCATGTTGACTATAGTCAGTCCTTGAATGATCAAAGTCAGCATCCTAGGTGCCTATGGTATTTGTAATTTCTTAAGTAAGTGTACACCTGCATAGATATGGAATTGGTTTTAAGAAATGTACATGTGTGCATGAATTTCTGAACAGAATTGCAAATCTGTATAGGTTAACAATCATGTGTTTTGTCTTAAGCGGTGTTTGAAAGCAGTTATGTGGCTTTGGAAAAGAAATCAATTCATTGATACAATGGTTGGTTATTTACATGTAAACTTGGTTGAATGCAATAGTTCCAAATGACATCACTGAAAAAGGTTTGCATCAGACAGAACTAAATGCGTGGATGTGTTCTGTAATTTATGCACATGTCCCCATCTGACAAGAGAAGAAAACACTTGTTATGAAAATTTACATGTAAACATGCATAAGAAAGTGTATTATGTGAAGGAATCAATATAACAATAACTTAAGTAATGCCAGTCACACCATATGATAACCCGCCCGCCTGAGTTAAAATACCCGAACACATCCATATGCACATCGCTGATGACTATGTAATATTAGGTCTGGTGGCAGCCGTATTGATCCCCATCCTCCAGTACAAAAGACTCCCTTTACTGTGCCCACGTTTTATTAGACAGCACAAAAGCACATGTTTCGCACACATCAAATTACCTTCACACTGGAGATTGTCTGGCGTCTACAACAAATATGTATTGCTGAGTTTGTTTGCCTATTAAATCAATATTTTCATCAAGATTGTAATCACTATATATATTAGAAGCATCATGTAACCTGACTTTTAACCTACTCATGGAAACTGCTAGTTTTTTTAACAATGTGCAAGCAGTTTTATAAATAGCTACAAGTAGTATATACATACATTATACATGTATATATAAGACAGGCATTGAGGTGTGTCCTATTCACCATACACACAATGGACTAGAAGCCTTACCACATGTACAGGCATGTAGAAGGCACTTGTCCATGCATTCCAGTCAGTTGAGAATTTTACAGAAAAATATTAAGTAAGAAATCCATCTTTTTGCTGGTATTTGCACATACTTCTGTCCATGTTGTAGGCAGGCATGCTCCAAGGGTTGAGCCCTTACATGAACACTCACCCTTGATAGTCCACGAAGCATTTATTTGCCACACTGACTGGGTTAGCCCACAGCACAAAACATTCTGTGGCTGTGACCTTCACCCTTGATATAAGCTATAATGTTTACTAGGATCTGGCATACAGCCAGGTTTGCGCCTTTTTTCTTGGCTTCTTTTGATTGGTTAACCAAAAATAGATGTTTCCCATGGTTATTTATCCACCTGATCCTGTAGTCTGATATAAGGGTAGGGAAAAGGACAAGTTTCATGCATGGCCAACCTATAATGGAAAAAAAAATGAGTTATAAGGAAATAAATGTTTCAAAGTGTATAGGATTGTTTTCAGCCTTTGGACATGCACAGGGCATTTTAACTGGATTTGCATAAGCTAAGATGATCATGTGTACATATGTACTTGTAAAAATTACAATAAGTGAAAGGGTTACCTGAGCAGTGAATTAAATACTGTTGTTTATACCGAGGATATTGTACAAGTATATACTATACTGGGATGTGTTTAAAGAATTCAGCAGTTTCTGTATTTTCTGATGCAATATATTATATCATAGCATACTGTTGAAAATGTGTGGAAGGCTGGGCAGGCATGAATAATTTATTAACTTTGGCAAACTTTCAAAAATGTAATTAAATTTAATTCATTACTATGAGGTTATCAATATTGTTTAAATATCAATATCTCACTGCTATGAATTTCAAAAATAATGATGCAGTCAGTTGATCATGATCTATAAAAAATAAACATAAATGAAATCTCGATACTAATATTGTGTCACCATAAAAACGATTCATGTCTTTAAGGCAATTTTTGGTTTATTTTTGTGAATTTATTTTTTCTGATATCAGATACCTAGATTATAGTTGTATAAGTAATTTTTACAGGTAACCCTTTATGTACCTCTAGTGCCTGTACACTCTAGGAACAGCAGGATATGATAGTGAACTGTTAGATGAACTGAACAAGATAGATAAACCTTTATTAAATGTAGGTTATTGTAACAGGTTGTAAATCTAATCACAAACAAGGTCAGCCAAGATTAGCTGGAGGAGATTGAAACTCTTGTGTGTGAGCATCTCATTTCTAATCAGTATTTATAAAGCTGATAATGCTGCATCTTGCTGTGCACTTTGTCAAGTCTGTGATAAATATTACAAAAATTATACACATCCAATGTAGGTTATAGCAACATATGAGGTCAAAGGTCAGTGGGAGAAAATGTAATGTTTCCACACATGATGTCAGTGACTTGTATGTTGTTAATACAGAAATGGATTGTAATGTTATATCTTAGCTTGTACGAAGTAATCATCAGATAGTGACAAGGCTAGACTGATAAAAATTAACAATCGTCATGATCAGCAAGGATTGCAGTAGTAAAGTGAAGGATTGAAATAACAGTACGATGAAAATCAATCTTGCCTCCTTAATATGTGTACAGTTATAAAGAATTATCTGCCCTATCTATGTCTGTCAGAAAATAATATTTATGGTGTTATGATTGCAGGAGTTACGTGCACAAAACAATATCAGTCCTCTTGACAGCAGTGGCAGTACAGCAGAAAGTTACTCCTCTGATACCACATTGTCTGCTGAGAGTCCTGGTCACCTGGAATTATCGCATCACCTAGACATGGCTGACTCCGGTAAGTCTGTATAAGTTATTATTAAGATACCTCATCAGGTAAAGTATTGTATAGAGTCTAGAACTGATAACAAAATTACAGGCTCTCAGGTGTTGACATGATGTCTCTTGTAAGTCAGGGTTTATGTATCTTATTAGAAAAGTTGAAATGTAAGGTCTTCTTTCTATGGCAAGAGGCCATATATTCGACATTTATGAAAAATTGTATCACCTGAATTTGTTCTACATGCTAAATTGAATTTTCATGCATATGTTCAACAGTATTTGTGTGAAAATAGTTTTCTTGATGTTATAAATGAACCCATTTTTATTTTACTGACATGTTCTTGTCTTTTTTATATCCAGTAATATATACATGGTACATTTTATACATAATTAGATTGATATGTTAAACATTATATTTCTGTCTGTGTTAAAAAGTTGTTCATGCTTTCATTTTGAATATTTATGTACATTGCCTTCTGGTTTTAATTTCCTGAGATGATCATAATTGATATAGTTGTGTAACATACATGCATATTAATTTTTTTATTTTTATGGTTTTACTGATAAAACAAAGGTAGATGTGAGATACATTTAAAATGACATTCTTCATATTGTTGGAAGAAATTTGAGAGTAAGTGGGATAAAATATCTAGAGATAGTTGTGATAATTACCCATTGGTGTGCTGCTAACGGTTCCCGATCTAAATTAGTCATCAGTTAAAGCATGTAATTCCTATCTTGATACTACCTTATTTGTTGTAAGTACACACAGAAAAAGGAAACCAGATTAAACTTGTATTAGTGAATAAATTTGTTATCTAAATATATATATACACAGTTTTAGATGTACAGACAGAGAATTGTACATCTGTTTACAACACAGATGAAAATAAACTCTAAACTGAAAATAACATATTTGAGATTTGTCAGTTTTTTGGGAATGAGAGACTTGCATTGCCCTTAAAAATCCTTAATAATACATTGTATTTAAGTAAAATTGATGGCTTTGAAATATGTTTGCAGTGGCTTCAAGTTGTCTTCTTATGAAACCTGGCTATTTTTTTGTTTACTTTATTGACAGATAACTCACAGTACATGGATGATGAACATTACGGATATAGTGATACCAATTTTCCAGATGGTCGAGGTATGCAAGGTAAACATTACGTAATTGTCACAGGCCAGACTCTATCCAAGTTTCTTATGATGGCAGACACAGAGATTAAAAAAAAAATCACAGAATCAAAATCAAAATAAGACGAGTGTGATAACCTGTCAAATTCTCTTATCAAATTTGATCCTAGGCCATACTCAAACACTCTTTTATAAACTGTGTCACAGGAGACCTGCTAGGGTCAATCAGGAACTTTGAAATATTATGATGAAATAAATGTACCAAATATATATATCTTTTAATACAGCATACCAAAAATTCTAGACATGTGCTCCTTAGGCATCAGGTCAAATACTTGCTAGTTTTGTTACCGGATCTTATTCAAGCTCTATGATTTAACCAGACACTGTGATGAAGAATGTGATTGGTGATAAATGATGCATATATAATGACCAAAAAATCAATGATGTCTGACTGCTAGGCTTCCTGATAACAGTAATTGTTATGTGTACTTCAGATAATTTTGAAATCAGTATGTAATAATGCATTCTAAACAATAACCAGATGTTTTTACATAAGAATAATGTGTATTAAAATTTCACGAATTTTTCTTTCAGATGATGAATCGTGGGAGTTGATCACATGTTTTTGTTTGAAGCCATATGCGGGTCGACCAATGATTGAATGCTCGGACTGTAATACATGGATCCACTTGTCCTGTGCTAAAATACGCAAAAACAACATCCCAGATACCTATATCTGTCAAAACTGTAGGGACTCTCGCTATACAAAACGAAAATCAAATCGGATACGGACTGAAAACAATAAATTCAACGTATAACCCTAGCCCAGCTTCTTGTCAAGGTGTGTGCACGAACCTGAGCCCGGGGAACATGACACAAAGTGAGCATGTGCTTGACTTGGATGCGTGCACCACCCGGCGTGTATCTTTAATGCAATGATTGTGATAGTGGTATTTGTTGAATGACTTGTGAATCCAAATGTTAACTGAAAGGTGACTGTTATGATGCATGTGTCCAGATGTTTAATGAAGATTGAATGAGGAAGTGTGATTGTAGCATGTGTGAACAATGGAATAGCAAGAGCAATATATATATTGTTGTATATGTGTATAATCTACAATTTATAGATTTATGAGAAAGTGAAGTTATCTATGTGTTAAGAGTCTATTTGATAATGTGAATATTTGAACCTGTGTGTGATATGAATCATGACTTGACATATATATCAACATTTTTTATTATTTAAATGATGAAAACTTGGTAAGTTTGTGTTTTATTTCTCGTTAAACAAGTGTAAATGTTTTTAATGCCTTTTCATGATGCACATCATCTATGGGCTTACAAACTTTTGTAAATAATGCATTTGTTTTAAACATTTTGTAGTTGAAACATTCCATTTTTTTTTGTAAAAGATGAAAATGACATAAGTCTAAAACTGTATATTCACGAGAAAAACACAAACAAATATGATGAAAAGGAGTCATAATATAGCTGTTATATAATCCTCTTTTAAACCTAATTTATAAACAGTTGTATTCAGAAATCTGGCATTAGTTTTATTTTTCTGTTGGTCAATTGGACGTCTCGAGCATTTTTCTAAATCAAAGTCCAACAATCATTGAGCTGTATAATTAGAGGAGCACCACACTGTACTTATAATATCATTGTGTTAGGTCACTGTGACCTATATTGCTCTTTTTAATTGACTTTGGTAAATCTGTGTTTACATTGTTTGCTCCATTTCTAGATGAGCAGAATCAGTAGACTTTTTTGATGTTTAGATAAGAAATATGTTCCATCTGTCAACAAGCAAGTACTTTCCAATCAATTTTTATTTGCATCTTGTTGTTAACAAAGACAGAAATATTAGGTCTGTTCTTCAATAGAAATTATAGATTTAAAAAAAAATTTGATATTGACATTTTATCAGTCTTAAGATTCTCAGTGTAGATTTTTTTTATCTTTACAATTCAGATTCTGTTGGTGCCTGACATTTTTTTAAAAGCAAATTATCTATATGTCCGTCCTTTGACCTTATCCTCTTAAGATATTGAAATGCAAGTGATATGTTTATGCAAAAGAGATAGATGGGAGATCTCATTAGATGTCACTCCATGGTATGTAGTCTTGGTCAGCAATGTCTGTGTCATAATATATTTTTGAGTGTGAAAGAACACGCCTTCATCTTTGTCTCAATTTGTCAACCTTGAGTACGAAAATATCTGCCTTCATCTCACTCATTTGCCAGTTTCATAAATGCATCTGAACATTGAAAAACCTACTTCCTTTCCAAAGGAAAGTTTTGCAAAACTGAACAAAGATTTCTTTGATTTTCATTTTAGAATTTATTTCATTCTTTCTTTTTGACATAGACTGTAAGGGATTTATAAATAAAATGCACGATTTTATTCATATTGTTAATAGTTTACATGTTGAAGTTAGTCTCTTTGGGTGATATGTTGAAATTGAACAAGAATTATTCGGGTTCAGATTTTTAACAAAGAACCTTTGGTGGAATGAATTATGCTTCAACTGACAAAATCAACAGTTATTTCATAATGTCTGAGTTTGCTTTAACTAGTGCCTAAATTTCTGTTGGAACATCTAAATGTAATGATTTTTGACACAGATATTTGACACCTGTACTTTTCTGTGGACTCTCACTTGTTTGGACAAGAATATATGTTGCCTAAGAGCTAGGAGACTCATCAAATTGGATGAAGTTAAAGAAACCCCTGTATTCTATATAAATCTGCATATTTTGGCTTGATTTTAGCTATCATGGTGCAAGTGGATTTGTGGTTTCCAAAATATGATACATGAATATGTTATGTTTGTGTGTCAGTTATGCATTTTAGTCACAATTCAGTGGTCAAGATATTTATACATGATGTGCTCTACAAAGAAAATTGGGATATTTCCTTTAGAAGCAGTGATGCGCTGGGTCAAAAGTTTGGTCGATACAGTTTTGCCGCCTAATTGACAATTTCGCATTTTGAAATCCATTTCTACCATAATTTTAAAGCATATTCATTTGGATGTGATCAACTATAGGAAAAAAGAAATCTATTGAAAATGTAATTTTACTTTTAACAGATGAGATGAAATTTCACTCATGTATATATATTTATCAATGAGACCGATGAAATTGGATAGTATTGATATAAAAAGCCTGTGTAAATTTTGCTTCTTGATTGATACAATGTGAAATACATGGTATACCATAATTCTGGTCAATGAATAATTATTTCATGTGTAAACGGTGATTGGTCTGAGAAAGTGTACTGTTAGAAATTGATCTCTTTTCTTCATACATAATTTTATTGTTGTTTTGAAACAAACAAAATTTGTTCACATTTATGTATAGTGATAAAATGTTATGTTACACCTCATTGTTTTTATGCCATCTGTTTGTTTTAAAAACATACTTAAATTTTATAATGCATGTATGAACTAAGGGAGACAATCGGGTTGAAATTCATTGCTGATTTCAATAACGGTAATGTTCCAGGAATTCCCAACTTCTAATCTACAAATAGAATTTAACATTGACTTTTAATTTGGTTTTTGAAAAAAGAAAAATTAAATTCTTTAAATATTAAATCATATCAGACTATTTTGGCAGATTAACAAACATAAGTAAAAGGATGGAACATATATTTGTATATTTGCGAGGTGAGTGTTGGTTTTTACTGGTAATATTTTACCAGAGCTATAGCTCGCCACACAACAGTGCTGTTTTATCCTAGACTGAAATCCTTTGCAAGGGATGATTCGATATGAAGACATTTTTACATGTACATAAGTTCCGAAGAATTCCACATGTTGTCAATGATTTTGTCACTTCCTTTGTTATTTGTGCTTATTTCGATTCTCTACTGAATGATTTCATAATATTTTGAAGATTTCTTACAAAGTCTTTTGGTACAAAAGTGTATATATTGGTGTGATCACCATCTTGTTTTGTACTAAGAGTAACGTCTTTATTTTCATATGGATCTTTCCTTATACTCGTGGAAATATGTTTTTTTAAATAAAAAATGAATCCGAACTAAAGATATCAGACATTTATTCACATAAAATAATTTAAATGTTTTGAATGTGAATAATTTGACCCATGAAAATAAAGAGAATTTACAGTAGTTGATATCGTTGTCATATATACTCTTATAGAAAGGAGATTGGCATAGGATTTAAGTGACAAAATCATCTTTGTAATGTGATCAATTCATTGTACAGTTTTGTAGCTATCAAAGCATTATATTTCTGTTGAAATACACATTAAACAATGCTGTCTTGAGAATTTCATAAGAGGCTTCTGTTTATGTTTTTTACAGTTACGTTTTTGTTTATTTGATGAGGAAATCTGGTTTTGTTGACTTCATTTTTGCAAAACTGCCATTTGTTATTTCTTTAAAGTTTCATTTCTGTGAGCAAATAAGAATTCTTTACTATTTTTCATCAACTATTAAATCTAAATATGGGCATTGAGATACTGGTAGCTCGGAAGAAAAACTTTATACATGAAATTATTCAATGCCACTGAGGTATTCTGCTATTCATAAAAGCTTACAGAGACCAACATGAAGTAATTGCTAAGTTAAAGGTGATATATATATATTTATCATTGTTCCTTGAAGTTAACATTTTGGTGTCTCTATGATAAATCATTTCATACCAACTTTGATTGAATAGATTGATAATGTTCAAATAAGGCAGAATTGGTTCTTACATTGAAAGTCACTACAAGGCAGCTAGGTATGTGAAAGTTTTGTGTTGTTGATCCTGCCAGAGTTGAAAGGTTATGCCAGGCTTTCTCTATGCGTACTAGTTGATATAATTGATGACAATAAAGCTCTACACAAGTCTGCTTTTCTAAAAATTATTTTTTATAAAAAAAGATACTTCCCAAGTGCTTTCTGCTGATCTGTCTTTGGAGTATGTGCTACTTTGCGATGAAATTCATTTTTCTTCAGAACTTCGTTCTTGTATTGTCTGGTATCAAGTTAGGAATTTCCAAAGGAAATTTGTAAAACACTCTAGATATGTTTATGCACACATGGCAGAAAAACTTTCTTCGTATGTCGGTCCAGAAGTATTTAAACCTTTACCTAATTTAGGACACCATTCACTCGTTGCATTTTTTGAATACCCCATATTATTTCCTACAATCAGATGATTCAAAACAGTGGGCAGGAGAAATGCACAACCTACTGTAATATTAAGGTTTAGTCTGAGAAGAGAGAGAGGGTTAGTGTATTCAAATAACTAGTAAAAACTGAATTGAAGGGAGGGTATTAAATGATTTATTGTTGAGTCTAGACTATGAATTCTCTGAGACAAGGACCAAAGTTTGATATTTGACATAGATTTCAGTGTAATGCACATAATTGTGGAATTGTCTCCCTTGGCTAGGGGAATTATAGCTTGGATATGAAACCTTGTAAAGAATGTGAATATGTCATAAGCTGGTGGCTGACTTACAAAATTTGAAACATGATGCGTAATAAAAAAACGTACTAGATTTTTTTTATACATTCTGTAAATATATACATTTGTACAGACATTTTTAAAAAACAACTTTGTCATGAACCGAAACCTTTCACATTCTATGATTATAATATTAAAGATGATGTAAACTAATTATGAGGAAGGTTTCTTTTTCAAGGTGATTAGTTTAAATTTTGTTTCCTGTTTTGTAAATACAATGAAATTCTCATTATTTGATTTTGATGGAAATTATGACAAACATTATCAATGTAGAATGGTTTTAGATTAATGTGAGATGTATGTTCAAATTGTAGCAAGTGATATTTGTTATTTTCTGATAACCCAAAGTGTCCTTTTATGCTTCAGAAAATATCACTTGAAACCAAAGTTCTTACACTGTAGATATAATACCTGCCCAGATGTGAAGTTTTTTCTTTGCTACATATCTGAGAAACCAAGTTACACAAAATGTACAAAGTTCCATGTTCTGTGATGATGTTAATTAGTAACTGAACTTGAGGTCCAATATTGGGAAAAAGAAATTGGATAATTCCATTTAAAATTTTAAAAGTGTTTTCATTGTTAAAGTTATCAAATAGAATAAGATTGATAAACAGGAAGAATAAATCTTCCAAATGTTGTATGAAAATTTTAAGTGTAATTATGAAAATGTAATAGATTTGATAAATAATTGAATATTCCTTTAAAAAAAAAGTATTCAGCAAGATTCCCCATATAGGGCCTCGATTGGACATTTCACTCTGAGGTCACAGTTCCTATTTATATATACCCTAAATAAGGGCATTGTTATAACCGTGTTTGTGTTAAGCCAGTTTGTGTGGTGTTAAGTCTCCCAAGGACATAATTATAAATTTCCTTGAAGGCTCACTGCATTATTTAAATGTTTACATAAAATATGCAGTTTGTTGCAATCTGCATTTTGCAGTCTAATTATGTACTTATTGTGTCTCCATGCTGCCAAACCAGCAAGGAGTAAATAAATTTTGTTACAAAACAGAAATTCTTGTTTTTGTTTGTGTCGACCAATATGACCATCATTGCCCGGTCCAGTTTTGTCATGATGTGGTAGATATTCCAACTTAATACCATTTATCACTGGTACTGCAAAAACAAATTTTAAAAGTATCCTGAAGCCTTAGTATATATTTTCAAGGTTTTACATTTTGGTGTTCTTCTCTTATGAATTATGTGCAACTGAACGGTACTGTATCCTGATTTCACAAGAAAACCGTACATGTCTGTCGTAGTATATGAACGTGTTTTTGTCAATACATTCTTTATATGAAATTTAAACTGAAAGCAACATAAAAAACATGAAACAGGAATATTCTTCAGGTAATGAACTTTTAATAATATCATAGGCGTCAATAATCAGGTCTATAAATAGAGCTTTATCCAGCTTGCTTTTTAACAACTTCTGTACACGCACGCACACATACATAACATCGAGTGTATATATACAGAATATATACCAGGCTACACACAGTGCGCTAATACAAGGCCATCTGTTCACACACAGGTCTGCAATCCATATCCCATCTTGTTTACAATAATTCATAATTTATTTGTATACAATAGCTGTTCATGAATGTTTTAAAAAACAAACCAAGAGGCATTCTCACAAGGGCGGACAACTCTATATCCATCCTGGTATAACTAATCTAAAATCATCACTTCAGGCGTCCTGTGTTGGAAAAACTGTACGCTATGTAATGTTTTTCAACTGAATAGTCTTTATCATCAAGAGTGTGGATTTCAATTGTTTTGAAAATGCAATGTACATAAGTAATTGGAAGAGTTGCATTCAGATTGTAAGAGTCGAATCAAGATATTTGGCATTTAGAACTTGTGAGAATACAATTGAAAATTAAAACTTATTCTTCATTAAAATCTAGATGAGCATCACATCCACATCCATACCTTTTTAATAAGAATGTTTTCATGTTGAAAATTTGTCTATTCTAAATTTACCACCATTTTAATTTGAAAATGAAAATTATTTTTTGTCTTTTTATCTTTTGTTTTTTAGACACAATATTAGGTGGAGTTGACATTAGATGTTTAGGACAGAATTTTACATGAGCTATAATTCAGGTAAAAACTAGAAAAAAGCTTTCCATCGTTCTAATTCCATTTCTTAAAACTGCACATCAATCTTCTTTATCTATTTTATTCCAGAGAAACTATAAACCAATAGTTTAAAAATTCTTTGAAAGTAATAACAAAACAAAATTCAGAAATAAAGAAAACATGTAAATGTAACTGACCATGACATTTGAAAATTAAGCATATCACTGACCAAGATTAAACTGTTCCGATATCACTGATGAAAAATGATGATTACCAAATTTAGGTAGCACCTTTTGTAAAGCATGAAAGAAAAACTTGACAACAATAGAAAATGAAAATTTCCACAATACTTGAAAATCATAATATCTTTACCTTGCATATAAATCATAGCTATTTGTGTCTGCAATAATCATGAGGTGAATTTTTCAATTCGTTAGAAAGAAAAGACAAAAATGTATGCATATTTGTAATATATAAAACAGGTACCAAGATTTTAGACAACATGAGAGTTTTTTCAATTAAGTTTCTTGTTGAGAACTAAAACTTTTTGCCTTACTAATTTTTTGTATGAATTTCAGATTCTTAAATGTATTTGAAAACATTAAGGTAAGAATATAGTTCAAAAGAGTATTCTGTATTCCTTCTGAAGATATGAAACTGTCCATGGACAACTATGAAATGCACACAAGACATCACATCACTTAAGCATTGTCCCCGAACTCACACACCATTCAACTTGATGTCCTGATAATATAAATTCCATTTTTACAAATATTATTCTTTAAAGTACTTCCATGAATTTTGTTTTCGTACGATTCCCTTGATTTAGTAATGTATGATTTTTTCTGCTGTAAAATATGCAATTCATAATGAAATACGTTATATATGAAAGCCAACACATCTATTTCTGTGTGAAATTGAATATACACGTTATCAATATATTACCCCACAGTGTTCATTCTAACACAGTTTTGAAAACTCTTGTCTGAATTTTACATGATACAAATACGAAGAACTGACGTACAATAAATCTACAAGCCATATAATATGAAAATGTCTGATCATCTGATCATGTAACGATCAACTCACTTATGTACATAAGACAGATGATTGAGATGTATGTCTGTGGGTGTTTTACAAAAAGTCACACATTTACCACGACAAATTGGTAACTGACGACACTGTCCATTCAATGGAGCAGTTTCATATGAGACATGATATATATATATTTTTTTCTTTTGTTCACACGCTCAGTTCATGCAATAAAATGGATATTACTCTTTACACACCAAACATGGCGACGATTTGTTCAAAGTGTCAGAATTTCTTCTTGGGGTTATTCTCGTACATGATATATCAATACAATGATGATACACAGGATTGTTTCACGTTCACAGGAAATAACGATTCACATACATATATATATATATATATATATCTGTACAAATCACGGCACAGGGGCCAAGGATATATCAACCGGTGCATATACACAGGGGCCTATGTAAATGTATTTATATCATACACAGGTTAGTGTATTTCTGATGATGTAAATACACAGGGGCCTGTGTACATATACCTTAATATAATACACAGGAGTTTGTGTTCATTGATACACACACGTTATAATATATATCTACAATGAAAGCATTTACATGCTATTTTTAGACAATCTAAAAATTCAATGGATAAAATAGTTTTTAAAAAGCAATTGATAGTCTTTAAAATCTAACAATCATCACACTTGGTGTACAAATATATTAAAAATTTAAATTTAAAAGAAAGTCACGGGCCTACAACACTCATTCATCTTTGCAATCTCTGAACCTGATGAATCCAATCTAGCCACTACTCCTCAAACTGCAATGGTTTCCACCTTTCAATAAGTATTGTAATATTTCTATTCATTCCCTTTAAAACAAATCATTTGGACATCTGATCCTAAACAACAGAAATACTATGAAAACTGGTTAACAGTGCCATTTAATTTGTAAAATGCACAGCAAAGTCAAATCCTGTATATTGGACAAAGTGAACTGGTTTTCATTGATGGTAGCAGTAATATACAATAAGAAACACTTTGCAAGTAACCACTCAGGTTTTTCAAAATTCTTTGGAGTAGTAACGTAGGACTTCCAGGGATAATCTTTAATCCTATAAACCCCACCAGTCGAAAATCGAATCTTCCACTATCCAGGTGGATCATGCCATTAAATATTTGTGGGTAAGAAAGGATCTTTACAGCAATAAGCTGCACAACCACCTAGGTGACTTCCACACATCCACACTCTCTGTAGCTGTTTAACAAACCTCAGTGATATACCTATGGAATTTCATGACTTAATTAAATAATATATAATATATTTCCTGATTATTCACACACTATATATATCCTTCAATAAGTCCAGGGGGCCAACAAAACAATTTCTACTAAATCGAAAACACAGAGGTGTTTACCCGGCGTGGGCTTATTGCCAGATAACAGTATGTATATACCACCATAGCTTAACAATGATTGGCACATTCTGCTATTTACAAACATTATGTGTGATTTTACTTTCAAAATGATATGCCTGACCTTACAAATAAACATTCACAATATGTTACATCCTAACTTCTGTATAATACATGCACCTGATAACATAAATACATTGAGAATTTTTTTGTTAGAACAAAATTCAAATTCATTATTAACCAAGAACTGCTATTTATAGAAAACTACATAGCCTTAAAATGACTGGTACCGTAACTTTTATCATTTTTGGATCAAATTCTGAATTTTCTAATGTAAAGCTATCTCTATCTAAAGTAAATTATTTAAGGGGTTTCCAAAATTTTTAAATGAAGTCCTTTTTTTTCTAGCATGAAATTCAGTGTAGTAAGTTCAAATGATGTTATCGCTCATTTTATTCTGAAATAAAGCAGGAAAAATTCCTTTCAAATTCTTAGTTTTCCTAAAATCTGAGAAAATCTGTGTATTTTGATAAAGGTTTTGCAAAGGTTTTTCAACAGAGAACCAGATAAAAAAAATTATTGCGGAAAGATGTTTTCTGTTTTAAAATACATTTTGTAAGTAAATACTGAAGATATATGAATAATAAAAAAAAACCTGTAGAAGTAAAATACTGTTGAAGATAAAACTGTAAATCAGGTCGCCCCAGACCTACTGTCAGGATGTCTATACCAGAATATAGGTATATATATATATATTTAGGTATTGAAATGTCTTGTTCTCTCTGAGCTTCCTCAAAACAGGGCAGATGAGGAAACACACCTATATCTACTGTAAACTGTAAATATTCATAAATCTAACGTAAATTATAATAAAACATTTTTACTAACTTTGTTCATTAAAAAATCCACATAATTCAAATTCTAATGGTGCATTTTTTTTTATCCAAATAAACAATCTATGACTGACTGAAACATTACATCTATACTTACAAACATACACTCACAATTATACACTACACCTAAAGGTTTTAAACATTTGTAATAAGAAGTTTATAATACAAGTTAAATGTCTGGTTATACACTGTGACTGTACATTGGACAATAAATTACTAGTAGACAAAAATGTATGAACTGTACAATATATATATACACTGTAGAAGTCACTGGATTATTTACAAATATATACATGGATAAATCTAACAGACTTGTGTCACAGGAATTTCCTCCACCACCACATGTCTTGGTTGTATTTGACACATTGAAACATGTACAATTGCCACTTAAACATGCACCAAAGCCATACAAAATGGAAGTAGGATTGAGGAAAACAAAACAAACTGCTCATTATATAAGCATAATACATCAACTGCAGTGGTTTGTAAGTTTATATTTTTCTAACAATTTTCAGAACATTTATTTATTACTCAATGGAAAAATACTGAATTCACATCAATATACAAATAAAAACAGTATGACTGGAGATGAATATCTGTAGCACAAGTCTGCTATTTCTGGTGGAGTTCCTTCTGTAACAATCACACACACACATATATATATACAAACTATCATACCAATTTCCATTCATTCCTCCTCGTCTTTCATTGTAAATTTTAAGAACAAACACATCATCATCCTGAAGGCATTTTGCAACCCCTACAAAATGGTTTTTTTGTTCACTATTACATATTTCATTACAACACCGTAACTTGTGTTTCACAACAAGCATCAAATTTCATGTATGAGCACTATTGTATTTCTTCTATGTTGTACTGTGCATCCTAATGTCAAAACTAAAGCATAAGACTGGATTTCATAATGCTAAAAATCGTCCTAATTAAACTTGAAGACAATACCATTCTCAGTTAGTATCGACTGTTAATCATCTCAGGCATCTTCCCTCATTTCACTCTCACAAACCATTTTATCAGAAAAATGTCTAGGATAGCAATCTACTTATGACATTTACAGATTTTGCATTAGACATAATTTTGCCACATTACTGAGTGCCCAGGGTGTTTGGTAGGATGGCAATACTAATGTATATGTAGATTACAATTATTCTGATTAAAGAGCTAAGTTAACTTTTATTCAAATTACACATTTTGTAGAATAATATTTTCTAGTTAGAGAATGCCTCTTTGAATTCCCTGGTAGTTGACCGTATAACATGTAAGTTCACCAAGAGCACTATATAAGAAATAGTTATACATCAATAAAAATCTATATAAAAGATGATGATATTTTTTTTGTGATGAACACTATTTTAACATCCAAATATGTTTAAAACACATGTAGTTCAAGGCATTTGAATTATTTGCTTTTCCTCTCTGATGTAACCTGGACTAGTAAGGCAAACCTGAGAGAAAAAGTTTGAGATATAAAAGTCTGTGATAACACAACTTATACCCTTTGTAGATCAATTGTGTCCTTGTTTTCTGCAGCAGTTGCATTTAGATCAATACTGCATAATTGAACAGAAAATGTTTATGAAACTTTTTTCTGAGAACAAATGAGGCCCTTTTGAATAATTCTACTGGCCTTGATTTCAGAATAATAACAGTGACTTTATATTTCTTAAGCCCGTATGAGATTTTAATGAATTAATCCTGCATTTAATTTATGTGTTTTCAATGATTTTGCACATTCTGAATTTCACCACACAAAGGCAAATTTCTGCTCTGATTCACTTCTCCATACATGTCCATGGTAAATATTTCTAGAAATACTACATACACGGCATGTGATATCCAGCACAATCTTGAACACTAGCTCTCAGAATGTACAAATGTTCCACACTTGTCTCACGTGGAGAGACACACAGACAGCAATCACATGTTGACAAACAACTTTATCAATATTTCACATATTTTCCACATGAGAATCGCAGTTCCAATGACAATCAGAAACGTTATAATAATGGTCACCATAATTTTCTAAGTGCTACGACTCTCATCATACAATGCCTTCCATGAAACTTGTGTCAAGGTTTTGGATTAAGGTCCGAATAAATCCCATTTCTTTTCGTGTGTTTTCAAATATAATATGTGGCTCCTGACTTTCACATCTAAGACAATTAGGGGCCATCACCATAGCCAAATTGTTCACATCCATTTTTGTTGTTTTTGAGTTTTCTTCTGCAGCAAACACCTACAATGAAGAACAGATAGTAAAACATTACAGGAGACTGATATAAACTGGGTACCAATACAAAAGTATTTCATGGCATTTCTATTAAACAGGTAAAATAATATAACAATTCTTGAATTCTGCAAGTGATGTATCGTTACATGTAGTTGGAGGCATTACAAAGTCACACATGTTGGACTGTTTGTTGTGATTTTCATGTTTTTTGGACAAAGACTAATTTTTTTTTGTAATAAAAATAAACATTTTAACTTCACAAGAAAGTGTGACAAAAATCAGTAGTTCTGAAATAACCTTAGATCTTTGACCAATTTTCAAGATCATGACCTTGACCTTTGATTACAACCTGAAAGTGCCATATTTTTCCATTTTTTTCTTTTTTTTTTTGAGGTGGGGAAAGACAATGTGAAAGTAATTAGAGGTTATAATCTTAAAAGCCATGACAATAATTTGATTTTAAACCCATGGTCATAATTTTAACCTTCTGCATATGAACCTGAAAGTAGTGTTCAACTTACCTGTAGGAAGCGAATAAGATAGGCGAGAACCAGTCTGTTTATGTCGGGTAATTTGTTAACAACCTGTATAGCGGCCTCTCCATTAGAGTAATTTTCTATACATTCCTCATAAAAGTGCTGTGGTATAAGAGGTTCATGTAGTTCTCGGTACCAGAGTTTAAGAAGGGATGCAGGGATGTGTGGGTCTATACAGTCGGTGGGTAACATCCACTGGTCACACTTTATCTTCAGGCTGTTTACCTCATCAATGTCACCCGGCACTCTACAATACAACAAAGTCAGAATTAGTTTACAAGATGAAATTATCAAAATTTTTATATGTCAATGAAAATTACAGTAAAAATTATTTTTATGTTTCGTATATCATGATAAAGGAAAATAGAAAATTTGAATGTTCCCAACCTAAATATGCCTTCAGTCTGAGCACCATTGAGTCGAAGCACCTCCTCTGACAGCGCCACCTGTATCCATGGAATCTGTCGCTCTGGAAACCGGTCATTCTGCAGCAGCATAACATCTTCAAGTGTGCTTCCAAACATGGATGGGCAGAACACAGATTTCTGCAAAAAATAACAAGATTACAAACATCTATCAATGGGTCCAAATCCAAACTCAATCATAAGTTATCATAATCCTGAAATTTCCCAACATTAATCCCATGGCTGGTAATAAGTTATCAACAGTTTCACTAGAAATGTTAACAAGTGCAATAAGCCTGTGTCTGCATTCCTGTTGAAATACTGAAAGTGCTAAAAGTCATACAAACAAGTACCATATCATTTTCCTGTAATAAGCCCACTCCCTATTATGAACCTGAGGTTTTGTCCACATCTGGGCTTATTGTTGAATAAACACCAGAGGTATTGTCCCACTCTGTCTTACCCATGTCATTACATGTAATTTTGCTGGTGTAGTTCTATCACTAACCTTCCCTTTGCCTGTTCTATCTATCACTATCCTCCCTTTGCCTGTTCTATCTTTGCTATCCTTCCCTTTGTCTGTTCTATCTATCACTATCCTTCCTTTGTCTGTTCTATCTGTCACTATCCTTCCCTTTGCCTGTCCTATCTATCGCTATCCTTCCCTTTGCCTGTTCTATCTATCACTATCCTTCCCTTTGCCTGTCCTATCTATCACTATCCTTCCCTTTGTCTGTTCTATCTATCACTATCCTTCCCTTTGCCTGTTCTATCTATCACTATCCTTCCCTTTGCCTGTCCTATCTATCACTATCCTTCCCTTTGTCTGTTCTATCTATCACTATCCTTCCCTTTGCCTGTTCTATCTATCGCTATCCTTCCCTTTGCCTGTTCTATCTGTCAGTATCCTTCCCTTTGCCTGTTCTATCTGTCAGTATCCTTCCCTTTGCCTGTTCTATCTATCGCTATCCTTCCCTTTGCCTGTTCTATCTGTCAGTATCCTTCCCTTTGCCTGTTCTATCTGTCAGTATCCTTCCCTTTGCCTGTTCTATCTATCACTATCCTTCCCTTTGCCTGTTCTATCTATCACTATCCTTCCCTTTGTCTGTTCTATCTATCGCTATCCTTCCCTTTGCCTGTTCTATCTGTCAGTATCCTTCCCTTTGCCTGTTCTTTGCCTGTTCTATCTATCCTATCCTTCCCTTTGCCTGTTCTATCTGTCACTATCCTTCCCTTTGCCTGTTCTATCTATCACTATCCTTCCCTTTGTCTGTTCTATCTATCACTATCCTTCCCTTTGCCTGTCCTATCCTTCCCTTTGCCAGTTCTATCTGTCAGTATCCTTCCCTTTGCCTGTTCTATCTGTCAGTATCCTTCCCTTTGTCTGTTCTATCTATCACTATCCTTCCCTTTGCCTGTTCTATCTATCACTATCCTTCCCTTTGTCTGTTCTATCTATCGCTATCCTTCCCTTTGCCTGTTCTATCTGTCAGTATCCTTCCCTTTGCCTGTTCTATCTGTCAGTATCCTTCCCTTTGCCTGTTCTATCTGTCACTATCCTTCCCTTTGCCTGTTCTATCTATCACTATCCTTCCCTTTGTCTGTTCTATCTATCACTATCCTTACCTTTGCCTGTTCTATCTCCTCCAGAGTTGGTTTTCTCTGTCCTTTCTTTGGTCCGGATTGCATGGTCTTGTCTAGTCGTCGCTGACACTGGGCTGCAAAGTGGCTGATAGGAACCTGTAATGACACAGATACATCTTCATTATCATCCTGTAAAATTTGGAACTGCCAACAAATATTTGATATACAGTGTATTTTCATAAAACGTCTGAAAAATATAAAACCATGTTATATTCAGCTGAAAGATTTTTTGTTTCTTTTCTTTCCATTTGTTTGCATCCATTTCTTTGTTAAAGAGCTTGATGAATATATTGAACAGAACACTATGGTTTGTAAAACTTGTAGTCCTAAAGACTAAGAATCAGTTTATCGCCTAACATAAATCTTAAAATTGATAAAAACAAAACTGCAGGACCATGCTAACACAGACTACTAATACCGGTGACCTGAGGACAGGAAACCAGAGGACAGAGTCAGACATATGGGTTAGGGGGAAATCTGAGGTTATGGAAATTCTGAGGTTATGACAGGAAAGATAACTACCAGGGAAATATATGTCTATGACTTGGAACATGGAACAGATGTTCATGCTTAATCCGTAAAATCTTCCTAAATCTATAAAAAAATTTATATCAATTTTATAATCTTATTGAAATGAAATATATTTCTGTTAGTTTGTTCATCTCAAAGTATATTCTTAACACAAAGCACCTAACATTGATCTCTCAGCATGTATTTAACACAAAGTGCCTATTACCGATCTCTGAACATATTCTTAACACAAAGTGTTCAATACATATCTCTCAGTATGTTCTTAACACAAAGTGTCTATTACCGATCTCTGAGCATATTCTTAACACAAAGTGCCTATTAACGATCTCTGAACATATTCTTAACACAAAGTGCCTATTACCGATCTCTTAACATATTCTTAACACAAAGTGCCTATTACCAATCTCTGAACATATTCTTAACACAAAGTGCCTAATACCGATCTTTCAGAACATTTTTAACACAAAACTTCTACTAACTATCTCTTAGCATGATATTCTTAATATAAACCGCCTAATACCAGTCCCTTAGCATATTCTTAATGTGAAGTACCTAATACCAACATTTCAGAACATTTTTAACACAAAGTGGTGAACACTAAACCTTAAAACAAAACAGTAAAAGAAAACAGTAAATGTATATCAGCTGAAACAAAGAGTGTTTATTAAATTTCACAATATGTAGGTTATAGAGGGAAATATAATGTGAACAATTTATGGCAACAAAAAGTGCCATGATGCATCATTACAAGAACAAATCAATCATCTATTAAGTATACTGAGAGTTATCTCCCTTAAATCCTGAAATGACTCTGTGACAACAGCATGCAGGCAGTGAGTGTGAAGTGAGGACTATGAGGTGAATCAAGACCCACAAATAAGACCTTTTCAATACAGCAACATATAAGGCCCCATGCATGTATATGCAATTTTGTATGAAATGGTCATACCACAAATCCAAACCAGTGAGGGCCATGCATGTAAGATGGATGTTAATATCTTTGGAAGTCCACATGCTCCACACCAGAACCTACCTGCTTAAACTGGATCCAAGAATACCCGTGGAAAATGTCCAGTTTTGACATGGATTGGGTTTTCTAATGAAAAAGGAAAGGTATATATGGTTTAGGGATTTTGGACTGTCCAGAGGAAGATGTAGTGGCCGTGTTCACTCATGCATGGATCAAATCTGGTAGTCTGGTGTAAATATATTCAAGATGAATTCATGGTATTGTGACTGCCATTTGTTAATCAGAACTGACAAGAGGTGTCATAAAGGTTTGATGGATTATTTGAAATGAAAAGAACCCAAAGATGGGAAATGTGTAAACTTTTGACACAAGACCTGACATCAGGAGCATAGAATTCCACTGTTAGGAAACAGATCATTCAAATGCCAAGAGCTATAACTTGAAAATTGCAAGTAGAAAAAGCCATAGAGATCAAGAGTCTTTTCCATGTAAGAGAAATTTCCAGTTCAGAACACAGATCTATAGCTTAATCAAGCCAGAATTAATACTTGCCTCTTCTTCTAGCTGTAGAAACAAAAACAGCTTATTTAAAACAGCTGCTAATTAAGGAAATGTACAGAAAGACCAAACTAGATTCCTGGTTTACCTAATTTATGTATGAATCAAATACACTGCAGAAATTTCCATGGTCTGATGTTGAATTATAAGTTCCATAACAGCATTTTTGTTGTCAAGGAGATATGCAGACAAGAACTCAAGAGAACACAAATGTGAAAAGGGCAATAACTCTGCTAAAATGTTTGAAAAAGCATCAGATGCTGTATGATGAAATGACTACAATGTGGGCCAGAGTGTCCAATACAGACTCATGAATACCACCTAACATCCATGTGGACCAGAGTGTCCAATACAGACTCCAGAATGTCACCTAACATCATTGTGGGCCAGAGTGTACAATACAGACTCCAGAATGTCACCTAACATCATTGTGGGCCACAGTGTCCAATGATAAATAATTCCTATTGCTTTCATGATAAATGTGTGAGCAAGCATATACATGCCAATTGCCCAAAAAGCACTTGATCACACACACACAAATAAGAATTCTCTCTGAAGCTTGCAGCACATCCCAGCAACATAAGCTTCAAAAAGTGTGTACTTCCAGCAGTGACTATGATAAGGTGAAGCATAGCCTCAGTCACAACATTTAGGTTTAAAAAACACTTCAATATCAAAAAAATTTAGACTTTTCCAACTAACAGCAGAACTAGTGAGATTTCCCTGGAATTACATGGAATTGTGTGATAAGCTGCAGGTTGAGATGAAATGAGATTAGTCCTACTCCAATATTTTCCAAATTAATCCGATCTGTGAGATAAATTAACACCTGAAATAACTTTTTGTGAATTCACATTCAAGATAACCCAAATGTGCATAGGTCTCTGAAAATTCTCTTTCATGAATTGATGTGTGAGGTTACCCTAAGGTGAGTTTCCCCAGGTTCCAAAATGCAAGTATTTGTGAATTCCCTGCGACGAACTGCTGACTTTAAAATTCTTTTTGGAGATTTCCCACCTACGAATTGACTTTTGTAAAAACACCTGCTGTGATTAAAATATGAGAATTCCCTGCTATGGGTTGACTTTTGAGACAACCCTTTTGATGAGCTGACCTGTGAGAAAACCCCATTTCTGAAGTGCTACTGAATATAACGACATAATCTGTGAAATGACTAGCATACGAAGCGATAAAAGCATGTGATAATAACGGTGAGGCGTACCGCACATACGTTAGGCAGATCGATGATGTCCTCAGCATGTCGCTGAATATACCCCTCCAGGTAGGAGTAAAACTTTACTGATGGAGGAAAGAAATTTAAACAAATTGCCATCAGCTCCCATCCTCTCTGTAGACTTTCTCTGTAAAACATAAAAAGAAAGCATTAAATATTTCTTTCTGACAAATTATTATTTATATGTAAGTAAATCATGATTGAAAAAGGCTTTTTTTCTTGGTTAGATCATAAAATTCAAAACAAAGTGTATACCTTCATTTAAGGTCTATCATTTCACTTGTAAATATCAATATATTTCTCAACAATTTCTGTGAATCTTTCTCTCATTATAATGCCAACCTCTGTATACTGCCAAATGTCTATGGACAAGATGACAATACAATACATTCCTTATGGTATACATTCATCGTTAATTGTATAGTTATAACCCTGTCACCTTTCAAGGAATTTGAATGAATGTGACTAATGCATAAACTTTTATCTCAAGGATAACACCACTTAGGTAACAAGAATCATCATAAAGACTTCTCAACATGTTAGGCATGAAGATCTTCATCTGCTTCCCAGATGATTCAATTTCTCATTTTATAAATGTGTTACATGTCAGGTGTAAATGAAATGACAAGATGCAATTGCACTCAAAGTGTTTTTTGTTGACCTCTATAGAATTTTTTCCCACAGTAAATGCTTTCATCTATCTACATTTAACTTCCCTAAAATTATCTTTACAACTTTTTTCCTGTATTTCGATAGTTTCAATTATTTTATCCTTGTTGGTCAGTAATAATGAAATTAAAAAATAATTAATTAGAAATAGACTTACTCTTTTCTATTTTCAGTTGTTTGTTTACAGATCTGCATGTAGATTTCGTCACGAAGATTTGCAACATTCCATCCTTTGATGACAATTTCTTGTGCCGCCTGCATCTGAGAGTGCTTCCCCTTTCTGTCACCCATATAAATCTGGATCAGTGTCAAAGGTCAAGGACATCAAATAACAAATTAGTAAAATTTGCTTTCCATTCAATTTATAAAAATGTTCAATGAACGTAAAGAATTTGAATCTATCCATTAGGGTCAGTTTTTTCAAATCTCAGACTATCCAACAAATGAACTGGTCAATAAAATTTAATCTTTAAAGATAATCTTAAACGGTCCAAGTCTCACATGAGGGATGAGTGATTGACAAAAAGGATATGTTTAAAGACGTCACATGCTTCTTTCTTCACACCTTTGTCTTCTGTACGCAGAATAGGTTTCTGGATCGGGTCCTAAAAACAAAACAGTATTTATGTAAAATCATAACAGATAACCAATGATACAGCATTGTAATTATCTTTTTGTCACAGTGAACCTATCCACATCTTTTAAAAGTGAAGTCAAAATACATTACCCTTTTCAGTTGTTTTCTTCTCATCAACATTGTTGGGAACTGTTATTCACTTAGGGAGAAGTATTACACAATTACACTCTGTGTCACTTTTAAGGTGATTTATTAAAATTTCTCACTGTCCTTGTATAATTTCAGTCCAAATATACAATATTAATATGTGAAGAAACAGATGACATTCATTTCTTCCAGCTCTGAGGAGCAACAAGTTCAAGAAATTTCCCATTAATGTATACCCAAACAACTGCCAATCAAGTTATCAAAGCCTGAAGGGATCATTTCTACAAGTCAGGATGTCACACTATGGACAATAGCTTTTACATTGTTCTAGACAGTTATCTCCCCTGATGGTATAACACCTTGACCTGTCCAAATGGATAGGGATATCCCTGGGCTAATGAGATACTATCAAACATGGGAACTCCAGCCAACAAATTGATTATGTACAGGTCATTCAGTATAGTTGAAAAGAAATATCAATGCCATAGATGTATTCAGAAATATTAGAAATAGCCTAAGGGTATTTTGTGTGTGTGTTCTAACACCCAAACAAAAGTTGGCTACTTCCTATCCCACAATACAGACACTTATGTTGAATGAAAATATGAATGAAGGGTTCAAAGTCTGTTCCCACATTGATTCCTCTCATCATTTTTAAGCAGAGAATAACAGTTTAAGAGTATATCTAGATTTCAGTATATCTAGTTACTATTGGGTTGTTTCCTAGTTTAGTTTTCAATGACTTAACCAGGAAAAAAACACAAGTGTTGAGATCTGTCAGTGACTGACATCACCATCAATCAAAATACAGATATACATTTGCATGTGTCATGCATCCTGTGACAGTTTTTATAAAGTGTAACTAATACCATCATAACCCTGTTTTTTAATCAGAATGTTTTATATCGTTGTAGAATAAAATACTGTAAACCTGGAAATTTACACTATATATGATGAGTCACATGGTTGCATAAATTTCACTCATGAATGTGAATTTTTGATGTACATATATCACATACATGTTGAAATATACATGTGATGGTACAATGATCACATAAATAACCCTCAGGCATACCATTTGCTTAACATAATCTGCTAAATTCACCCCCTCCTAAAAATAACCATATCAACAGTATACTAATTTGTGGCCTTTCCTTGTGGTAAATTTGATATGAAATGAATTAACCTATTTTAGTGTACTTGAGTATAATATATATATAACATCCCTACCCCCACCCATCTAGTCATATGTTCTAAATGGTTCCAAATAACCCTTCATCATTCCTGTCATGGCTATTAAATGGTTTACACTTCATATATATCACATCAACTTTAAAGTGTCAAGCACTCAGCAGTATTAGTCAACAATAGCGCCATTCAATGGCTTTAAAAACTGTTGATTTTTGTCTGAATAGAATGAGAGGTAAAAAATATTCCTATCTTTTGATGCCGATGGCTAACTTTGTGTTGGTGGGAGTTTGTACTATGGGGACACAAGGTGTTGGAAAAGATTAATGTTTAAATCAATGTGAAAACAGGAATGAAAAGGAAGTCACCTGTCACAAATCAATTAACATGTTAAATTGAAGACTTATTTATATCGCCAACTCATTAAATTGATGACAAACTAATATCTAGGTACCACTACTGTTTAGAGTACTTATTTTATGGTTAAAGGATTTGAATCCCTGACCAACTCTACAGCATTTTCAATACCCTGTTCTACTTTTTCCTTCAATAGGATACTTTGTATAGATCCAGTAAAACCTATGCCAACTTCTAATTCAATGTCCCATTATAAGCACAGCTAATTTTCAATAAAAGTTACATATTAGGGTGTTGGATTATGGTCTGTTTCAAATTCCTTTTATTTAGGACTATTTCTATTTGTTTTATCAGCTGACAAAAAACAAAATATATTTGTAAATTAATTTCATAATCTGAATTCATCAAGTGCCATTGAATGTTTATAAGGACAAAGAACAGATAATGACCTTACATTATTAGGTATACAGAACTTTGTATAGACCTCATATAACACCCATAATTGTTAAAAAAATGAAATCATAGGATTCACAACCAGTCAAGCTGATTGCTGTGAATGCATCAAAATTCAATGTAGCTAAAAAAGAATGGAGAAAAAATTTCACTTGACCTTTACCTGAAAGGTGGATTCTGTACAACTCGTGCTCAGTTCCCTATATTCTTCCACTTGTAAACAATTCCCCATTGATACAGTTACAATACAAATGTAGCAACACTTAGCGTAAATCCAACAGTTTGAATTGCATCATACAATCTGTCCTTCAATTTATACATTTTCCATTTTGTAACATTGCGTAAGTCCTTAATGAAAATACCCCAAATTTCCGAGTTATAAGTGATTTACTAAAAATGTTCATGAAATCGTTTCTAGGCAGGTCATTTGCTATCTATAACACCTACGATATTCATAAAAGTCGGAAGGAAAAGTAAGAGCTCAGGAAGTATGGTGTACTAGATAGGAAACAAAAGTCTGTGTAGCCTCGTCAGCAACCCGCAATCTCTTTATTTCACATGACCACAGTGACAAAAAATCTTCAGTTTCGGAAAGGTGGAGACATTTATTTTCACGTTTAGGTCATCCATGATGGACTAACGGTATATAATTTATAAGTAACTTTTCAAAAACATTCTAATAATAGATTTTCTGTCATCGACGACAGCCTCATAAATCAGCAGTTATAAATAATGTTAAAGTAACTTCCTTTTTATATTAGATTTTAAATCATAAGAGACTAATCATACATTTGTGAATAGTGTTTACACAAATGTTCTAATTATAGATCTTCGTACTTTTAAGAAAAATAGGTTATATGCCAAAAGATCAACACATAACATAATATTATTACAAATCTTCAGGTGCTAAGTAATTTATGTTCATAAATCAGTTTACAAAATAAAGTATTTTATGATAAAGCCCTCCGTGACAAGAAACACCCTTAAGTGACCTCATCATCTGTGAAGACCTTTGATAGTGAGGGGATGCACTCTAAACAACTACAACAACCTCAGTGACAGCTCAGCATTTATAAATATCTTTAGTTAAAAATATTCTAATAATACATCTTATGCAATGGTCATCTGGCAAAAATGGACATACCCCATATAAAAGGTCATCTCAGAACTTTGAAAACAAAGCTCATCCACTGAAAGTCAGGAAGGTTGTAATAGTGGATGTAAAACCCGTTAAAATAAATAAAAATAAATTTGAAAACAAGCAGCACATTATCTCACCTTTGACCATGTCAGCATAGTGGCAACAGACACTTTTTTCCCAAACAGTCCTTTTTTGTGTCGATTCATATACTGTTGGGCATAGTTCTCAATATCACTGTCAGATGGTAACTTTTGTTTCTGGGATAACGGACTCGCTGCTCTAATTGGGGGAGCAGTACCAGCTCTTGTCTGAAACAAGAACATCTATGAAGATTTATTTTCTGAGAAATGCCATAACTGTACTACATACCCTGATAAAATGATACCCTGAATTAGCTGTAAACCTGTGTAGACTACACTATCATCTGTAGCTAATTCTTGATAAAAATTTCATTTATTTTTTTCATAAACATTTGAATATATTTATAACAGTTACATTACAATACTTTATCAGGTAGAATCACTCTGTTATCCATGGTACATAACAATAATTAACCTTCTTTTTAAATGAAAATGAAAGAAAACCCCAAAAAACTGCAAGGATTTTCTGCTTTCTTAATTCATCAAAATTTGCCAGATTTATCACACAAACTACTGCATAATTCAAAATCTGATTCATTCTGTAATAATTTGTACACATCTGAGGAGCTGGTAGGATTACTTATAGGATAGTGTTTTATCTTTGGCTTTAAAACAAAATCTTGTTTTCATATGCAGTGATATTTTGAATATTAGGTCTAAGCTATTAGCATATATTGATTTAAGCTAGCATTGAAATCGTTCCTGTGTATGAGATCATATTGCAGTAACCCATCAAACCAGTAGATATATTCATAAGTCAGTCAATAATATAACAATGATCTGTTTCTTTTTTATTGTGTATTTCTAAAATGTAAATTTCAATTCATTTCTACCAATTTCCTTTAGCTTATATTAAATGGGGAACCATTTTAAAAATCATTTGGCTAGAAATTACTCTTCATATGTTCAACAACACAGCCATGATTCAGAATGAGGACTAGTATTGTTTAAAGGGAGGTAACTCTTCTTGTGCCTACCTGTCTGTTGAGAGATCCTATGCTGGGACTAAGGGAGACATTGGCATCAGATTGAGACGGTACGACCATTGAGACAGGTCGCTGTTGAATGACATCAGGCTGATGTACGAGGTAACCTTTCTCTATAACAGGGCTACCCTGAGACGAATCTGCCATTTCAGGATTTTTTTTCCGTTTCAGAGAGGCAGGGTGCATCTCTAATGCAAGTTCCTGCTGGATACGTTCCTGTATACCCGGTGATGATGAGAATACATTACTGTTTACATCCTCATCGTAACTCTCGTTTAATTCCACTGAAACATTAAGTCACAGACTTAGAAGATGAGACAATGATCCACAGCAGGATGAATCAGAAAAATGTTGGTATCACTGACACAAGACATGTTATCCAGTCGAAACAGAATATTAAAGATTAAAAAAAAAAAAAAAAAGAAAAGCCCCCATCATTGTGGCCATTATGTCCAAATAAAGACATATGTCTAACTAGATTCAAAATTTACTGATCAAATATAGGTCACATTGACATCATAATAATGAAGACAAAATACTGTATTTATAAGAAATAAGCTAAAGTCAGGTAATAAACCCACCCTATTTATTGATGTTAAGTAGATTTACAAACAAATATATTTCATCTTTCCACAATAAGCCCACCCCAAGACTTAGTCAGAGTTTGCATATCAACACCCTGGGCTAATTGCAGGATACGCATTGCATCATAAGTAATTTAACTTAAAATCATTAAGACTATCTTAAAGCATTATAAACAAAAACCAAATCAGTTCTGTAATCATCGTAAAAATTATGCAAACAAAAAACGTGTCTAAAAAATCTTTTCACGTTTCGTGAGATATTTTGAATCAGAACCTGTGCGGTGTGTGATTTATTTTGATATTTTAACACCTTGTTTTCTCACACCTAACAGTCATCATTATTGCTATGATAAATACTACATTCCTGTTTGATAGATATAATTGTGACACTATAGTATTTATGCGTGTATCTGTAACCCTGACAGTGATATACATCTGTAGTTAAATGTTGCAATGAACTGGCTGTACCTAAGACAATAAAACAGGTTACTGGTAATTATCTACAATAGAAAGCTGTATGTTTCACTGTTATGTTTCAGTCACAATTAAGATAATTCACTACAAAATAAAAGTGAATCATATTGTTCTGATAAAAAAAAAAAAAAAAATGATGAAATGTATTATAAAAGAAATTGCTTGACTTACACTACATACTTATTTACCTGTGTATGTTGGATTTCATTAAAGCCTGTTGTTTATATACAATTTCTATACAACATGACCATCTATCACTATCAGATTAGAGATAACAAAAGATAAATACAACCAATATTTCAGGCCAAACCTAAGGTTTACTTGTTTCAAGTATCTATTATCACACTTTTCATTTGTACAACATTTTCTCTAAATCAAATTGAACTAAATGAAAGTTGTTGATTTGAGAATATACTGATAAAAATATGATACAGAATTATAAACAACAATTGCAAAGAAAAAAATAACAAAAAAAAAAAAAAAAAAGAAAAAGAAAACTAAAGCTTTCAAAAATTTGTATGTTAGATTTTCTTGGCCTTAAAATTAAATGTGTAATCCAGCCAAGACTTTCACCCTATCCCAAACTTATCAAAGACTTGAATTATCTCCCTTCCATTGGATACTGTCCAAAACAAACAGGATGTTCATGATCTATGTTGTTTTGTAAACAAATATTCCCATAGTTATTAGTGACAAGAATTTATTTTTAACTGAAGTTTTATTTTTACACAAATAATTGGTTGAAAATTGTATTTTCCAATGAAAAACAACTAAAAGATTTTAATGTAATTCTACTTACCTCCAGGTTGAAAATTAGAGTTCTGAATCACAGGAACAGTATTCATAGAGTTATGTCCCCTTTCTAGGTGTTGGTTATATTCCAGTGATGAAATAGGAATACCGTCAAGGTAATGGACATTGTCTAGGATATTCTGTCGGTCCTTAAGGACCTCACGATAATGGTTCGTATCTTGTTGGTAGGAAGTAGGATACACTGGTACAATTTTAGAGGGAATATTTGCATAATCAGCATTTCTTTCACTATCTGAAGCCCTAAAGGAATTTTGTGATAACCGACTTCCAGCTTGTTCCCGAAGCATTTCTTGATCCTGAAAACTACGAGCTGAACTTCGAGATGAAACACTGTCCTGAAATGATATATTACTGTCATGGGTATGTTGAAGTCGTAATGAACCTTGTGAAGAATGAATATCCGAGGTATTCCGCGATGAACCTTGGGAAGACTGGGAATCTGACAGTTCACGATTCCGAGACGAATGAGACGTCTGACTGTCAGTTCGTTCATGTTTTATCGCCCGTGTTGAAGAATGTGATGCTTCACTATCAGATCGTTCATGTGGATAGTAATAATTATCAACATAATCTCCAGGTGCGATTTGAATGCCAGCTGAACTATAGGTGATGGGTTCTGCAGGATGACTCTCAGGCATTTGTTGTTCGACATTAAGTCTCTTGTACATAACAGAGGGGGTACCGTTACGTTTAGGTACACCAACATATGCTGGATTTGTTCGTGGAAATGACCTTGTTTTTGGTTTTAGTGGACTTGGGCTAACATTGCCCTGTTGGTTCACAATATCCTGACTGAAAGGTATACACTCTGGTTCTCCACGAGACGAAGACGCTGATGATAATCCAGGACTGTAAAGCCGTTCGTGTAGATCATGCATGAAACTTTCAGGATTCATAACTAAAGGAGGTGTGTAGGACTCGGACCTGGTCCCATACGAATCAGACTTACTTCCATAATCACGTTCTGTAAAACTACCCTGCCTCCCTGTCCTGTGCGGGTGTCCATGGGTGAGATAGATATCATCACGAGCACGATGATCTGTGTAGCGGTAACTGCTCGACCTACTAGGAGGTGCACTGTGTTCCATCACATTTCTTTGCATGCTTTGAGCTCGGTGAAGGCGTGGAGAGTCAATACTACGTGGGGACATCTCTGTGGATGAGTCCCGCCGAATGACACCTCCAGAGATCGTTGGACTGGATGATGAGTATCCAGCTGTAGTAGATTGAGATGATTGGCTACCACGACGACGAACACGGTCACCATTGACTGAACGGTCCTTAAGGCTGTCATGGTGACTAGAACTGCTGTGGGAGGATGTGGAATCTTGCCGTTGGAATCTCTGCTGTAATACGAAGAAAACACAGAGTTAGCAATGTCAAATATTACCTCTCACATCATATACAGAGAAAGTTAATTATATCACATTTTAACAAGGTACCTATCTGAATCTCTACTTAAGTCATAGCAAAGCGTAAAAAATATCTTGCAAATGAAAGAAAAAAATTGTTGAGTTTGTTCTAAATTTATAACTAAGTGTACATGTATATACTTTATTTGATGTGCATAAATCAAAGATAGAAACAATGGAACATGACGTAATCAGTATATCTTTTTTTTATATTGTTATAGGTATAACATGTGATATTACATTACACCACTGTTTACATCCCCAAACAAGCAAACTTAACACATACTTGTCATTTAAAATACCAAGATTAACTTTAAACACAATGGAGGATTCCAGCCAATCACATCACTTGAAATTATGTCAAAATGACAAAGTGACCTCAAGCATGTAGGTCATTACATTTGATAAGTTTACCTCGGGGAGAACGATCAGGTTGTAGAACATATCCTGAATCAAAGTAGGTAGACATATTTCCCTCCAGAACATATTTCAGCGGAACTCTAATCCACACCAAACAGGTGTTTCTCCAGACTAATATCCTTTATAGACAGTTGTCACACAACACAAGTATTTTATCATGTGACTATCCATATAGGAAAAGTGGTCACTATGCACAGGTATCCATAGTGTAAAGGTGTCACAAAAGGCATTAACAGACGCTGCCCTCATTGAATAGATAGCCCCTATATCATCATGCCTGCAGACAATTTCTTCTTACTATCACTAAGGTAACCTCTTACACCTGAGTGTCCAACATCACGGCAGCCATTTATTTACGTTAAATATAATGCTACTTGAGTAAAGGAATTGTGGCTGATCTGCATTTTATCAGCAAGGTCATTTGAGAAATTTTTGTATCTAATTTGACAGGACTTGAAATTTCAATGGAGACATCTTGTGTAATATAACACAGTGCTATTTCTGTATAATTTATTAGGCATGGTGTATTTTCGTTATTATACATCCCATAATACTTCTTGTAAGTCACTTTGAAATGACCCCCACCATAACTACACCCTGACCTTATGGTAGCCACAAGGTTACCTGGTACAATAATATATTCAGTGCATTTTGAATTTGAATACTGGGAGTAAAACCGTACATACAGTGATGTATGTGATAGTGTTTGTGTAGTATAGCTTTACATTAACCACATCCTGAGCCAACAAGCTACAGGAAATTATGTGTTTCTGATAAATAACCAGAAAATATTCAATTTACAAAACATACCTGATAAATAAACAGTGTGTAGATACACAAACACAATCTAGTGTTACTGAAGGTTCTATTTTATCCATGTCTTTACACCATGATTCATATACACTGTACACAAACAGACAACATTTTGGTACCTACCATTGTATATAACATGTGTCAGTGGTTTTGATAAAGTAGCACAAAAACTCACATAGAGTAAAAAGATATCACATTTATCCATATTTCAGTTTCCAGTCCCAGGGAGGCTCCCCTATGGTTTCTACTACAGCAATCCAGAAATAATTCAATACATCTCACAATTTCCTTATAAGGAAAACCTTTGATCTCGCCAAGATTCTAGAACCCCTCAGATAAATCTAGAGCTGGTGATATTTTTGTTTCCATTTTGCTGTGAATTTAAAAACCTCCACAAATGTACACTAAAATCTACAAAGAAATATCATAACCAACAGTATACTATACCCTAGTTTTCCAGAGGTAAGCCAGTATTAAAAAACCCATCCTTCTTCCAGCAGCCTCATAACTCTTTCTTGCTTACATACTGCGGACAGGAAGTGGGGCAAAATATTCCCCAATATCTAATAATCTAATCCCCCTCCCCCTCTAGGGAATTTAACAGGTAACTACAGCTCCGCATGTCTAGATAGCTGCTGAGGAGAGATTGGACAGGAATTTAGCTGAGACTAGGGCCTGTGCCCTGATAGGGGCCTGTGGTAATGATTAGGTGTAATAAACACACCAGGGGTGTACTTGATTGGATCAGGGAGTTCTGTCAATACACAGGGGATTACATACAGGGGGGCTGTTTATAGCTGTACAGGGATGTAGGAGTATTAGAGAAAGGAGGAGGTGAGGATAAAGATTGAAAAGAATAAACGAAGGTGTTACAGGAGAGGATAAAAAAAGTTAGTATTTGTACATGTACAGTTTATGGAGTACACTATACTGAGGTATGGGAGAGAGGGGTAAGGTTGGGATGGAGTGAGGTGATGGAAAGAGATAAATATAGGTGCTGTGATGGAAGAAGAAAGGTTGTGGAAGTAGGATTACAGGGCAAGAGATGTATTGTAGTGGAGGGGAAGGGGGGAATAGAAGAGGATATAAGGGATAAATAAGACAGAGAGTGGGGGGGGGGGGGGAGATTTACAGAAAAAAAAGAAGGAACATATAATTTTGTGAAAGAAGATAAAAAGGGATTTAAAAAGCATTATAATAGTAAGAGGATCACAAGGAAAAGAATCTTAAGAGAGATGTATGAGAAGGGAGAAAAATAGGTAAAAGATATAAAGGGTTAAAGAATGTGGGGAGGGGATGGTGGGGGGAGAAAGAGACATGATATAAGATGCATCCATAAAAACCAGAGAGATAAATCACACAGGTGTTATAAGACAGGTGCTTGTTTGTATGACATACCAAAAGACAAGATTAGGCCCCAATTTTTACAATTCTACAAAGATTTAGTTTACATTTACAGCTACACAGAAGAAGTACTCCCTGTGGGCTCAGGTTTGGTGGTTTATCAATTTTCCACTGGTAATGGGTTGTTAGATTACCACGGAATGCTAACAACTACAGGACGAATAGTTTACCCAATAAACCCAAATATCACTGAGATCCACAGACAGAATTATTTCAGGGTCTAGTTTTTGCTGTCTCCAGTCTGGTGATGTGCAGATGAAATATGTCCAATTTAGCATGTCAAATGTTCTGCTAGGCTTTTAAAAAGTAAACAAATGTCAGTTTAAAATATCAAAATGAAAAACAATATTTTAAACTGATGCTAAATATCAGTTAAATACATGTCAGAATCCTAGTACGTGAGGAAATGCTCATCAGATTTTTACAGCTTTCATAATGTATTCATTAATCTAAGGAAAAATGGCAGAAGAGAAAGGTTGATAATATTTTTTCTTCAACAAAGTCTTAAATACATATTTTCATTGTCGTTCCAAATACAGAATTAAACATCACATAGAAGGCTAAATGATATTCTGTTCTGAGTATGTGTTTCATACCATGATACAAATGTGTAACTTGTTGGTCTGAATATGTAGTATAACGTATGAAAATTTCTTCAATTTACGTTGCTTATGTGTAATAAACAAATAAGGGACAGTACTGGTTGCAGTCAACTAGAAGCAGTCTCTCTCTTACCTAGATCGATGCTGGGTAATACTGGCTAAAGTTGCATGGTAATGCAAAACTTCTTCCTAGGCTAGCCTGCTGTGACTGATGTGTTCCTATTATCACCTACAGCCCCTATCTATAGATCAACACTGACCCAAAAATGACCAGTACTGACCCCAAAGTGACCCTTCAGAAATGTATGCATGTGCACCATCTCTTGTTAATCAATATTGGTATATTTTGCCCAATAGTTCTGACAGGTTACATCCACATCAAAGACTGGTCTGTTTCTATAGTAATCTGATATTATACTTATTCATAAGCACAGGGATTCAAAATTGAATTGCTGGAAACTATTTGTAAATTGTGACATATCAACTTAAAATGAACATAAACATGATGTACTTTAAGCTTGTTTTAGTGTGAACCATTTGACACATTACAGGACATCCTACAAAAACAATATACAAAAAAGGAAGTTAACTGATTGCAGGATAAGGAAATTTCAATTATTTTTAAATCCACAGAACAGTCTTTGATATAGGTGGGCTTATTACCAGATACATTCTTACTGATGGATAGAAAACAGCCTTAGATATTGATGGCCTTATTACCAGACAAGGGCTTACTGAGGGATAGGCAACAGCCTTAGATATGGATGGGCTTATTACCAGACCTGGGCTTACTGAAGGAAAAACAACAGCCTTAGATATGGATGGGCTTATTACCAGACATGGGGTTACTGAAGGATAGACAACAGCCTTACATATGGATGGGCTTATTACCAGACACAGACTTTGCTTCTATTGCCAGTAACTGATCTTGTGATGTCATATGGCACCAGTTTTTCAGTGTGAACTAACACTATGTTAACTGCAGTGGACATTTATTATCACACCATAATGCAACATTCCTTTTATTAACTTAGAATGCTACATTAGCCAGTGCTTAGTCACGCTACATGTCTATACCTGTTAGTAATGGAAACTAGAGGACCTGATGTGACCCCTGAGTATATGATAGAATTATTGAGTTGTAGACTTCATTAAGTGTCTCCCAGTAGGCCACTAAACAAGAGCAGCCTTAGATTAATACTACACAGGAGGTCAGTCACATCAAGGACAGTGTCAATAGATCTTATAGAATTCTTCTTTATTCTTAGAATAATTACATTTAGTACTATTCTTATATTTTCAAAAAGTTCTTCACGAAAGAGCTCCAAAAAATCCAAGAACTTCTGTTTTTTAAGTCCAAGATGTCCACATGATTTAGAGTTACAAGAATTCTAAAAGTAATGAAGCATACTCTGTATTTGATAAGATGGGGGTTATTTGCAGACGTGCAGTGATATTGGACAATAGATCTTTGTTATAATTTAGTTAGTTTCACAGCAAGTAATCATCAATGTATTAGGTTTGGTATTATCTGGGAGGCACTATTAAATTATGGACGAGACAAGTGTTGAGCTAACAATGTCATGCCCAAGGTCAAACTGACCATATGTCCTAATGCACATCTACCGTACACAAGTAATGATGGCCCTCTGTGGCTGTAATAATTACTGGAATGTCAGTAAGCATGCTGTATGTCTATTTAGTATCAGTTACATTTTCTGAGTTCTGACATAGACACAGACAGAACGCCACAAAGACACAGACAGAACGCCACAAAGACACAGACAGAATGCCACAAAGACACAGACAGAGTGCCACAAAGACACAGACAGAATGCCACAAAGACACAGACAGAGTGCCACAAAGACATAGACAGAGTGCCATGAAGTTGGACAGGTTACCAGAGTGTCACAAAGATGGACAAAATGACAGAATGCCACAAAGACACAGAGTACCATGAAGTTGGACAGGTTGATATAGTGCCACAAAGATGGAAAGAAAAACAGAATGCCACAAAGACACAGACAGAATGCCACAAAGACACAGAGAGCCATGAAAGTGAATAGGTTGACAGAGTGCAACAAAGATAGACAGACTGACAAAATGCCACAAAGACACAGAGTGCCATGAAGTTGAACAGGTTGACAGAATGCCACAAAGACAAACAGATTGACAGAATGCCACATAGACACAGACAGAATGCCACAAAGACACAGACAGAATGCCACTAAGACACAGAGTGCCATTAAGTTGGACAGACTGACAGAATGCCACAAAGACAGAGACAGAATGCCACAATGACAGATGAACTGACTGAGAGTGAAACTAAGAGAAATTCATCTTGACAGTACTTGTAACAAAAAATTAAAAATGTAAACCTAAAAGGGTAAGAAGCAGTGGAAGGGAATTTAAATCATGCAACCCCAAAAAGCTAACTGATCAACTACTCCACATACAGAGACTAATGCAATGATACCTGATAATTTTACATCAAAGAATGCTGGTTATCATTAGTCACAGCCTGTATTGATCTGATGTCATAAACTGACTCCACAAGTAAAACTGCCCTCTAGGTTTCTGACATATAGATTAATTTGTATCTACACCAATATCTCTTCTGGCCTGACACACATCTATTCATTTCTCTAATTAAGCTTACAGTAGTATTATAATAATACCAGGCAGTGTTATAGAACTACAATGACATTTATACAATGACACACTCATGTATTCATGTTTTTGTTTGTTTTCCTTCTTTTTTTCCTGCCATATGAAAAATTAGAATGGTTGAAGCCACAACTTCATTTGTGTCTATGTGTATTAGTTTTCCAAGGTCTCAACTGTAAGGCTTTTACTGCTGTGAGGCTTTTTATAGATGAATAGGAGTTTAATTAGCTATAGGAAGGTAATTAGGGAAAGGGGGAACTTGAAAGGACATAAAAGGAGGATACAATCTTCATCAGAATAAGGCAGTGCTGGTTCTGGAGATTAACTCCATCCAAATAATGTCGGGAATATTGCAAACTGGAATAACAAGTCTGCACTTTTATAACAGTCTGGCCATTTGTAAGCAATTTAAAGGAGTTCTTTGTGTAAACAAATCAATATTTTGTTTTTTTCCTTTTTTTTTTTTTAAACTTTGTTGATTGGTGTATTCAATACTTTTGTCAAATTCAAGAATTTCATTAGAAATATTACATTAATCTATGTGTTGTTATTTCAATACCAGCAAAGAAAGGCAACTCAAAATGTAGACATGCCTTCTTCTGACATATTAATACAAATCCAAGCAGATGGGCTCTCCAGATTTTGAAAAAAATCTATAAATAAACACATGAAATTATTTGTCAACCCTTTTCTGTAGCGGATAACCAGATATCTGGCATGGGAAGATCCAATTTGAAACATACCATGGATACGCATTGCCAGACAGGTCAAAGGTCAGTGTGTTTCTCATAGTGCAGTAACACACCACAGAATGATAGATAGAGCTGCACTGCACACTTCAGGTCAAAGTTGAGATCACTTAGAATGTCTCAAAATGCTAGTCTGCCCATCCTGTAGAGCAGGTTGGATCAACCCAGATCCATGGATGGGTGATCTTATATCAGTAAAATAGGGGTGACTGGTATAACACCTGTTTGGTTTGTGTTGTCTGACTAAATTGTAGATGTGATGGCAGAAAAAACAATGATTCTGCAATTTTGTGTGCTATCTTGAAACGAAATATCTGTCCAATCACTTCCCTGTTTTCTTGCAGTCAATGAGTGTTGATTTGAAAAAAATACTCCTTCCTGCTTATGAACCAGTATGACTCAAAATAATGATTTTCCCCTTGGAAAAAAACACTTTTAAATTCACCCCCTCCCAGAATACAAACACCATGACACTAAATACAAATTCTCCCACCACCTGAATACAAATATCTCTCACTGGAAAATGAATGGGCCTACTCTAGGATACAAACACTCTTTCCCTGTGAGATATACTTCCAACCCCAGGATACAAACACTCTTTCCCTGGGAGATATACCTCCAACCCCAGGATACATACACCTTTTCCCTGGGAGATATACCTCCAACTCCAAGAGGTACAAACACATACCCTGGGAAACATATCCCTACCCCCAGGGATACAAACTGCCTACCCTGGTACTTACCTTCCTGGAGACATTAGGGCTGGTCTGGGTGGTGTTAGTGGACTTTAATGATCCGGTCCTCACATGTTTGGTGTGTTCCCTCCGCTTTTGACAAAAGATGAAAAAGAGGTAGATAAGTGGCAGGGTGGTTATAAAGAACAGGATCGCGAAAATGGTGGCATAGCTACCCAGGGACGCATTGCCGCCCATTACAGAAATGTCAGTCAATCTCGGCATCAGTAACCATGGATACCAGCAAAACAGAAATGATCATGATATATTGCTTGTATACTGAGACTAACTGACAAAGGTGCAGCATAAACACACAATATTCCTAGATATTAAATCCAACACAGGATATGAACAGTCAACAAGAAGACTCAATGTCTGTTTATCACACTTCCCAACAAACTAGAAATTGAAACGTCAAATCAAATGAGGAATGTCAAATACTCCATATATATATATATATCCTCGTAAAGTTAGTTTATATTTCACATTTTATGTAAAACTCCAGAAGTCTGATGCAGATGTCGCAGCAAGGACACTAATACACACCAAACACCATGATATTTCAGCACACAAGTTAAAATAAAATCAGTCCTTTTTTCAGATTTTATATCCTCATAGATAGGCCCATTATATAATCCAAGTGTTTGCTATTTGCTTAAACACAGATTTATGTGACCTAGGGAGAGACCACAGGTACTTCACCACTGCGTCATCAGATGTCAACATCCTTAAGTCATTCCTGCATATTACAGCTATCCAGCTACATCACCAGCTGGTGTCTGAAGATGAGTGGATGATGAGAGACAATATACATAAAATCCAGGTATATTATGTACATTTTGCATTTCATTTATCAATTACTTGTGTCCTATATATAACAGGTGTATATTGTTTTACCGCTTCCTCACCTACAGGCTATAATTGATCTTGTCGGGGTTTTTGTAGCTTGGTTTACACTGTAATACAATAGCACTGCAACTTCATTTGTAGATGTTCAATACTTATGTCAATATTATGTGTAAAGCCGTCCAGTGCTGGTAGTCTGTGATGCTCCTTGATAAGGTCTATAACCGATATTGATCCTACTGTTACACTTTATAAAAGTGATTGGTCACAACCTCTGGACACACAAAATGACACAACGAATTGATTGAAGAGTTTGGAAAAATACCTTTGATTACCATAGAGCTGACTTCTAACTGAACAATAAGAAACCGTACCAATATTTCTGTTATAAATGTGTAGAATTTTCTAGACTTCAGGAAAATTCACTTGATAGTTTCATCAAGACTGTTTTGCAGTTTATATCACTTTACTGAATCCACAGACGATAACATCCCAAAAGTACAAAGGTTCTATACTTCATGTATCAGAAAACACACTTTATAGATAAAGTCCTTTGAAGTGGTATATATAATTTCTCCACCAATACACTATTTGCAATACATATACATGCTCGTCTAGAAATGCCTTATGATTTCTCCACTGTCAGACATCTACGCAGGTGTATACTGTTGAACCTGTATATCCTGTGGAGGTCACTTCTCTCCTCCGGTCAGCCTGATTGACCGCCAACAATACAGTATCAGTAACAAGTCTTAATCAGCTGCATCAGTCCCTCAGCCTCTCTACCACAACATTCTGGGCCAGCCAGACTTACACAACACAAGCCTTTACCAATTATTGAACATGACTGTGATATCTATCTCCATGGGCTCTTTCACTCTATCCTTAAATAACATGTTTGTCTATCTTTTCCTTTCTATCCTCAAACTTCTACAATCTTAAGTTCTTTCCTCTATCTTTGTCTAATGTTTTATTATCCTCTAAGATATATGTCAATTCTGTAACTTCACAATTTTTCATGCCTTAAAAAAATCACACAAATGTTCTTTTTCAATGAATGTCAATCCTTCATATTGTACCCTTGCTACAGTTTCTTTTAAAAAAATGAATCAGTCTTTCTGTTTCCTTCTATCCTTTAAGACGGATGAATCTATAAATTTTCCTACACAGACTGTGTTCCAGCCTCTCTTTTTAAATCCCAGCTAGACTAATACAATCTTTCTCTCCATATATAAAAACTCACTACCTTCTTTTCTTTCATATCACCACAGATTTTTAATTTCTCTTAATATCTACTAGTTTTCATCCCTCTGTGCTTATTTCTGTCTTTACAAGTCTACGTAGATCCTATTCACTGGTTTATCTCCCTTGGAATCACTCTTTCATCTCAAATATCCTCAGAAAAAGAATCCTTCAATAAGAAAGTCAGCGTTGGAAACAATTCCATATACAATGCTGTACCACACACGTCATTCAACATTCCAGACAAACAAGCACCAAATTCCGTCCAGAGAAATATTGACAAAAACTTATTGGCACTGGTTCCTGATGAGGTGTTAGTGAGTCAACAGACCAACAGTGGTTCATGTTGGGGAAGGCTGTTAATGAAACGTCAACTTTCAACTTGAAATAAAAGTTCTCCACTTATATCTCTTCTGCTGTGTTTCTCTGAAAGAATTTCATTCATGTTTCCTTTGTACAAAGTTTTCAGTTTTTATTCTACTTTTCTAGAAGTGTGTGTACAGGTTCTACTGTCATCGATCCATGTTTTTCATGCAGAAATATGTTTCTTTGCTGTTCATACTGCTGTCATACTTTGATGACTTCTTTCTAATGAACACATTTAGTAAAATGATCCTATTGTAATTCTCTACAGATTGTCCCTGTTATATCCGACAGTCCAGTGTCATTGTTCAATGTGTATATTCTCCACATTGTGTATTGTTTTACTACATCCGCCAGCCATACACTAAACAATAGTCTTTTCCTGTCTCATACACATAGAATCAGTAGCTCTATAATTGTTATTTTTATATCCTTCTGCATAATCCATCTTTCGTTCCATCACATGACTCTCCAACTGGGCTTTTCATTGTTCACAGGTTTTATATCCAAAAAGAACTGGTGTCCCTTCAATATATATCCATATAAGAGAACCAGTCAGCATAGACAACGACAGCCATCAGTTTATTAGCTGTTCTATACCCACGGCTGGTTACACTGATAATGTTAGGAGGTGTAACATGTCAGCATTGTCTAGTGTTCATTGAGCTTTACCAGGGAAGTCAAAAGTTGCATCCTTCATCACTCAGGGGTCGAATATGACCTTGAGATTCACTACTTAGTTAAGTAGATATTGTCAAATTGACACTAGCTCTTCAATCTTCTGTCTGGACCTGACACCTATCTCTCTTTTGAACTTGTAACTTTGGTAGAACCCGTAGCATTATAATATGAAGCGGAGGTGATTTTGATACACTACCATGGACGAGTGATCGTGTTACGGCTGTGGATACGATGTGTAAAGGCTGAGAGCATGTAGTAAGGAGCTGTAACAGGCCTATTTCAAAGGGTGTAGGTTTTGTGTATGGGGGGGTATGACAGTAGTAAAAACACATGTGAAAACGTACAGTGGAAAATAACAAAGTGTCACCACACATATACTGACCTTTCTACAGTGTACCACCAAGTATATCTATCTACAACAGTGTATACAGATTTCCTGAAAAACATCTGTATGGCAAACTCTCACATCCTGTCACACATAATCAGACCGACATTCGCTTTCCGTCTTCGTCATCATCATCACCATCACCATCCGCTTACTCAGACTCAAATTTTCTTTATAACAATAATGTCAGTAGATCTTATACACGACCTTCCACAAAAATACCTGCTTTAAAAGCTCGTATGGTGAAAGATTATTCAGTTATCTAACCATTTTTCAAATTTAACTAATTTACAACAAAACACCTGCTTTAAAAGCTTGTATGGTAAAAGACTATTTAATTATCTAACCATTTTTCAAATTTAACTAATTTACAAAAAGACATCTGCTTAAATGCTGTCCACAAACTGGAAGTCACATTGTTTGATAACTACACCATCAAGCATAAAATTCAGAGGTATTCCAAATAGCAAGAACCAACAATACAATATAGGGAATCCTTAGTTACTATAGAAATATTCCTAATGACCAGATTTACTACTCAAACCAACTCAATGTCTAGTTTGATGCTAACATCCCTTGCCCTGGTTTGGGCTAAGAATGACAGGCTTGTCAAGACGATAAATGTGAATATGTCATTTTCTACAACATCAATGATCGACATCTATGATTGTCCTTGCCATGCTCATATTAGCCAGTCACATTGTCTGCCAAATTCTACCAACGTCTGTTAAATGCCTGTCCAGCTGAATTCCCAGCAATCATCAATTCAATGCAAATCAAATCATCCATTTCCTTTATTTGATACAGCCAAAATTAAGCAAAGTGACTTAAACAACTCAAGAATCACTTTCCATTACCTGTAAATTTTTATATCAAAGTTGGTCTATGCATTTTCACATTTTTTCCTTGGGTGTGTTAATTTTTTAATGATATTATCGAAAAAATTGTATTAGATTGTCACAACATCTGGTAAAATTTAGCAGTATCTTATGATCACACTGACACTAAACTTGTTGATTATTTTTCTTAAAAAAAATCTTGAGTGAAATGAATGAGATAAAACCTGGTGATTGGAAGGAAAAAAATTAAGCATTTATCATTGCAATAATCTCCATAATTTCTTCAAATTTACAGAAATACTTTCTGTGAAAATATTGTATCTCTGAATTTTGTTCCATAAGATTATAAAAGGCATTCAAAATACAATTTGAAGTGTCATTCAACTAAAAACAATATTAGTACTCACTGGTAGCTTTAAAAAAGACTTTAAAAGTTTATTTTTGGAAGCATACAAGTCTGTCTGCTAATTAATGCTGAACTGATGCAGGTGAGATACATCAGAGACGAAGACACCTGCTTGTCTGACAGGTTCTCCCAAATCTCATTACCATTTCCGCTTCACAATGTTCAAGTCGGACAAATCCTTCTCCCTTTGTTTTTTCACCACTTAAAATCTTTTAACACCTCCCAGTTTAAAATAACTAGTTTCTCAAGCATAACATAAGCATTCAAGGAGAAGAAATGTCTGCTTACATAATTTATCTTTGGAAAAGAATAGCATTTTTCCGCATTTTGACTGTTCATTGGAACAATTTCAAAACTTTTTGAAAATATCTAAAGATATGATTTCAGAAAATGAAACTCTTCATCCCAGAACAACCATCTTTCCATGGTATCAGTTATCATATTTCAGCATAAAATACAGATTCGAGATTTATCAGAGATTTAACAGAAACATTGGCTAATCAAAATATTTGTCATTGTTTGTTAAAAATCTCCTGTTCCAAACAGATGCACCCTCTAGCCATATGGAACTAAATAGATTTCTCTCATGTAGACATCAGCTTCAAGATTAACCCTATGGAAGGCAGAATATATCTTTACAAAATATCTACCATATTTTTTTAAAAACAACCTACTATGCTCCTCAATACGATAAAATTATTAATCCTATGTGCCATTATTAATTTAATCTGATATTCCTAACCACGCCCTTCTTCCAATCTTTCTATCAGTATGTCAGTCCTGATGGAATTAAGCGGGATCTATTTTAAGACCAGACAACAAAATATGAAAAGCATGAAAGAGAACACTGCAGATTCATTAAGACTTTGAATGTTCCTCAAAAGAGAGTTAGGTCTATAAATAATGTAGCATGATTAGATGACTGCATTTGTACCACATCAGCCAATTCTCAAAAATTTGATCCAAATACCTCGAAGATCAATTCAAAATAAGTTAACTACCAGGTGTAATATTCAAAGAAGACCAATCAGAAACAATTTCCCAGCAATACTAAATTTTTGTTTTTTGTTTTAGCTATAACTACTGCTCCATCAAATAGACCTTGGTAAAGGATTGTATCTCATTCCTTACCACACAACCAGATAATTTCCATATACATTTGTTCCTCTCGTCAAGCTTGGTAAGTACTGGCCAGTACAAATGATATATGAAAGTCATTCTCTCAAATTAAATGTAAATTTTAACATTTTCCTGAGTGTCTCCGTAAGCTATCAATTATATATGTGAATTAAACACATAGCCTGATCCTGCACCTCTATAAAATGTTGGTGATATGAATATTTAACCTTTAGGGGGTAAGTTATTATTCCAATCTCTAAAAAGCTTCATTTTCATGTAGTACACACCAACTGGAATTACATATACTTTTGTGAAACTAAATTTCAATGGAATTCAATAACAACATTGTATTTTCTACAGACTGAGGTTTAGGAGTTGTCCATGTAGGTTTCTAAGAAGTGATTTAAGTAATAATGTGTAGGAAATTGTTATTTTTATCATTTTTGGAAATTAAATGTCAGTGTTTGTTGATGATGGGAACACAACAACCATGGAATAAAAGCGTTTCCATATATTCTTATTCTCACATCAGCTTCAATATTGGTATGAAAATTAATAACATCATTCACCTATCTTCTTGGGTGAATAAAAGCTAACACTCTCCTCAACAAGAATCTATAACTGTATGGTATTTATATCATTAATGCAACAAATTTCCTAACTTTCATCTTATAATTTTTGAAATTTTAAACACTGATGCCAAAGTGATTTACAAAATTTGATTCTATATTTTCATCCTTTACAAACCTATTTAGATAAGATACATTAAAAACTGGACCTTATCCAGGTTGTTTTGGCGTGCAGAATGTACCCATTTTCATAGACATTCCTCAATGGTTGTAAAATTTGGGCGTCACAAATACAATAAACTGTTTCACGATCAATTTATTTTTATGCCAACACATACTCAAGAGAATGTCCCAATTCTAAATTGCCTAAAGTGTCAGGTTAAAATAAATTTGTTATGAACCCCTGTAAAAGCCAAGATGGACAGTTGTACTACTGAAACATATAAGGGGCCTCCTGATTCAATTTACAAATAACAAAATCAGATTAAATCCTTTCACAATAGAAATCACCTTTTAATCTTTATACCACTAGCACTTTTCACAACTACTTAGAAACATGATTTATTTTGATACAATAAGGTAGTGTCTGACACAGAACAACACAACATTTATACAGGTAAAATACTACCTTTCTACGCTATTTATGAGTTTGCAGACCAAAGCAATATATTACAAGGCAATGGGATCTAATATGCCAAATTTAGACACTTTGACCCAATTACAAAGCTTAATGGTACACTGGCCCTTCAGTTTTCTCCTTTCTACTCTCTACTTTCTGCTGCTATATTTAATGAGTAAAGGTAAATTTTATATACATATCACTAACTCACAATAAATTCCTTATTTTTGTCTTTTAAACTTTACTGTTTTAATATATTATAACACCCCTGATATAAGCCTGATCTGCACTCACTATTATGGCCAAAGTTCATTGCACAAAAATCTCAATTGCTGTATATGTATCAAAGAGTTATCCCCCTTCCCCAGCAAGATGTAATGAGATGAAGAATATAATGGTGCCAGTATATAAAATAAACAATGGTATTTTAGAAATTTCTCATCAGTTGGATACGAAAATAATTTTTTCAATTCTTCAAGATGACAGTAAATCAAACTATCAATTACAAAAATACAGCTTTTTAACAAAATATTCTTTTTGTGAAAATTATGAAAATTTTGGAAAAACTCAAAACTTACACAATTTCAGTTACCAATTTGATATTTCCATTTACATCTAAAATTCCAATAAACTGACAACTTTTACCTGATTTTAAATTCTGTCCTTATTTGTCTCCCTACATCATCATTAATATGCCCAGAAGACACAGACATTGAAATGAAGATAAAACAGATAGCAATCTTCTACTTTAGTTTCACCCATCATACATCAATACAGAAACTACTAACCACTTACTAACATTACTTATGCTGAAGATGCCATTAAAACAGGGGCTTATTACTTGTTCTATAGAGTTACAATATTGCATGTATAATATACAAACGTTTGTCAGATACAGAATTACTCACTGTCTGAGGTACAGGTGTTTGTGTTGCGATCTCACGTCGCCTCTGAGCTCTTTCTTCCTCATCTCGAACTTCTGTATTTTGCTTTAGGGTCTGAAAATTGGAGAAAAAAAATATAAATGAAGCTGAAACCCAAACAGGAAGAAAATATTTTGAGTGTTTTAGTTCAAGTTCAAAAAAAGAATCCACTTCATGCCTACATTTAAAATGAGACCCCTTTTCTCACGCTTAATTTCAATATGTATGGAGTACATGCATATCATAAATCGTCACCAATTTGATAAAGATCTGAACAATGTGAGAATTCTGTTTGAGAGAAATGGTTGGAAAAATGTGAGAATGTCTCATTTACTCTGTAGAGTTGGTTGACACCTGGTTAATTACATAGGACATCCTGACACTAATGCGATTCTACTCTCAATTACACATTACCAGTCAACAAGATCTCCGCAGGAATTAACCATTACACTTTCTATCAGGATTAAACTTTTTATAAAAGTTAAACCATGGCAGCTTGTGTGTTTAAATGGTAAACCAATGTATAAATTAAATAGATTTTTGTCACTATGTATATCTAAATCATGTACAGAAAGACAATCAGTAACGATATGCCGAATTTCCAAGATAACATGAAGGGCATGAAATTACTGAAGAAATCAATATTGAAGAGACAATAATATAGATAGTCATTAAGATACTTAAATGAATTTGTATATTTGCATCATTTGTAACAATTTATGTACTAAATTAGAAATAATCCTCTTGGATGGATATAAATAAAGCCAAAAACAAAATAAAAAAATCATCAGCTCAGAAAAACTTGCCATTTTTGTCCATGGAACACAGCCCACAACATGAATACCACATATATACATAATAACCAACTCTCCAAATGATGATAAAATACAACGTTGGATACTAAAGTGTCTTTAACATGTGGAAAAGGTTAAAAACTGTTGACATAGGTCTCAATCAGGATCTCAATAGAATCTTTTATTAATGAAAAACAAAAGGGTTAGTCAAGTTAAAAGCAAATAAGGGGAGGTAATCATGAATGATACTCTACATTCATGTGAAAAATACTTGTCTTAAAATTAAAAGAATACTGACATTATTATAATGAATAAGAGGGTTTAATAGTAAAATCTTATCCTCCTCTTCTGAAACCATCACTGGAGTTGTGACTAAGTTACTAGGAATGTCAGACTCAGTGAGAAAATTGATGTACATTACATATTTTATACATGTGTTGTATCTGTGACAATAATAAAGCAGTCATTCACGGAACACTAAACCATCCTGTCTGTTGTATGGTATCTTGTTCTAGATCTATGTCGGTCTGATATTAAATAAATGTGACTTTGTTGGTAAACATGACAACATATCAATGAGGTTTTGTTGATGTTACAACTTTTTACAACATCCATTTATATGCGTCATTCATACTTTTCTCCAGATCTGATGAAATCTCTGAATCAAACCGGTAAAAAATCTACTGAGAAACATCATATGTATGTATATTTACAGTTGCTTTAATGTGTACACATGTACATCATGGAAACTTAAGGTCTAGGTTGACAGTTATACTTCTATGGCTGATAGATAAACTTTCTACTTTCTCCTAAATCTTCTATAATTTTAAATTAAACATTGGCATAAACTTTCAATCATATTTCAGAATTCAATTTTTTCACTTTCCATCTACAGTAAACTTACTTATTTTAATCAATGATACTAGCACTAATACAATCAAACAGTGAAGTCTGAATGTGGCAGGAAACCAGACTCGAACAAACCCTACAGGACTAGGTAAGTAACACCAGACTCGGACAAACCTCACATGGTTTAGTAGGTGAAACCCTATCTTTTCACATCCACTGGGAAATCATACCCACTGCACCACCTGACCACCCAATTATTAATTATTGTAAAACATTATTTCTTACCATATTCATATGTGAATTCCACTTCAGAAAAAAAAAAAGTACAGAAGTTAGATAAATCTGTCTGTTATAAGCTTGAACATTGCTAATCTTGTCATGATTCAGATGTTATTGAACTAGATTTTGATTGGGTGACAGATGTTACATGTTACTGGATTGTGTTGGTGACTATACTGTTGGTGGGGAGAGAGACTTATCAGACAGGAGAATGTTGATCCCAGCTCCATCTCTGGTCTTCCTCTCGGCATTGATATAAAGGTTATCTCAGTTTACTAAGGCACACCGCCTGCTTCGAACCATAACATTTAAAGGTTAAATTGCAGCAAACAATGCTATCAAGAACTCATCAAGAAGAAAATGTCCCTCTCAGACAAAAATTTATATATGATATCATGATGAATAACATTCTTTAGAAATACAGGTTTTATGTATCAAGGGGTCAATATCAAATTAGGTTGGCAAGGGAGATAACTATCAAACATAAATATGGTTTTTGCATGAAATCAGCATTATCTAGTTAATACATTGAAATAAGATAAATTGACAACATCTGTATAAATGAAATAATGGTGTTCAATCAACATGACTGAACAAATTCTGTACTCAAGATAATGTCAACAAAGCTTTGCACTTAGAATCATGAAGGGAGACAATTCTTTAAATCCAAATAGACTTACTCATCACCTGTGTACACAAGGGATAACAGACTTGTTTGTTTAACATGGACAACAAATATTTGTAATCAACACCACATAGGCTAAGTTCACAACACAACTGTAGCATGTTGAGGTAATGTTAGATCCTCACTTTTAACACATTTGATATTCTTAAATCTGTGTCACTCACAGGATTTCTGAAATGTATGAGATATATCTATCTATACACATACTATTCATTTCCGAAATAATTTGTGTTTACATATACATTTCCTATATATTTTTTTTCTACTTTTAGGAATTCCTGATATCTTCAAGCATTTTCACAGAAAAAAGTTTTTATTTTAATTGTATGATAATTCTAGTTATATTATACATTTTTTTTCTTTTGACTAAATCACTGTCCATAACAAGGATATATCCACACATAAAATAACTGATTATATGTTTTCAAACTGAAGAAAATCTTCGGACAATTTTAGAAAATAAAGATAGTTATTATACTGTGTATCCCTGCTTCATAAACACTGATCTTTTTAGACAGACTACAGAAGTTATCAGACAGCAACTCTCAGATCATGTGGTGCCAATACTGATGTACTAGTCCATGTACCTGATAGTTACTTATACAGCTTGGTGCCTGTAGCGTAAGTTAGAATTGACAGATTGCACCATATTTACATATGACTGTACCAGGTCATGAAGCTGAATGTACTCAGTGGTATAGCTTAGCAGATACCAAATCTATGGCAATTTCCATTTTATCAGACAGTCAACACTTTCGATCTTCATCAAATGTTGTGTTCACACTAAAGAAAAACAATGAAAAAAAAGATTTCCATTTACCTGTATCAAATGAGAAACCAATTTACTTTTCAATGACATAGAGACAATGTCTTGTCACTTTATATCAGCCTCATATTAGCATGCCAGACAAATCTAACATGCTGTCGCACGAACAAACCTTCTCTGGATCAACGAAATTCTAGTTTAACTCGAACCAACTTCAATTTCATTTGATTTCATCCTCGATGTTTGATAACATTGATTTGAAATATTGTTGGGTCTAAGAAAGATCAATATGAAAATTTCAGTAACCTGATAAAAATTCACATGATGAAAAGTCTCCCACTGTTTCCTAAGTAGACCAATATTACACTCTACCAGCTCTGTTCTGTATGAAGAAGGTGTCAAATTTACAGGGGCACAAGAATATTCATAAAAATTCGTATAAATTCATATATGACCAAATGCTTTATTTCCTGAACAAAATCTACATACTTTTCAGAATCTACCGTATCTGAGAGAGAAATTCAGTAAGTCTGACCTTAAATAGCGTTTTATCAAGCATACTGTTTCATTATTTGCTAACACATGCTCCAGACATGTTGACTTTTGCATAAGGTGATATCCCAATATTTACTTAACTCTTGTGTCCTTGTCCAGAACTCAAAGAAATTTCAATAGCTGATATCTTAAAGCTTCAGTATTACTTCAGACAGGAAATACAATCATTCATAACTCAGTTTACACTTCTTAAGTTTGAGAAAAATGTCTGGTAATGAAATCTACAAGTTGTTCATGAAAAATTTCAGAATATTTGACCATAAAGATTTCCAGAGATGAGAATATGGCCGTTTTTTTTTTTTTTTTTAATGAAATCTTGTCATCAGACACTGGCAAAACTCTACAATATTCCAACATTTTACCATTTGACTTACTGATTGAAGTAACAGAGATTTAGGATATGGAGATTAATTGTGACAAGTATTATATTCTGTGTTTGTAAACATATTGCCAGAAGACTTTTTTGCTTGAAGTGATTGACTATTTCACACTTTGATTACCAAGGTTAAATTCTTTAGTCTCCGGATATCATGAATTTCTGTTGACAAAAAGTACAAAAATATTTTATGAATGAGTATTGTTGTTGACAGTTAAAATGGCAGTGAATACTGCTGACTGAAATATTTAAAAGAAAAATTATATTTACAAAAGGGAAACAGCCTGCACAGCTAGTAGCAGTAGTACTAATCCGTCGGCCCATCGTTTTTAGTCCATTTTGTGTCCGATTTGGTGGTCAAATGTCCAGTTCCAACCCTAACACAGATCTACATCCTAAAATTTGTCTGTCAGCACCAGTAACACAATCCACATCCACCTCATAGGTAAATCACAGGTGGAAGTACAGGTAATATTCCAGGAAAACATGAAAGTGAATAACTTATGTAAAACTTCACGGAAGTCAAAAAAGTGTCAATCTTGCATTGTTACCTGTGAGACATTCCCCGTATTTCGGTTTTAATTCAGGATCAGGTCACCATCCAGGTAAACAAGATCTAGTGTATTTGTTCTTACTTTACAATAATGGTCACGCTATACAAACACACCCTGCTTTTTCAGGTGATTCTGTCACACCTGAGAATAATGAATGTCCATCATATCCAATAAAAGAGACCCTGTATGCTCTGTACGTAGGTTGTAAAGGTATGCA